GGGGGGGGGGGGGGGGGTCCAAAAATCGTATACTAGGAAATTACCAAACTGTGTAGCTTTGTATTTTTCTTAAATTCATTTAAACAAGGCAGTATAAAAACTAGTCAGGAATAAAGCAATACCTTTTGCGATTATTTGTTATTGATTGAAACCCTTGTTTCTCACATAAATGACATCAAAACTTACTATGAAAAACAAAGTCTTGCATATCTCTCTAAAAACGTGTGTTTTTGTAAAACTTTAAACCAAGATTTAACCAATTTTAAAATCGAATCTAAAAGGGTTGATTATTTTTTAAAAAATTAAACAGTTTCAGTTCTAATCAATGCACTTTGTAAAACATCTTCTAAATAAGTTTCTGACTCTGACAAACAAATACCTATTCTTTCTTGCTACTTGACTGCAGTGCAGTAACGGGTTTCTGGGAGAAGATATTTGATTGAATACAAATGAAGAAAGTCTGAAAGTTTTCTCATTAAAGCTGGCCAAGTAAACACACCAAATTACAATGCATGAATACAAATTTCCCTAGAGCTTATAATACAATTTTAAGGGCTTGCAGAATTTATTCCCAGTAACTTTATTACATACCTGTTTAATCATAACTACACACTTCCTTTTTTGTCAAAACACAATAATTGACCACCTTAATAGTAAAGAACTATCTTTTTAATAAAAACTACTTACTTCTTTTTGTTCGAAATATAAAGTTTGAATTCATAAAATACTTGAAGAGTTTAATATTTTTTGGAAAAACTCAGTTGGTTAAATAGACATTCACATGTATATACCTCATCTATGCTGTTAAATTATAATTGTGTAGTTGATGCAGTTTACCAACAAAATCAAAAATTTGTATTTTAAAGAGTCCGCTAAGAACCAGAAACCATAAAAGTTTGAGTTCTGTTAGTACTATTTTTAAACATGAGATTTGAGAAGTTATATTTGAGATTGAGTTTGTATTTTAATACTCATCTTGTAATGTATTAATATTTACTTTATTATAGTATATGAATAAAAATCAATAAAGCAATGCACTGAGTTTCTCAAATATTCAACGAGTCGGTTGGGTCTTCAAGATAACGGAAAATTCGGCGTCGCTTGGGTTATTTATAGAATCCAAATGCAAACTCAAATAAATCCGTTAGGATTCAAAATAGGATTCTAAAGTCCAACCGTAGGGTTAAAGATGGGGGGGGGGGAAAGGGGGCATGATTCCCCTTGGTAGCTATGATCTCAGCGATCCAAAACATCCTTGAATTGCTGATCGTAAAAGATCAACAAAACTCGCCCACTGTTACATTATATCACCAAAGACAAATCAATCTGAAAATATCTCACCCCACTTCTTGACCAGTTATATACTTAATTAATAAAATTATTTTAATGTCAGTACAGATTTTCTGAATAACATCAAGTCGAGACTCGAGGTGTTTATTATTTTATATTCAATATCCTATGCATTTTTATAGGCGTGTGTTTCAGCTGGAAGATTTAAGATATGTGAAGCAATTCAGCCAGTGCCCGAGGGGAAGCAATTACTCAACTATATTAGGAAGGTTTCTTTCACAAGTAAGCACTTCAGTTTCTTAGTAACTGTTCCAATTAGTTTATTTTTTGACCCATTTTACTATAATGCCGAGTATTTTCTTAGCAAGAAAAAATTAGTAAGATGATATACCACTTAGCTAAATTTTCGTGATGAGATTTGCGTAGTTTTATTTCATGAAAGTTTGCCTACCATTTCTCAGGAAAGAAACTTGAAAACTTTAAGACTGTTAGATCAAACAGTCCAAGTTTGCAATGTCCAAGGTTTAGACTATAAGGTTGCAAAGATATTGGGATTCGAAAGTTTGAGTTTGTGTTAAAAACTTTGTTTCTTCGCAAGACATTATCCATTAGGTATTCAATCTCCCTGTCCCAAATAGGTTTTAAGCTTTGTAATAATTTACTAAAAAGTAATTTTTATCGTTTGTGCACTGTTTGAATAGCATTCTTGTTGAGTTAAAGGGAGTGTTCGCGAAAAATGAAAGGTGGTATAGGCTTAATGCGATAAAAAAGCGCTTTTGATCGCTACTAATCTTACTTCTATCTGTTGCGTCTATAAGGAGTAAATTGTTAAAAACGACTAATACCGAAGAACGTAGTGTCGATACAAATCCAGAAAGATGCAACATTCAACTCGGATCGTAAACAAATCAATTTAATTCCTAACAAATCATTCAGATATTACAAACACTAGCAGTCATCGATTATTTTTCGACGGATTCGTAAATATTTGATATTTCATAATATTTTGTATTTTTCATGATCTGAGAGTTAATTTTGAAAACATTTATTCCTGTTTCGAGGATTTTTATAATGATGACGACATTTTCATATTTTCCTGGAATGTTCGAAAATCTAGCGCCAGCGAAAATTATTTTAATTTATTGAGAACTTCAATCTAGAATATTTTAGATTGATAAACTATATATATAATATTTTGCTACAGAAAAAGCAGTAATGAAACAATATATTTTAGGTTTAAACATTTTCAAGGAGTTTAAAAAATACTTAAAGCCATGTTTGCAGTTATCTTTCTTGAGATAAATTTGTCCTATCACCTCTCAAGCCAACTATCTATCTCATTCTTGCCAAATACTTTCAGCATTAAAAGAAAATATTAAGTTTTTTTCTAAATTCTAGAAAATTAGAAAACTTGGGAAATAAAAACAGTTTTAACATAGTTATTCTTGGATTAATGGTAATCAGTTAATGCTGTTTAAATTTCAATGAACAAAAATATTTTATAATTTTGAACTCACAGCAAACCATTAGATTTGCTTGTTCTAACACACAAATGTTGCCAATTACTCCCTTTATACAATCGCGTTTCAATTTTTACGTGTATATACTTATGACTAGCATAAATGAGTTGGTGAGGTATAATCAAAGGCCAAGGCGTTACGTCACTTTAAAGACATGTCTAAAGATTTGATGAATAATCTCAGTGAACCAAAGATAATTTATCGTGAACTATAATTTTTAAATCTTAAATTGTGTATAAAATTCATCTCTCTACTTCGATGTTGGTTCTATTCTGTAAGAAAAGATGAACCTTCAGATAATCCTAGAATTAGTTTCCAAACCTCCATCATTTATCAGCGACTGCCCTACCAGAATTTTAATAGAAAAAGGAATTACAGCAATGACTGCAGGTTTTAAGGTTTTCATCAAACGTTGAAGCTATCATATTCAATAAATGTATGGAACATATAAAAAATGTCAGACACGCTGAAATATTGCTAAAAATTTAATTTTGATAATGTACTTTTATAGACCTTGGCAGTTGGGTTTCTTTAATATTCTGAGCCAAAACTGTGATGTACTTTTACCAACCTCTTAGTAATGAAATGAGATTTCAATTGTAAATATATGACAATTTTTAAAATGTCAATTTCATAAACTGTTGTCCAATAATTTATACATCAGTTTAAAATGAAAATTTCATTAAAGAGAAGTGACTTATGATCATATATCGGTATGAACTCTATATCATGGCAAATGTTGGTATAGCAAAAATGTATTTATCTCTAGGTATTCAAGGCCCTGATATTGGGGATGTAAAGTTTAATGAAGATGGAGATGCCATGGGAAGATACAGTGTTTACCAGTATCAGAGACAGCCAAAAGAAAATTCTAAAGGTAAATACCCTGATACTTTCTAAAACTACTTCTTGAATGCGTTTGTTCATTAGCAAACAGATCTCCTTATGTCTTTATTTTTATTCTTAAAATTCAAATTGAAATTTGTTTAAGAATAAATTAGCCTCAAAAAACAGTTGACAATATTGTTCATAATAACAATAACACTTTTCTTTAAGTATCCTGTTCCAAAAGTAACAAATCATCCTTGAACCAGGAAAACATCTGTGTAAAAAATATGTAAAATTATCAATAATTGGAAGGAAGATGGGAGTATGTTTGGATTGGGGAGTTTGGGGAGAGAGAATCTTACAGATGGAACAATGTGAATGAGACAGGTAATACTACGTTAAATGGTTTGAGGAAAAAGGAAAATCCCCTTGGTGACCTCTATAAATAAAGGAGCGTGATTCCATATTTCATATTTCATATTTTTATTCTACTAGAAAGCACGAGATAATACAAATAAAAAAATCACAATTTACTATGTCGTTTGGACCCGCCTAACCAGAGTAGGTTGTTTTAATTGGTTGGCCCACTATAAACAAATGAGATGAGATGATTTAATTTGTGCTTAGATTTATTTATGAGCATTAAGGAATGATCTAATTTTAAAAATGTCAGAATATTCTAAATATATTCTAAAATTTTTAGAACATTTTTGTAAATGTTTCTCTCCCAAGTAAAAAATATCGACAGCTAGAGACTCCTAGCGGCCTATAAATTGTAGTCCAAATTTCAAAGTATATAAAAAATGAAAAAAAGACTAAGCTACAGTGTTAACTAAAAAATTCTGGAATAGGAAGTCGACTTTTAAACTTAAGTTTTGACTTTTAATAACGCATTGAACATGAGGCACAGTAACTGTGCAATGTTAATAGACCCATTTTAAGTAATATAATAACTATCAAGTAAAGCTATTTACTTTAAAAACATCAAATGCACTTCATAAATGCTATAATGTTACAGTTTTCTGGTTATGACTGTACGTAAACTATATACGAATGCCCTGAATTGGATTCAATATTTTTAACTTTTAATATCTAAATGATTAATTTAAAATTGCTGATCGTTATCTTTAAAAGGATCATATTTATCATTTATAATTTTCAAAGGTTGACTAAAATGCAATATAGAGCTAAAGCGGCAACCATTCCTAAAATCTTACTGATTTTTTTGTTACTAAATAAATGAATAATTTTTTCCCGGGGCCTGAATATATTATCGTTTATTACAGGAGTATATCCGGAGATAGAGGGATACACTGCACAAGAACTTTACTTTGAGGTAAATGCTGAACCCGTGTCTTCCTTTTTTGTTAGCATAATTTTTACAGAATGTGATTACTGTATAGTGATTTCGTCAACTTTCTGACGTTTCTCTCAATTTGGAGCTTTTATAAAGCATTCATTTTCATGTCAAAGAAGAACACTGAACTATTCCTAATCTGTACCAATTATAAAGTAACAAAGAATAATTGTCTGAACCTCTGGGTTTTATATATAGATTTACATAAATTATGACTGAACATTTTGAGAGACAAAAATGTTAAAAAACTCTAATAATCTGTCATCCTTTGCTTTTGATAGATTAAACTTTTCATGGTTTGATCTAAGGGTGAAAATTTGTCAAATTACTTTGTGATTCAGTCTTCAACATTTGTTAAGGTTGAGAGAGCTCGGTGGAATATTATGGAGAATATTTCTACTGGTTCTATTCCTGCTTCTATCTGTAGCCTACCCTGCGGTATGGGAGAAATTAAAAACTTTGAGGTGAGTTTCGCCAGTATATATTATACTTTAAGTTTATGAATTTTAATTCATTAGTTGTATTCAGAGTCTATTATAGTAGGTAAGCAATAGGTTTTGTATTTTTTCTCTTTCCAATTCAAAGTTAAAAATATCAATTTGGACAAATAAAATTCTTTAAAGTGTAAATTTGGATGCTTTCCGTAACCTAGCATAACCCAACCCTTGTCAATCTCTTAAATAATATTGTTTTTGATAATTTAAAATCACACTTTTGATGCTTTACTACACGGTCAAAGTGTTGAAATTAAATGATGACCGAATTATACGACAGATCTCAAAAACTATAGACTTGGAATATCGAGTTGAACGACTATATGATCCATTTCATTGTATCATCGGATTGAGAATGAAGATAAATTTTAAAATAATTCCTATTTTAATTTTTTTAATTAATCGTGGTGATTGCTTTGCATGTAAACGTTGAACAGACTTGAAGATAATTAACGAGTTCATGGTTTTACATAACATAAGTTTTCCTTCTCATCTGAAGAAACGAACAAAGATTATTGAGAAGTATTCACACTATTTGATTGGGTAATTTTATCATATTTGATTCTGCAGACGGCTTGTTGTTGGAGCTGTGTAGCGTGCAGAGAGGATTCGATTGTAGTGTCAGAAGACACATGTCTAAAATGTCCTGTCGGTAAGTTTTTCCTGCATTCTTATAGCTTTAAGCTAGCAATCCAAATGAATTTACTTTTCTTGTTGTTTCTTGAGTTGTTTTCTCATATAAAAAATATTTAAAAACCCCTTTTTTGCAGTTTGTGAATGAAACTTTTAAATAGTTAACAATCAGTTTTTCCTAAGATATATGGTTAAAGGAATTGAGTTCTTGCCACAAACTCAAATCTTCTTATCCCAATATCTTTGCAACCTGATGGTGCAAACCTTTGATATTTCAATCTTATATTACTTTATCTATAAGTATTAATAGTTTGAATTATCTTAAGGTCTACGACGTTGGTATACCAAGATATAGAGATTAGAAAATCAGAGTTTGTGGTAAAAACTCAACTACTTTCACAATCAATTAAGTTTAAATGTGTTTTCTTGTTCAGGTTACGTGTCGAATTACTTTAAAGACACATGCATAAAGATTGAACCAGATACAATCAGGAATCAATTAATAATATATAAAATATATATTGCTAAACCCTATCACGATTTGGAAGGGCGCCCCCCCCCCCTTCCAACATGTGCTTTTTTCTTCATAACTTAAATACGAGATACATTGGAGCGATTCAACTTCATAATCGAAAAAAAAATTTGAAGAAAAAAACATTAAAAGCGGGCGGTCAACGGCTGGTCGGTATCCCAAAAAAAAAACTATAAATGGTCCATAACTTTTAATTATTTATTATTTCATGTTTCATGCAGTTAATTTTTGTCACAATAAAAATAAATATTTTTTAGTTTTTCTGTCATACCACCCCCATCTATCTTAGAAAATATAGCTGAATCGGGAAAGGGTTAACTTTTAAGTTAAAAACAATATTACATAATTTAGAAATGAGGGGGACCAAAGTTAAAGAAGGGTTTATGTTATCTTATATGAAAAACAATATTACATAATTTAGAAATGAGGGGGACCAAAGTTAAAGAAGGGTTTATGTTATCTTATATGAAAAACGCACAAAATGAAACGAAAAAAAAATATATTTTACACACAGTTGATTATAGATTAATTAAGCGAAGGTTTGCTGATGGCTAAAATTTACAAAACCGCCAGAATAGACTTTACATTTTACATGCTCCTACAGTACAGTACAGTACAGTGCAGTACAGTACAGTACAGTACAGTACAGTACAGTACAGTACAGTAAAGTACAGTACAGTACAGTACAGTACAGTACATGCTCCTACAGTACGAAGTAAAAGAAATACTGTCTAATTCCTATATTTACAGATTATTTGCTAAGACTTCTCTGGAATTTTATTTTATTTTTCAGAGTTGGCTTTAGTATTGGATTAGAGAGTATTTTTCAACATCACTTAAATAATTCAGAAATACAGAATTCTTTACATCATGGTTTACCCCGCTTACATTGATTGTCGTTAATCGTGTTTTTATCATTTTTATTTACTTTAAAAAATCTACTTTTTTAATATTGAACAAATTGTATTACCCGAATTACCCGCATGGTTTTCAACAAGTTGTGAGAAGTTTGAAGCAGTAGACGTGTATATAATTTCAGGATTAGAATAAATCTGCTCTAAGTAGGAATAAAATTTAGCACAGGGAATATTCATGATTCAATTTTGAACCGTTGACGGTTTAATTTAAATTCAAAGTAAAAGCTATTCTAATTTTGAGTTTAATTGAATTTTGTGGATTTTTGTTTGGCTTAAACTAGATTTTTTTCAAAGAATGCAATGATTTTAAGTGAATACTTTGCTTTCCTTTAAGTCAGCTTTATTACGGATGGATGTATTACTCCATTTAGAAATTAATGTGTCACTTTTTTCGTTCTTTACATAAACATGTTTATTTCTTTACAAATACAATATTCAGCCTTTTTTATGATTGAAAGGATTTACGACAAATAAATTTTTTCTGCATCTATCTTTTCAGCGAATTGGCGATAAACTAACTAACTAACTAACTAACTGTTGTTTTTGATATCGGCCATCTATGCAGGTTTATTGTTGATATTGTTGTATAATGAGAACTTCCCTTTGTCAGCTACATTACATGTATCAGTGTCTTGCAGTAATTTAGAAAGAAATTAAAAGACCTCCTAGCCTTAACTGCATTCGGCTAGGTTCAAGGTGATTTAGATGTACACCCTAGAAAAGGAACACCCATGAATGATGATCTCTCCCAGAAAGTTTTGATTAAGATTCCACAGCAAAGCAGTTTCTGAGTTCCACTATATCTGCTCGGCGATAAACTAACTAAATTCAAAGTAGGATAGAAGATGTAAATAACATGTTCAGAATGTACAATGTACAGAAAAGGAAAGAGAAAAATGATTGATTATGAGTAGTACAGCAAATTGATCAAGTATAAGGACGCGACGAACAAAAATAGAAAAAAGGAGTTTAGAGGCAAATAATTGGGATAAAGAGGGAATGACGTTGAAATCACTGAAATAAATAAATCATTTTAGCTTTGTTGATTTTAACAGTCAGAAATAATAAATAGTTTTTTCACATTTCAATTGAATTTATTTCAAATTTTTATCTTTACATTTTCGTGATACTTCTTTTTTCATACCTCTTTCTAAATTTCCTTTAATTGAGGTGAGTAGAATAAAACAATTTGGTTGACTGTTTTCTCAATGTTGCATTAACATTGACATATATAAATTTTCTTTGAAGTGTTATTTTCTGAAGTAATAGAAAACAATTTCCACACATATTAAAACAAAGAAAACTTTTTAAAAAATATATTAGGATGATAGTTTTCTGATTTAACTTGACCTCGTCTGTATGTTTATATTACTGATTCTATGAATTTGTTTGACTTTTAAAATTTGTCGAAAGACCAGTTGTTTCTTGGGAAAAGATTAAAACATCCTACTTTAAGAAATATTAAACTACCAATATTAATATTAATAGAATGTGCCACAAAAAAGCATATTTCTTGCATTTCGTTCGCTTGCAAAATGCGAAAATTTTCGCGAAAAAAGCGAAAAGTTTGCGAAAATTCATCAAAATTATAAAACTAGAAATTCAAGGCGCTTCGCGCCCTTCTTTCTAGGATTTTAGGGCGCTTCGCGCCCATCTTCTATTTAAATTGTGAACATGTTCTTTTTGTTTACATTTTAAAACAAAGAAGAAAAAAGTTTTGCGGATTTGAAAAAAAATTCGCGGATTTTCAAGAATTTAAATTTTTTTTTACAAAATTAAAAACCTTTAAGATACATTTTTTTAAAATTTGATCATTCATAAACCTTCCCTGTAATCACATGATGTCCCACCAAAAATTTGGGCCCGATCGGTTCAGCCGTTTTGACGTTTATTGGATAAAAAAAAACACCCAGACAAGCCAAATTTCTATATAGAAGGGATTTATCCGCGAGCCCAATTAACATTAGAACGAGTAGAAACATCTGAAAATTCATATATTTGCTTGAAACTTTCTCGGCCGTTCAGATCTTTCTTCTTGAAACACAAAATAAAATCTAATACGGGGAAAACCAAAATAGTTCGGAAACTTAAAAAGATAGCTAGTAAAACATTTCATCAAACATTCAAAGGAAGAGAAATTAATTTCACGAAATTTCGCTTCGTTTTCGCTTCATTTATTTCCGCTTAATTTCACGAACAATTTTGCAAAATGCGACCAAACATTTTCGCATTGTTTCGCGAAACGTTTCGTTCGCTGGATACCCTACTTTTACCCGTCTTTATAAATTCACAGAGTTGCAATATTCCATTCAGATCGTAAATAATTCACTTAACTTTTAAATTAATATTTAGTTTTAAAATATAGATGTAGAATTTTATTAAATGCAATTTGTATATAATCTAGATATGTCAAAATACTTAAATTTTTTATATTATGTACTTTAAACGACAATTTTTTGGCCACTATGGGTCAATATTTCACTTAGGAGAGACACCAAAGGAGCCAAAAAATAATAATTATACAATGTACATCGTTTATAAAAAAAAATTAAAATATTTTGAAATATCAACTATATACGACTGCATCGAATTGAAATTGACATAAATAGGTTGTAATGTCACTAAAATGTTTAGGTAATAAACACCTTTAACCATTTTCTCTATATATGCGCAACGTTTCATATTTATGAAATCGTGTAGAGGATAACTTTAAAACTATCCTTCAAGGATCCCTGATATGTAGAAAATCCTGTTTTATCTCTTGAGAAGCAATCTATTCCTGTTAGTTGTTACGCATAATTTAGACACATTTTTCTCGGTAAATCCTTTCTTTTTAACCGAGTTTAAGAAAAACATTTTCAGCTCATTTCAAAAATACACAAATTAATTTAATTTAAACTTGATTGAATAATTGCCAGCTGGTTGAATCCCTGGGCATTCTTTCCTCTAATATTATCGAGTGTGGGTATTCTACTAACATTGGAGGTAAAATAATGGTGTACGAGTACCTCAATTAATAAAAGCATTTTGAAAGAACAATTTCACTATTTTTAAAACCTGTGAATAAATCTATCGAATTTTTATCAAAATAATGCTTATAAACCATCGACCGAGAAATGTAACAAACAGAAATAAATGTTCACAAATAAAAAGTACATGACTTTTTATGAATTTTATAAATGACGATGAATGAAAAAAAAATTCAAAAAATATAAAAATAAATATAAACACAATGGTGGAACATTTATAAGGAAGTTGATATTAGTCTTAGGAAGTTGATATTATCATGAATTTTTTATTTCCTAAAACTTAGAAATAATATTTGGTCTTTTGACATCAAAATTTGATGAAACATTTATCTTTTCTTTGGGTCTCAACATAAAGTGGAGACTGGAGAGATTGAAAAAACCCTGATTATTCATTTTCAGAACTTCTAAAAATATTTTAGGTTTTCACAGCCTTTATTCTCTACAATAAAACATCTGTGATAATGGCCAGTGGAAGGTATACTACCAAATACTTTGAGACAGTTTAATATTGTTTCCCTCTGGTACAACCAACTATTTAAAACTATCTTCAAAAATGTAAACAATGAAACCAGAAACAATGAAATTAAATTCCAAAAATTATTTCAGATTGAAAAAGTGTTATGACATTTTGATGCATATTTTATCGCTTACTAACCAGCAATGTTTTATTTAAAGGGAGCTGTGCTACGTCCTACTTTCTGGTATACTTATATCATATCTCATCCCTTTCGTTATTCTAGCTCGACCAACACCTCTTAGTTGTACCGTTCTCAGGTATTCCATTTAAACAAATTTCACAAAAATAATATGTTTACAAATTTAACTTTTAACTTTAATTCAGGGGAGGATTGGGCTTCTGCTTGTGTATTTGTTACTCGGCTCTTCTTACCAAGGAAAAAATTATTTCTTTTTCCAATAAATTAATTCAATTGGGGAAAAAACTTTTTAAAAAAAATGTCTGTGAAAATGCCGATTGAGTTTGAATTGTCTTTCTTATAGAATGAATTGATATTTTGCATGTGAAGAAAAGTAAAAGCTGTCTTCCTATCAAATATAAGACTGAACTGCCACCAACTTAAAAGTCTCTGAATTTCCATTAAATTTCACTTTGAAATAAAAAATAAAAATTACAAATGTTGAAAATAAATTCGATTTTCAAGACAAACCGAATATCTCGGATCTTCAGCAGTTGTGCCAAGGGTAACCAGAAACCAAAATGGATCTCCCCACGCAGTCAAGTACTTATTTGTTTAGGTAGGTTAATGTAAATGTAGCAAAGTATATCACAAATAATGAAAATAAATCACTCATTTTGTTTTACATGCAGACTTTAAAAATTTTGCCACTCATAATTTTATTTAGAAGCCTTCTAGGACGGATATTAGTTGAATTGAGTGAGATATTTCCCGAAATTTAATTCAGAGAATCCGATCTCATTTCAAAATTAACTTTACTAAACTACGTCAGTTGTTTTCTTAAAAATAACGTTTTTTTATATTTATTTTTATACCATGTTTTCCATGTAATCATTCGCTCTTAGTGAAGATAAAATAAAGAGTACGAATTGACTCTTTGCAACAAACTCTAATTTTCTAATCCCAATATCTTTGGAACCCAATGTCGTAAACCTTTGATATTTCAAACTTATATTTTTTGATCTAATAAAAGTCATAGTTTGAAATTTCAAAGGTTTACGACGTTGGAATCCAAAGATATAGGGATTAGAAAATCAGAGTTTGTTGCAAAGAGTCAATTCCTTTACAATTTTTATACCCTATTTTGAAAGTAAATTAGTAAAAAATAAACTGAAACTGAATCTCATTTATTAGGGAATTGGGCTGTCTTAAATTGAATTGCGATCTTGAAAAGATACTCCCTGTATTAAACTTGTATAAAAATTGACATGCATTGATATTTTAAAAACGAAACTTACAATCCGAAGCAATATGATATAGATACATATTAAGGATTTGTGAGTGTACAAATGGTTGGTGTGATAACATGGTTGATGTTCTATCCGCCAGATACTCAAGTTATGTATATGTATCCTCTAGATGAACCACCAAGGTAAAAACATAAATCTTTTATCTTAGTTTAAATGGCTAATTATTTAAAAATATCCTTGAACACCATCCTTCACATATTCTGAACATCACTACCACCTAAATGTGTGCATGCATACTCCTCAATATAAAATCATCACCACCTCAGCTTGTAAGCAGGAAAAAATGTTAACTATAAATTGCATGTTTCCTAGAATCAGGACAATATTGACCTTTATTAAAGGCCTTTATGGTGCATAAAATTAAAAAAATAATTTTGGGAGTTGTACTCCTCTTTTATTCATTTTATGGTAGATGGTATATGGTAGATATTAAAAATACGTACAACTTATTTTTAATATTTCAATATTGTACATCAAATATTAGAGATTTGTATCACAATAAGTAAAAAGAGGTCAATTTGACCCCCCCCCCCCGCGTCAGTTAGTAAACCTGACCTCAGGCTAAATATGGTTTAAAAGGCATTTATTTGTCATTTCGGAAAACAAGATTTTACGCTGGTGGTGTTAACATCTTGAGGGTCGTGCATGCCGCAAAACACATCCGAGTGGTGATGATTACAAACTCAGGTGGATTTCACTCCCTCCCTTGTTGCAAGGCAAGGTAGAAATCATTTGGCATCTGATCAGTCACGTCGTCTGGGTCATTTTAGAATTACGATTTTTTCAGGACCGGTTGTAATAACTAAAAGTAAGCTGGGTTAAGCTTATAGGCTATGTTCAGCTATTTTAAGATGCGTTTTGACAGATCAGAAAAATTTGTTTTAATTTGGACCAAAAGAATGGATATGGCAATACAAAAATGACGGATTTATTATGTTTTTCGGTCAAATTCATTAAATTGCCAACACTTTTACTTTTTTGTCAATTGTTTATTTTTTACAATGTGCAGTGTACAGGAAGGGGTTTGAAATAAAAGGTTTGAAAGTTTTGTTTGATAATTTCCAAATGTTGTATTTTGTTAGCAATGCATATTTCTTAACTTTACTATTTAGCGCCCTAGAGACCTGTGCTTGCTCAACATTCTCAATACTAATGTCCCTAGTCTACAACATGGTTTTAATCATTCTGTGCACAATCTACGCGTTTAAAACAAGGAAAATACCAGGTAACATATTTTAAAGAAAATACCTTTTTTTACAGATATTTAAAATTAGAACAATTGAAACTACTCTTTCTCCCTGGGGTACTTTTCGTCCCAATATTTCTCTAAAAATGTTTTTTTCCATTCATTATATAATTAAACTTGTCAAACATTATATGTTATGATATTTCTATAAACTGCTTTAAATTAATTAACTCAGGAATACAATAGATTTCGTTAAGGGTAAGCTTTCTGAGTTCTTGTTAGATACTTCAAATAGAAAAAATGTCACTGTCAATTATCTTCTAGAATGAGGGAAATCCTAATAAGGAAAATCTTCTTGTATAAAAAAGGTTGATGTAATAATTTCATTAATTTCATAATAAATGCTTGCCTTTATGTAGAACAAGCAAAGTGACACTGTAGAAATAGAATCAAATTTTGTAATATACTCTTTCCTTCAGAGAACTTTAATGAAGCAAAGTATATCGGATTCACTATGTACTCTACTTGTATCATCTGGCTGGCGTTTGTTCCCATTTTTTTCGGAACAAATAATGATTATCAGGTTGGAAAGTTTTAAGTTTGATTTAATATGAGGGTTTCAAGGGTTTAGAGTGGGTATAAGAAGAGAAAAAAAACATCCATTTCAAAAATTATACTTATTCCAATCTAACCCCTTCAGATTTTCAAAATACTTTCTGGATTTAAGTTTTTTAATAAAAAGACAGAAAACTGATTTCCAGGGGGCTTCTTAACTGTTACAACATTCCCAATCTATATATAAATTTGGCTTGTCTGTCTGTTTGTTTGTCTGTTTGTTTGTTTGTTTGTATCCAATAAACGTCAAAACGGCTGAACCGATCGGGCCCAAATTTTTTGTGGGACATCTAAGGACCCCAGGGAAGGTTTATGAAAAATCAAAATTTCAAATATTTGTCTCCATCAAAATTCGATCGTCATTAGATTTTTAAAAATTTTGAAAATCCGCGAATTATTTTTGTTTTGTTTTACGATGTACACAAAGAGGCGCGAAGCGCCCTCTAAGGCTAGAAAGAAGGGCGCAAAGCGCCTTGAATTTCTAGTTTTGTTAAATAGAAGAAGTCATTTAAAGGTCAAGGAAGCATATTTATTAATAAATTTTTTTATTTAATCCTAACAAATATCACTACTTTAGCTAAGATCATCCAATTCTTAACAAATATTTTTTGTATTTACATCAAACAGTTTTGTAAACTGTTTTATAAAATATGAATCAATATGAAAACGGCCCCCCCCTCTATTTCCTTATTGTGATACAAATCTATAACATCTAATAGACTTTTAGAAAGCCCTTAGGCTCTACTTTAACAATCTGCCAAAAATTTGCAAATTTGCAAAATTTTAAATATTTATTGCAATTTCAAGTTATTAAGCAAATATGTGCAAAAACAAAAAGTGCGCGAAATACGATGAATTATACATTTTTTTAAAAGTCCTTACCACAGCGAATTCAAATATGCAAAAATATTTGCAAAATTTTAAAGACTAAAAACTGAAAAAGTGCAAATTCTCTTTAAAGGCATCTGTACAAAAAAACTTTGCACAATTTCTTCGCAAAAATTGTGCAATCTGCTTCCTTTTTTTCAAGACTTATAAAAGAGCCATAAAAAGTCAAAATCCAACGACCGAACGTAAGTCTAAATATAGATTTAGTCGGGTAAGGATAACATAAGGCATTCAGGCAGTATGCCTGAGGACTCGGGTAGTTGTTATAAAGTGAGGGTTAGTTAGAAAAGTCAAAAAGTTTGAACAACCTGAGACCAATTCTTTTTGCTTTATCTCCAAAAAACGTCAGGGGGCCAGGGACCCCCACCCCACAGCATGAATAGGGTTAGATTATCACAATACATTTACTTTGCTTGTCGTTAAAAGTGAATTTGGGGGATTCAAAGAGATGGTTTTCAAATAAATCAAAGCAAAAGATAAAATAATTTTGTGCAAGATGATGAGTTTATTTTTGATTATTCAGGTTCAGATATCTAGCCTCTGCATGTGCGTAACCGTTAGTGCAACAGTTGCACTTTGTTTACTCTTCGGGCCTAAGATGTATGTTGTTCTGTTGCATCCGGAAAAATGTGCAAGGAAGGACATATTATACAATGGTTTTAATCAAAGAGAGTATCTATACAATTTTTGAAATCATATTAAATAATGCATTATTTGGGAAAACTGCAAATAGTCACAAAACGTGCAAGTTTTATTCCTATCTAACAAATATTGTTTCCCAAATTAGAACGTATCCCGGTGCCAAAAAGACAGCAACGACTAAAGCGGTAAATATGGGCTTTTGGAATATAAAATGAAATTATACATTTTTCTAATTCTATATTATAATATTCAAAAAAGCTTTTGTTCCAATTTGTAAAATTTTTTTCTAAGTTCAGTTGAAGCGCTTGAAATACAAATAATTCTCAAGTAGGTTTCTCAGTGATATTTTAAAACTTGCAAAAATCAACTTAGATATGAAAAGAATATAAATATTTGGAAATCAAACATTTTGTTTTGTTTCAGCTAAAGTTTAGCAAGAGTCGAGACAGTAGCGTAACACTGCTCAGTGATGAAGAAGAAGCAGGAGAATGAACTTCTGAACACAAGGACAATACAAATCAAGTGAACAAATCGAAGCGAAATTTACGCTGCACTTTAATTTTAAGGGAATTCAGTTTAGGTCACAAATCTGAAACCCGATGTCGTGAATCTTCGATATTTCAAACTTTAAATTGTGTTAGATCAAATAATCTAAGTTCAAAGCATTAAGGTTTTAAAGATATAAATTAAAATATTATTTGGTAAAAAGTCCACAAGCTAGATTTTACTATTCTTATTAATTCGGTAAAGCGTATTATATCAAAGGGGACTAACCGGGGTCTAAAAACGTTGGGTAAATCGATATTCTCTGGTTCTCGAAGAAATGGAATTAGAACAGATAATAACCCATGATTAGAAACCTAAAATGACCCATTTTCAGTGTTTTTAAATTTTGACCTCTGGAAGTCATTCATATTTGGAGATTAAAGAAAGATGGAACACACAATTTTAAAAAAGGATTCAGAGAGAAAAGGGAACGAGAAAACACACAGTTTTAAAAATGGATTTAGAACACCATAAAACCTACGATTTCATTCCTAACAAGACCCCTTTTCTTAATGTTAGAAAATCATCTAGAATCAAAAAGGGACCTCGAAAAATTAGAACACTATGGTCTAAATGCTGGAGTGTAAGAAGGGACTTTTACATGGAATCCACTAAAACACCAAAACCTTCTGACTTTTAACTTATCATAACAAAACTGGGGTCGGTTATCTGTGTTCAGATTGACCAAAAATTGTCTGGTCAAGCAGATTTAGAGTTTCGGAGAAAAAATGGTAATTTTCTTTTTTTTAGTTTACTGACGTCAAAATATGACCTTAGATCCCAAATTTTCTTCTTATTTTTGTAGATGACCACAATATCGGGACCTTTACCTCTTTTTGTTTGAATTGGAATTTGGTCAAAACGAATTAAAGATTCTGAAATAATGAAATTTTAAACTTCTAAATGACAAAACTAATTGTTCTCACAACGGCACCGTAGCTGGCAAGATACTAAGATCTAGTAGCTGTATATAAGGAACTCATAATGATTTGGATTTATGTAATTGTGTACTAGTTATAGCTGTAGTTAAATTAGCAGTTAAATTATTGATGTTAATCAGAATATTTGATTATAGATTTGTAAACTTTGTCTGGATTATATATATATTTATCCCCCTTTTAAACATCAAACACATAATTTTCCCCATCAGCTGCATGTTTGCTGTCCTGGTACACAACTCACACAACTAAACATCCCGCTCTAAGAAATTTTTCATAAGACGACGACAGACAACTACTATTTTATTTTTTTAATTTCAAACTTTTCAAAGCCTGTCGTACATATAAATGATATTCATTATATCAAAAAAAATTTTATTCTTAAATCGCTCAAATTACACATAATGCATTTTAATAAATTAGCCCAAGTAGAATGTTCACACATACCTTTGGTATAGTTACAATTATCTAAAATGGAGTGTTCACTTAATTTAAATAATCAATATATTCCCACTTCTGAACTTCTGGAATTAATATCACAAGATGTCTATTTTAGTGCTTGAAGATGTTTTTTGATTTTCCTTCATGACAGAATTTTTTCTTTTTAAGCATAAGCTCGATTCAATAGCCAAAAATAGTTCATTTAAAATTCAGAAAAGCAATATTTTGATCCATGAAAGAAAATTCGGATTTTATTAATATTACACAAAGTTGTTCTAGATGATGCTGTATTTTACTAGTTTATAAATGTAACCGTTGAAATGAATAACATAAAATTTCTGTTAATATGAAGATTTGTGTTTGTGATAGTAAATGTTTGATGGATCTGTTTATAGTATTCATATTAATAAATGTTAATTTATTATTTAATCAAGGAATTCGTGTTTAAAGGTTACTTACGATATATTTATATTTATTAATTTAAAGTTTTTAGATTTTAGATTATTCAAAAACAAAAACTATTAAATTGAGCCACACAAATTTGATAACTTTGATAGGGTTAGGATATCACAAACATTTTCTCTCGGCCAAGAAGAGACCGAGAAAAATGTAATTTTTTATGGATTAAACTACACGTCGGAAACTATAAGTCTAGGTAATGAATATTAAATGGTAGATAAGCGTTTTTTCATAAAAAATCACCCAAAATATGTTCATTGAATAGCCTTTTATTGCACAATAATAGATTTTTCAATTATAAGTAGAAGTGAAATGTAGAAGTATAATTATCAGTAGAAGTGAAATGTAGTGAAAGTTTTATATTTACCATGAATAATGCATTTAAGTTGTAAAGTTATTAGACAGTTAAGGCTAATAAATTTGTTAAAAATGGTATGAGCAGTAAACATAAAACTACTTTAAATTGTTTTTTTTTTAACATTAATACATCAAAATAAATCTTTCAACCCGGAAAAAATTATCTTTTCAGTATTTTAACTTCTAAGTTTCAAATAATCACTCAACTTTCATGTTTCATTATAAATTATTCAATAAATGATTCTTTATTAATAAAATAATGCAACAATTGTTTAAGAGTTTTGATTTTGATGAAATTTAAACTAAAAAGTACTAGGTTTAATTGCATAGGTTGATTAAGATGCATGTTCTAAGAATAACACGCAAATAAAATGAACGATTGCACTGTAAAGACTTTATTTATAAATTAGATTAACAATGATTTGCTTATTACTTATATCTATAAATTTAGCTTGTCTGTTTGTCTGTTTTTTTTTGTATCCTATAAACGTCAAAACGGCTGAACTGATGGAGCCCAAATTTTTTGTAGGACATCACGTGACCACAGGGAAGGTTTATGAATGATAAAAATAAAAATAAAAATGTGTTTTAAAGGTTTTTAAATTGTAAAAAAATTTAAATTCTTGAAAATCCGCGAATTTTTTTTTAAATCCGCAAAAAAATTTTTTCTTCTTTGTTTTAAAATGTAAACAAAAAGAACATGTTCACAATTTAAATAGAAGATGGGCGCGAAGCGCCCTAAAAGCCTAGTATTTCTGAAACTGCCTAGCTATTATACTTCACACCTATATTCTATTGTGAACATTTTCTCTATGTAAACATTGTAAAACAAAAACAAACAAAAATGTTGCGGATTTCTTAAAAAAAAATTTTGAATTTCAAAATTTGCAAAAACAAATTTTGTTAGAGGCAAATATTTGAATACTCGATCCGCCATAAATCTTTCTTTGGGTCACATGAGGTCCGACAAAAAAATTTGGCCCGATCGGCAAAGCCGTTTTGACGATTATTGGATACAAACAAACAAACACCATGCATAAGCCAGGATCCATCTCTACAGCTTCATCTGGTTCTACTATCTTTCCAAGTTCTGTGTCTGAACTGGGAGAATTGGGAACAGCTTGCTCATAGGTTGATAAATCATCCTTTAATTCTGACATTTTTCATCAGCAGCAGCTTCCACATTTACTGTTGGTATGCCTGCTGATGCCTCTACGACCTTAGCTGCTTTCTCTGCAATCATAGCTGCTTCCTCTGCTATCTTAGCTACTTCTCCGGAGTCAACAATCTCTCTGGAGCTGGAGAACTAACAGAAGTGGTTCCAGGCTCAGGAGGATCATCATTTGGCTAAAAATTCACCAGATGGGCCTCGCTTCAGGTCTGTTAAGGGCTGCTCTGTTAGAAATAACGAAATATACTATTACAAAACAACGCACAAAAAAAAAAATCTTTAGCTTGCTTCCATTGTCCCTCTTGCTAGAATTTCTGAACGTTGCAATGAGGAATTTTTCTTATATCATAACAAAATGACTATGTGAAACTTTGAATTGTACTTGTAGGTTTACTTATTTTTTTTACTCTAAAAATTAATTTTTAAAAACAAATATGCTTTTACGAAGAGCCTGTTCCGGATAACTAATCCAGGAAATATTGTTTTTTCTTCTTAAATTTTATAAAAATACGTTTGCACAACAAACAACAGAAAGAAATAATTTGGATAACTAATCCAGGAAATATTGTTTTTTCTTCTCGCAAAAGCATGTTAATTTGTGATAACTGTAATGTAAAAATGTTAAATTTTATAAAAATACGTTTGCACAACAAACGACAGAAAGAAATAATTTGTAACCAAAATTTTAGTGGTTTAATAGTTTTAAAGGTAGAAGGTAAAGTAGAATTTTACACTATAAATATCATAATATTTAAAATTAAGTTAAAAGATATTTATTTAGATTAAAAAACTTGCTTAAATTCTTTTTCAAAATTTCCTTCACTTATAAGTTCAAATTCAAGAATATTAAATTAAGAATTTTCAGAGAGATGCTTTCGATTTTGTTGCAGATCTTTATATTGGTTAAAAGCAATTTTCGGCAAATTCAGTCCAATAAACCTCAAACACCATGATAGATGATTACATCTTAGAAACTCAATTCTATTTGTTCTTTAAGCATCTAAACGCTTTTCTATAAAATTACATTCCCGGATCTGATGATGATGGCATACTTAATTGAGATAAAACTAAAGAATGAATACAAAAAATCATTTTAAAAAGTGTTTTTTTTTAAATCATCTTACATGGTTTGCTATATATTTTTTGGAAAGAAAATTGTCATTTCTGCCTGAAAACAAGGTAAACATTTTCATTATTTCCAACCTTTATAGATATTAATTAGAGATCGATAAGAACTTCAATTCAAATGCAACTAATTTTGTAAAATATAGTGAATCTTTATGAACCTTTAATTTCCGCTGAACTAAGATATTGTATGTGAAATACGAAGAGTGTTTCGGCAAAAAAATTAAAAGTTTGCAATTTTGTTATTAATGAATTGAAAAATAATATTTTTTCCCCATTAAATGCTATAACCATTATTAGTTTTATTTTCTTAATCGCCATGAATGGATTTGATAATAAAGATAAAGTTGTGTTTTTAACCAGTTCTTCACAAATCATGCTATATATCGGTAACTGTGGCCAAAGTTAAATTCTACCTTGAAAATGTTGGAAAATGAACTCAACAACAACAAAACATAAACTGAAGCATATTTATTGCTATCAAAATTTGCATTTTTCAAGAGCTTAAAAAAACATTAGTTGTTAACTGATAATTTAATAATCTATATAATAAAACAACGCAACATATATATATATGTTGCGAATAGCTGGCCAAACAGCTCGACCGATTGGGCTGAAATTTTTTGTGGACACTCAAGGGTGGCAGGGGGGTGTTATAGGCTCAACAAAATTCAAAATAAAAAATAAAAAAAATTCCACGGGCAACGCCGGGCCATTCAACTAGTTAAACATAATATATATTCATATTCATATATATGTTGCCTATAGCCGGACAAACGGCTAGATTGAATGGGCTGAATTTTTTTGTGGAAATTCCAAATTTTTTTCAACATTTTTCTTATCTGTTATTTTATTTATTCTTCAAAATTAACGGGCAACGCCAGGCCCTTCAGCTAGTTAAACATATTTAGTTTTAGGGCATGAGCTCGGGGTTGGGTAAGCTGTGCTACTTGTTCCTGTGTTCAATAGTGATGTGTCTAAAGTTCAAATTACATATTTTTGCACTAACCTAAGCATATTGTGCTGCTTATGTTAAATCTGTCACGTAGCTGGGGGGAATAAGAAAATTGAAAGATGCCTAAATTTAAAAAATCTTATTTAAACAAAACAAAAACTTTAAAAATGTCAGCGAAAAAGTCAAAAAGGTGCTGAAAACCCACAACAACTAATTATTTTTGAGTGTCTAAATGTAGGGAAAAGTTAAACGTCTTATGAAAATTGTTTAATCCCTTTTTCATATGAATGAATCATTACAGTATTCAGTTTACACTGAACATCTAGACGAGCTAAAACATCTCAAATAAAACTAAAAACGTGATAAATTGAAACAGTTCCAACTACCATCAGGTAGCTAAAAAATGATATAATACTAAAATTCATAAACCATTTCTTATTAATACTTGGTTTATAAGTCTTAATCGTAGTACGCATACAGATAAAGTAGAAACACTAACGTAAACAGTCCCCTTGCCCCCCCCCCCTGAGCATCCCAAAGGGTACCCCTTCCCCATTGAGATTTTTTAGCAAAGAATAAAATCAGGTGTGGTAGATAAAAAATGAGCTATACAAGTGTTTGACAACTCTTCCCGTAACTCGCATGAACGGGTGAGGGCAATATATACAACTACAATAGGGGAAGAAAATTGGGGGAGAATACAGAGGAGGGAGGACTAGTCAGGGGAGAATACAGAGGAGGGAGGACTAGTCAGGGGAGAATACAGAGGAGGAAGGACTAGTCCGGGGAGAATACAGCGGAGGGAGGACTAGTCAGGGGAGAATACAGAGGAGGGAGGACTAGTCAGGACTTCAGAGAGTAATACAGAACTTTACAGAGGGAAATATTATAATATATATAGTCCATGAATTGGGACCACTGTGGACTTCCAAGGGAGCATGTAGACTTTAAATAAAATAAGAGCAGTTTTAGGGCAAGGAAAATAAATTTTCGTGCTCCGCACTACCATCTTGCCCCCCCCCCCTCTGCCTAAAATCATGTGTACGCGCCTGAGTAGAAATCGTAATTTGTAAATTTATGAAATAAAGCTCTTTGCTTTTAAATGTATTTATTTATATAGATTGGAAAGGAATTGAGTTTTTGCCACAAACTCTGATTTTCTAATTCCTATAACTTTGCAATCCGTTTTCCTAGACCTTTGATATTTCAAACTATTAATTCTGTTAGATCAAATAGTCTAAGTTTGAAATATCAAAGGTTTACATCATCAGATTGCAAAGATATAGGAGTTAGAAAATGCGAGTTTGTGGCAAAAACTCAATTCCTTTAGAATAATTAAGGTACATTTTATTTTTCGACTGGGTTATGAAACAATTGTGAAAAACGTTTCATCTGTGGATCATCTCTCCTGGTGAAATTTTACATACGAAATTAAGCTCTTAACGTAGACATTATAAACCATTAAAACGTCTCAATGGTATCAAAAAGGGCAGGCCCAAGGAGAGTAAGAACGTTGGATGATCCTTGCAGCTTCTATAGCTGCAAACTCCTTTCTTGCTAATTCCAGATGCTCTGCATCAGGCTGGTGGGCCTTGGCAAACACAATTAGGCCTGGAAAGGTAGGAACGGTATCTGCAGCCAAGAAACCCTTAGGAGGAAATCACATCTGGATACTCAGACAAACGATCATGAAACTCCTCAGGGGTAGAAAGAAGAGTTATGTATAGATCTGAACTGCTGTTGGATGAGCTAGATTAAATGGCAGGTATAGATTCAAGGGTTGAGGAGTCAGGTAGGCGGGAACCTACAACATGCATTGGCCAGGAGATGGTTGTGGCTTAAGAAATTCAAACCCAGGATTGGCACAGAAATGAAGAGCCAAACGGCAGGAACCATAAGTGTTCATAGGGGAAACTTTGGCAGTTCTCATTTGTATCCCAGAACCTGGAGCTGAAGGTGAGCTGGGTAGGTGAGTGAAAACGGACACAGAAGCTCCAGTATCCACAAGGATCTTGGTGGAACTCAACCTGAGGCAAAGACAAAGATTCGGTGGAAACTGTGTTAAGAATATCCCCGCTGTCACCTAGTTTCCTGACTGGGAACATGATGATCTGCACTCTAGTTGGCCTCATATCCCATTGGTGAGGATACCAGTACTCTGAGGAGAAGGATGTAGATGAACCTGGACTACTGGTTCGACTAGAGGACAATCTTGTTCCGGGTCTCCGGGATACAAGAGCAACAACTTCATAATCCTGAGGAGAGAGAGAGCTTGCACAGAATTAACTCTTCCTCTTACTGTCCAGAGCTCATCTACTCTAGTAGCCATTTGACTAGGATCAGCAAATGTCAAGAGATGGGACCAGATATCTGCAGGAAGACGATCCATAGAAAGTCCTAAGAAGATGAAACCTGGCTTCTTGTCTTCAAGGAAGAGAACCAACATTTATCCATCAGCTCCTATGTTCTCTGATCCCTTAGAACTGGGATACATCTGGAGGGCCATGGAACCACTGGAAATTGTTCAGGGTATACATTTTAACGAGATCTCAGGGCTGCATAAAGTTCTGCTGGAGGATTGCGAACCAAATATTCGAGGGGAGTAGCAACATTCTGAGGCAGGGCTGCAACGGAGTGATAGAACTTGGTCAGGGAGGTTGTCACACATTTGATCGCAAACTGGTACTTGGCCTGGTGGAACCACACCTCTAGAGAATCTGTCCAGAAGGTGGGCAACTTGATGGACACCATTGTGAGAGAGGCCTGGCCATCTGTGGTAAACAGCTCTATGTTCGCTGAAAAAGAAACAGAACGTCTCGTTTATCGGAAATCCTATACTTTGGAATATGGTATGAAAAGATCAGTGACCCGGCAAAAACCAATTTCAGATATGTCAACAACAAAAATATCATGTCGGGGTCACCAAAATGTAGCGACGAAAAAAGAACCAATAAATATATAAATATAAATATAAATATAAATATATAAATATATTATATATAAATATAAATATATTCGGTTTGGAATACAGAGCTTCCAGACTGGAAGCCGACATCTCTGGTTTTCCACAATGATTCATTTTTTGTAAAATTTGATAAACCCTAAAACCTGATATTAGGAGTGATGTATTCTTCAAAAGATAAAATCTTTGTTGCTAAGGAAGTAAACAGACAAAAATATTAATAACATTTATTCAGTTCTTATCTATATAGTCAATATATAGCTTATTCTTAATTTTTAATTTCAAATTCAAAATAATTAAGATATAAAATTAAAGTGTCCATAAAAAGTATATTAAAATATATACTATATGATGGTGTAAAGCTCTTACAAAATAATATGTCATGTTCTTTCCAAAAAATGTATTTTGGAATGTATTTTTTATTGAAATTGAAATCCCAAATATTAAAGCATTAAAAATATCACTATTTCAATTAAAGCAATTGCATAATATAATTGTTTCAGATCTTTTTTTACATCTGGTTGTATTTCAAAAGTTACACATAAGTGTCAATTAACACACTGTGATTTTACATACTACGTGTTTCTTCATGGAGTCTGAAAGAATCTAAATAATGAGTGAATTAATCAGCGTGTAGGAATTGAGTCTTTGTCAAAAACCCTGATTTTCTAATTTTTAAATTTTTGTTGCATCAAAATGTCTTATACCTTCGATACTTTAAACTATGAATTCTGTTAGAAAAGCAAATCTGCGTTTGAAATATCAAAGGTTTACATCACCAAGTTGCAAAGATATATGGATTAGAATATTGGTGTTTGTGACAAAGACTCAGTTCCGTTACCTACAAAAGGCAGTTAAAGCGACTGTAAGCGTAATTAAAAGTGACTTTTCATGCAAAGAGGATAATGCCCGATTTACAACAGTTACCTTCTAACTGTTGTGTTTTCAACGAGTACAGAAATATCAGTATGTAACTTTTCAAAAACCGCTGATACGTAACTAGCGTCTTTTTAATGTAATAGACGGTTTACAAACATTTGAAAGTAAATATTTATTTTCTGCCACTTGCAAACAACGTGTTTAACAAGTAAAAGCGTTTCAGTAGATTCATTTGGATACTTCTGACATCCTTGATCAGTCAAAGGTTTTAAGGGTACCGTTGTGATTCGGGAAAGCCCCTCTTTAAATGAGAGGTCACTTGAAATTACGCTTACAGATATACAGGTACAGATATTTTATATTTAGGCAAACCAGATTATGAATGAGGAATTTCTAGGGCAGGTAAATAAATAAAGCAGATTATATTTGAATAAATAGTAATGGATCTAAGATTATGTTCATTTATCGAAATATATATTTTGGTTATTCATTTGTTTTGAAAATGTGAACAACCCTTTTATAGTTTACAATGCCCAAAAAAAAACGTCCGAAGCAAAGACGTTTTAACTTTGATCTATGTAAATCAATGTTATAAATATTAGATAGAGTGCAATTTGATCTGGGAAAAAGTACATAATATGTAAACATTAAATTTATATCAACGACCATTTGAAATTTTAAAAAGAAAGGGAATAGGCAACTTCCTATTGGAAAAAGAGATTATATAGGCTGCAGGCCTAAGTATCATAAATATTCATGAAGTACAAACTTGTAGATAATTCTTGTACTTTTTAATAGATTGAAGGAGCTTCGAGATGGACTCAATGGCTGGGAGCTGTATTTGGAGCAATTTGTGAGTATCAAATAGTATTAAAGAATTTAATGACCTATACGTTTTTTATTATTATTATTTGATTATACCCTAAATCTTTTATTCAGTCTGAAATAAATTTCTGAAAACTAAAATGTTTATCATAGAGTAAGTAAACCGGTTTAATACTTCTCTGTTATTTTTTCAGTACTGAAAACAAACGCATGAGAAAAATAATCAAAACATAACATATATTATATTAACAATGACATTCATAATTCTAAAAATTGCGGAATTCTGCGTATTTTGAAATATTCGAACATAACAACAATTCGATACACTAATGATAGAACAATAAGAAAAGAAAATTTGTGATCATATTTCATTTATTGGTTTTACGAACAAGACTGGCGTTTATATTAGTAAAATTTTAGTGGTTGGACTATCTGGAGTTCTTCCTCTACTAGTGGTACCCAAAACCATAGCAAAAGATGGGAAAGACAGAATGCTTTTGAATATAATGCTAGGTAATCTATTAAAAATATCCTTCAAGTTCCCTCGTCTGAATTTATGACGATTAAGTTGTTCAGATTTACTTTATTGGACTTTTTATAACGTTTTTATCAGACACATCATTTGATTCCATCAAAATGTCAACTCCAAACAGCCTGTCTTTAGATTAAGACCAATTCTAGGACAAGCCGAAGACTGTTCACAGACCTGACTGTATAAAATTCTTTAATGACCAATTAAACACTTTTCACATCAGCCATATGAAATGATATAAAAAAGTCCCGCGGTTTTTATGCAAATTAAAAATGAAATTACTACATAGTACAAACAATATTTATGTTTTAACTTTCTTACTGAGAGATGTATTTTATTGACCCAATCAAAATTGTCCGTAGGTTTTGCTGTTGGGGGGCTTTTAGGTGACGTTTTCCTTCATCTACTGCCTGAAGCTTATCAGCAGGCAAACATTATTTTTTTTCAAATTCCTAGAGTGTATGAAATGTATTTTTTCTCTGATTTTTCCATATGCATAAAAATGGGAATTTTTTTACTTTCTTTAATCATTACGTAAATGTCGTTACTCTAGTTGGGTAAATTTTATTAAGACATGACTTTTTAGATACGTACGTTTCTTTTTGTTGTAAATAAATTCTTCAGAAAATATTTTTTTACGTGTTTTAATTACTTTTCAATTTGAATGTGTTCTAAATTTTTTATTTATCAAAAACAAAATCTCTGATCTTCATTTTGTCCTCCGTATAATGTGTAAAATCCCTTGTAAACAAAATAAAATGTAGGCGATTGATTCTGGCGAGGAAACAGGGTTGTGTAAAGTTGGCTGGTCAATTATCACAGGGATACTGGTCTTTCTTTTTCTTGAGAAACTATTAGAGATTAGTAACCCAGAGACAGATGAGTCTAGGAAGAAAGAAGAAAATAAGTATGTTTTTGTTTAGCACGCAATTATAACTAATTCTTTTGTTGAATGATTTTCATATATTTTCTTTATCCTTACTTAACCGATTAGTTTTGATCTCAATTTTGATGATTACCTTTATAATTTAATTAGTGTAACAAAAAAGAAATTATTCTAATTGTCGGTCTTATTATTTTAATTACAAAACATGTCGTTAGTCTTTTTCAAGATCGCTCTTTAGATTTTTTTTACTGCTTACTTGTTTATGATTTTTATTTTAATAAGTTTAGGTACCATTCTTCCAAAGCTTTGATTATTATCCAAAAAGCTCATATGGTCACTCTACTTCACGCAAAAAAACTTATTCCTCCATTTTTTTATTCCTTGGCCAGTAAGCCAAACCCGGGCTGACCCTTTTTTCTCGATGTATTGTGGGTTTATCTGAAAGTTTGGCTTTGTTTTAAACCCTTTCTAAATTTAGGTCCTCGTAGCGTTTATATTTTGGCACGGTAGTCTGCCATCTTTGTCCCTATTTTACTTATTTACAACAAATTCAAAATCTTATATTTCACATATATAAATATTATAATAAAACTAGCTTGGGAACCCAGCGTTGCCCAGGGAACTCATAGTTACTACCCCGCCGTTTATACATGCTTCGGCGTAAATTACGATTTTAGCTATTTTTCCCTTGAAAAATGGACTCACTCATCTTAGAATCTCAATACCTAAAAAACTTTTCCATCGATCTCCTGAGTTCCACAATCAAAATTTGAGGAAAATCGGTCAAGGGGTTTTTGAGTTATGATCGGACGTACAAACAAATACAAGAGAGGAAGCGCTGCGGCTAGAATAACCAAGGGGACCGAACGCTGTTGTTTGGTTGCGAGACCCGGGTAGAAATATAGAGGGAATGTTGTAATTTACTTATATACCAAATGTCATAAAGAGTATCTGACATATTTAGTAAATATTGTGCTTGTTATGGTATTGACCATATGTATAATAGAAAAAATGACCATAAAGCTTGTGTCGAGTAAAGCCCGGCGAAATTTTGAAATTATGCTGTGTAGGAAAGTGCTTGGTTACCTAAACCTAATGGCCAACTGCACAGACAATCTTTTACATGGTCTAGCAGTTGGAACTAGTTTTCTCACAAGCTGGAAATTAGGTGATTTTTGATTCATTTGAGAATTTTGAGATTTATTTTCAACCAAAGAATTTGTTCTCTCACCTTAATCACTGCATTGGAATAAATGATTTTTGGAACTTTATCGAAATTTATCAGCATTGCCTGACAATGGAAACAACTAACACCTTCATCTTCTAAATTGGTCTACCTGATCTTCGTAAATTTTTTCTTGAGAATTGAAAAAGACGTAGCTTCAAGAATTATCTTAAAATAATCTTTACTTGGGTTAAAAAATATAGCATTTTTGTCAAGGTTTCAAAGAGCACGAAGAATTAGTACTTTTAGAGGCTGATCATATTATTTATAAAATTTTATTATTTTTATATTACAAAATGTTGTGCTTTGATTTAGATTTTGATTCTTTAATTCCATCAGGTTTAACAACAACTTTTGCAATACTTGTACACGAGATTCCACATGAATTCGGAGATTTTGCCATTTTATTGAATGCAGGATTTGACAGGTAAAAACTTAAAAATGTATCTTTTTAAAATGCAGATCAATGAAATACTTAATTCTTTTATTTTAGATGGGATGCTGCAAAAGCTCAAATGTCCACTGCACTTATAGGAATGCTAGGCGCACTTCTAGCATTAGGTAACGCGCACTTGTTATCAAATTTGTTTTCTGAGTAAACTTATTGAATTAAATGTATATAAATGTGTTCTGAAAATAGTAAATATAATTAGATAAAACTAGGGATCGATCACTTTTCTTTTAAAAAAAAGTACAAAAAATGTATTAACGTCGTAGAAAAAAATTTAAATCAAAGCAATCGTTTTTTAAATTCGTCGTTTCGATAACAAAGGTAGGTCGTTTTTTGTTTTTGACGATGACCTATCTTCATTGACGATCGTTAACGACAACCCTTAGTCATCTTCAAAAAGATTAATAATGAGCGGTTCTTTCATTGTTAATAGACTAAAAGCTAATTGTTATACAAACTAATTATCGAGTATTTTTTAAGAGAATATCAAAATTTTCGTTTTATGGATTCGTTTGTTTTTGAAAACACGATTAACGATACTAGATGAACTATTTGTTCTAGGCTTGGATTCAAACAATGATCTGAGCTCTCTCCTACATAATATTCTTCCTTTTACTGCCGGAGGGTTCTTAAACATTGCCCTAGTTACGGTGTTGCCCACGCTTATGGAGGTAAGCTTTTTTATATAGTTTTTATTTGAATTCTGATTATTATTGTCTGTGTAATTTTAGGTGATAATCTATTTAAAGAGAGGCATGACCAATTCGCAATGGTACCCTTGAAACCTTAATATGATCAATGATATCGTTTTCATAACTTGAAAGTGTAAAATTATAATAATTTCTCCATTGTTTCTGAATCAATAAATGTGCAAGCATCTTTTAAAGAGTAACAAACGAAACTAATCAGTTTTTAAAAACAAAGAATGGATAACTTTTCCATACACGATTAGAAAAAGCTTATAAGAGTACCGGTGTGAATTGAACAGGCCATTGTATCATTAGAGGGTCACTTATAATTACGTTTACAGTCCCTTATGCTATCACACTCAGAGTGACCAGCACACTTATTAAATATCGTTTCTGATTAATGATGATTTTATTTAGGAAAACCGACCATGGCCTGCATTTTTGCAATTTGTATCTGTAATTGCAGGCCTTATATCAATGTATTTGCTGACTAACTGATTTCATTTGTCATGTAGTATTTGTATGTATCATATTCTTTCGTGAAGCAAGTGCTTTTTAAAATTTCTTTAAAACATTATTTCCATTGTTAATTAAAAGAAATTATTTCTTTTTATCTATGAATGACGTCCAAGGTGAGGAATTTCCGAGTAATTTCTCAAGAACAAGTTCTTGTGACCGATTCCTCGGAAATGCTTGAGAAATTTTCCGTATTTGGTCCCCAATTTGAGAGAGTTAGAATTAGTTTCGAGAAATTCTCAGGACTTGGTTACCAATTTTAATGTTTTTTCGGGGAACTGAATAAGAGACATTAAAGTCTTGAGTTATTCTTGAGAATTTCTCAGGAATTTTACTGGAGAAATTCCTGAGAATTTTACGATTTTTTTGGGAAACAGATTAAATGACTCAGTTTCTTCTCAAGAAAGTCCTAAGAATTTCTCAAAATAAATTTCTCCGGAAATTCTCTGAAAATTCTCAGGACTTCATCACCAGTTCTATAGAATTTTCATGTTCCGTTTTTCTTCAATAGGTGTCTCTGAGGTTCCCTGCTATTTTGCAGTGACCTCACTAAATCTTTAAAAAAATTATTTTGGAAAAATTGTAAATTTTTTTATTTGTTCTTGACAATTCAGTTGTCTAAAAAAAATACATGACAACTTCAGTAAGATCAAAAACGACTATAGTTCTATAGCAATTAGTTCTGAGAACTTTTCTCATGAAATTCCCAAGAACCCTCCGGTAATTGTCCAGAATTGGTAACAAGAAATTTCCTAGAATTGGTTACAAGAAATTTCTTGGATAGGGTTATAAGAAATTCCTCAGAATGAATTACAAGAAATTCCTCGGAACTGGTCACAGGAATTATTCCTTGGAATAGGTTACGAGAAATTTCTCGGATTTTCTGTTGACATTGTCACCGGATTTTCCTGTGAAAGATTCCTATACATTTCCGCGGATTCCCAGGAAAGATTCCTGGGAATTTCTGCGGATTTTCCGCAAACTTGTTACCTCGGATAGCTCAATATTTTATCTTAAATAACTTTGATTTTGTAAAAAATATTGTAACTTTTAAAAGAAGTATTATAGTCCAAACATTGCCAATAAGTTTTTTAAGTTTGTTATTAGTGTTCAATACTTTCAGAATAAAAAATCCTCAATTACCAGAAGTTTTTTATTTACCAAATAGCTACTATTGTAATAACTCTGTTCGTGACATACTTGTTAAGTCAATTTTCTATTAATCTTTCCACCGCCCACCGGTTACAGTACATTGTGTATCGAATGCAAACACACAGAGCAATAAATTATCCCAGATGGAAGTAAAACTGTCTTTTTAAATCAGAAATACTAAAGAGAAAAATCGGGTTTCACTTGGGGAAAAATAATTTAATATGTTCATTCATTTTAATAATAAATTTTATTATTACAAAAAAACATCTATACTTACAATAATAAGACAAATTTCACAGCACAAAAAGCAATCTAAGTAAAGCAAATTCAAAATTCAAATACAAAAAAATATTGATTACTCTTGTAACATTTTCAAGCGCAAAGATTAAAGAATATGCATTAATTTCAAGTTTTTTTTTGCTACTGAATTTAAAAGTCACATCATCTCGACAAGAAATTATATTTTAATTTTACATGAAAAATTTCTACTTTAGTCATTGTACTCATTAAAAGACACAGTAACACTCCGAACCCCCTAGATGCCGTCAAATATTTGTCAATCGAACTTTAGTTCAATTTGAATCACACATTTTTTCTAATCTATTAATTAATTATTTTTTTCTCATAAGTGCTTCATATTCATATTCAAAATCACAGTTGATTATTGCATCAATACTGAAAATAAGTAAATGAATATTTCCCATAAAACTGGTAAAGAAAGCGTCCGAAAATTTTCGACGGCAGATAGAAGTGGGAAGATGGTAGACTGAAACGCTATTTTCCTTTGAAAAAACTCAGGGTTGACCTTTTCTTCTTTAACTGGTAGTTTGCATTCTCCCCTAAATAAATGTTATGGAATAATAATTAAATCAAGCTCTGTCATTGACATACCATTTCTTTCGCAAAAAAATTCTAAAAGTGTTTTAAACTAAAATTCTTTAATGTCCTGCGACATGAAAAAAAAACATATACAAATTGGCTTTAAAAGTTCTGATATTTTGAAGAGATAATAGCGTAAGAAATTTAATCTTGTGTGCAATATAAACGACTTTATTCTAATGTTTTCTTATGAATTTTAAATCTTTGCTTACTTCCTGAACTCTTTGATCTTTTTAGACAAAATTATAGTTTAACTTAATTTAAAAAAAGGAAAAGTTGTTGTTATTTTGTGCTCCAAATATAATTTTAATTAATCCCGCAGGCAATTCACTTTAATTGTTTCAAGTCCGAAAACAACCTCGAGGCCAAATTAATATATCTTTAAAAGAAATCATAAAACTATAATAATTTATCTTTATCAAACATAAAACTAAATTATGCCTAAGATCATGAAGCATTAGAATCTTTTCCAAAGAAGTGTCCAAACTCCCAACACACATTTAGTTTTAGAAGAAAAATTAAATCTAAAATTATTAATGTTCCTAAAACGTAAGCAGAAAGAATTCAATAAACTACGCAGAAAATATAAATTGGTTCGACAAAATTCAAATTTGATAAAATTTTGTGGTCAAAACAATTCCTTCTGTATGTTGCATGCCAGGTCTATTGATTCAGAACACAAAGTTTGCGTCATTCAAAACTTAAAATATCATTTATAATCCCAGACAGGATGAAATGTTTTATTTGCAGAATTATTAACTGGGAGCAATTTCAACTTTTTTTGGCTGGGCCTTTTAGTTCTATAAATTCGGAAGGGGGGCGAACCGATTTTCCCCCCAAAACCCCTCACCAAATTTCACCCCCCTCGCGCCCCCTAACTTGACTCCAGCATGATCATGATTGTGGACCATCTTTTATCAATTTTTTTAATTAATCAAATTTAACGCTAGTTAGAATTACTAACTATTTTATCGTTTTCAACTTAAAGAAATTCAGTCTCTCTTAATTTATCCACTTAAAAAACCTACGGCTAGGACAGGCTAGGGGACCGAGCGCTGTTGCCACATTATCAAATTGAAAAAGTAATATCCAATATGTGAAGTTAGGTTAGGTTAAGACAATCTTTGGGCCGAGCGCTGCGGCTAGGACAAGAAAAGTTGTCAGACCTAAAAAACTTGTGCATCTGACCTACAAAAGTTGTGCATCCGACCTACTAATGTTGTTTATCTGACCTAAATGCAGTGCATCGGTCCTACAAGAGGTCTGCATCCAACCTACAGATCAGTGTGCAACCGACCTACGGTAGGTCGGATACACTAACTTTTTTCAATTGAGTTTGTAATCCGACATGCAGTTCAACAGCAGTTAGACGCTGCTGAAAAACCACGTACGGGTGGGTCCGAAGTATCGTTGGACGGATGTAATGTTGTGCGGATGTAATACAATCCAAAAATTCTCCTTGAAACCATTTTTAGTTTTATTTTACCAATAATAAACCCACCTTGATTTAATGAACTGTCTTGTTCTTCTGACGGCTTCATCGGAGCCAACTGATAAAAATACAAATTACTTATTTTTATCAATAAATATTTTCATTTTGTGACTTTCTTATCATTTACTACCTGGACAGTTTCTGTTATTTGTGTGATATCTTCCGAAGATTTTTTCCCTTCCTATGTGAGACATATTATTAAAACGCAAAGTAAAGTTTTGAATAGAAAACGTTTATATTGAAGATAAAAGAATGTTTTAGTGTTATGATAAATACCTGCATCTTCGTCTTGAATAATTTACTATTAAGCTTACTCATTTTTCTAAAAATGGGATGATTTAAAACATCCATCGTGTCGGCCTCAATATTGTGCAGTTTACGAGGTAATTTTTTCATAGACAGGCTTCTAATTATAAAGTTCTGTAAATTAACCATTCTATAGCTTCTGTTAATAATTTTTTTATTAATTAGGATAATTATCAAAGACAAAAACGGATCTTCTTTAAACAGAAAGTTTTTAAAAAATTAAGTCTTTGTCACAAACTCAGATTTTCTAAACCTCGTATATTTGCAACCCAATGTCGTATACCTTAGACATTTCAAAATATGAATTTTGTTAGATCAAATAATATAAGTTTTAAATATCAAAGTTTTACACCATCAGGTTAAAAAATAGGGATTAGAAAATCGGAGTTTGTGACTAAAACTCAGGTCCTTTCCTAAACCCTTACACCTTAATCCCATAGTCTATAATATTATTTAATTAGAGTTTGAGGTGAATGAAAATTTATATTAGGCGTGTTTGCAGTTAAACGATTCTTATAAAACTAAATATTAATCAAATTAATCAATTAATGAAAAGGGAACAAAGCTTAAACTTTATAGTAGTGACGTCAACAGGTCAGGTTCCCCCTGGAGCAGGCCAGGGAACTCTTTGTCACTATTGCTCCTCAAAATTCACTTTTAGTAAAAAGTTTTATAATTTTGGCAGTTCTTTAAACCTTTTAATTTGTTTTAATAAATTGTGCATAATTCACAATGGCTTGTTTTAATTCATAATCAATGATCTAATATTGTAAAGAATATATCACAAAATATAATTCATCAAGAATAAAATTTCTAAGGAGAAATAAGAAAAATATGATGAGCTTCGACTAAAATGTGCGTGTGACTTCTTCCTGAGTTGTAATAAAAGTGGTTGAAGTATAGTTTAGTTGTGTCATGTTTACGTGTTTGACTTCATCATCGATCAAACATTTGATAAAAATAGATATATACCAAAAATAACTCAGATATTACGCCTTACAATTTTACAACAAAATGTGTAAGTAAACTTCATTTCAAATAGAAGAACACTCCAATTTCCACTTACCCCGTCCGTGTGTTTTTATTTAATTTGGCGCTATTCAAAAATAATGATTGTTAACATGTTTTCCGAAAAAATTGTTTCAAGTTAACATGAAACTGAATAAAAAGGCAACATGAACCTACATCTAGACATTGTTCAGATTTTACAAAGCCATATCTGGTTTTCTTCATGATTAAAGCGGATGAAAATGCACTGCATAGAATTGGATGAGGGTCCAGATTTAAAGTTAACATTGACCTTTAAAACAAGTATTTTATTTCAAAAGCACAATTAACTACATAAATGATTTTAAATATAAAATCATTTATCTTCATCTAGGCGCAGACATTTTAACATATTTAGTTAAGATGGCCAGCATTTAAAACTTTTAGAGCGCTCTAATGCTAGGTGAAATCATTGACAGAATCATGGTTAATAATGTGCTGATAATGAGAATTTCCAGGGAGCCCAAAACTTCCATCGAAGACCCCTAGATCTTCTTCACAGACCTCAAGCTTTTCATTTGAGACCACACAAATGTTCTGTATACCACATGTTTTTCATCATAGACCCCCAGAATTGCATTGTAGACCCAAGACTATCATCAAAAATCCCAAGCTGTACATCGTTTGAGACCCTAAATTGTCATTGGAGACCATAAGCTTGTCAACGGAGACCCTAGATTGTCATTGGAGACCATAAGCTTGTCAACGGAGACCACAAGAGTTTCATTGTAGACCCAAAGCTTTTCATTTGAGACTCTCAGATTTTGATTTGAAACCTTTAGCTTTTCAAGGGAGACCCCTTGTTCTTTATTTTAGGAGTCTCTGACGAACATCGGAGGGTTTTCAAGGAACATATTGGCCGATGAAAAGCTTAGGGGTCTCTAATGAAAATCTAAGAGTCTTCGATGAAAATCTTGGTGTCTCCAAAGAAAATTTAAAGTCTCCGATGTAAAGCAGGGGGGTTTCCGATGAAGAGTTTGGAGTCTCCAATCAAAATATGGGTCTTGGGGTCTCTGGTGAAAAGCTAGAGGTCTTTTATTAAAATATGGAGTCTCCAATTAAAATAGTGGGGTCTTCGATGAAATGGCTGTAGGGGTCTCCAATGAAATTGTGCTCCAATGATTCTGATTTTTTCCCAGACTCATTTATACACAGGATCTCGTGCAACAACAATCAAAAAATTAGATGTTGACCCTTATTTCCCTTATTTCGAAATTTTAAGTATTTTGAGTGTTTTCAAAGTAATGAGATATCGTTTTAGAACTGTATCAAACAAAACCAAAAAATCTGCGCAATATTCGTAATTTCTACCCAGTATAAACTCATCTTTTTTCGAAAATTGTTCAGGCTAAAATGAAACAAAAATGTTAAATCATGATCTTGAATTGCAAAGAAATGTTTGCTTAAAGAAAACATGGATTTTCTTACAACTTTTTTTCTTCATTGAGAATTGTAAACTCATGGTTTTTAAGATAATTGGATAAATTGAAGCTGCAGCTGGAAAGACTTGCAAAATAATTAGGGAACTACGGAATTATTTTGCAAATTCTTCATTTAGGCAGCCCTGCAGAAATCATACCAGTATACTGCCCACTCCCAGTCAGTGTACAGTGCTGTATATATACTTTTCTTATTATCAATTCAAGATATTTCGTATTATCAATTCCAAACAGGAACCATAATGTGCACTATTCTCTCTGTCTCTGCTCCACTTGTTGTAAAATAATTATTGTACGCAACTTTATTTTAAGAAATGGTCAACAAAATTTGAGTTTTTCATTCCAAAACCAGTCTTTCAAATTTTGGAGGGTCATCAACGATGCACAACGGCGCCATTATTAATATATCTATGATGAAGGCATCTTTAAATTTCTTGCTTATAAACTTTACATTTCTGAAAAATTTATCTACAGCAGATGTTCGAAAAAACTAAGATTTGTTACGATTTTGTTAAAAAAAAAATTATATGTTTGTCGCTTGGCATTCTTGTTTGACACTTCCCTTTAGTTGACTTAGTAGAGTTTAAAGGAGCAAACTATTAAAACTGACACCAGGTTCATATTATGATATTTTTCAGAGGTTTTTTTACTAATATGAATAACAATAAGAAGGTAATGCTTGCAATAAACAAACTTTTCTCGGTAATGATAAAGATTTGGAGTTTTAATTATTAAGTAATGAATCAATAATACTGACCTTAATTTTAATTGATATTTAATGTACAAAAATGTTTAAAGGGAGTGACCAGCAATGCAAGGTAGTTGAAGTGAGTTCGGATTCATTGGAGACACATTAAACTCTTTACAGATCTGTAAATCCTGAGTTTAAGCGCAAATTCGACGTTCAAAACTCCTACTTTGGAGGTTGCTACGTTTTCAGAATTAGTTTTTTTTAATAATCAAATAACGACGACATCAAATGTAAAAATTTCTACAATAAACTACAGACGTCATGTATAGGAATATGTTGAGAAGATAAAAATTTATCTTATCATCGAAAATAAGTAATCTTGTTCAATTATTAGTTTCTATTTTCTCATTATTCTGGTTTCTCAGTATTTCACAAAGATTTTCTAGAATTATTATTGAGAAGACGACATTTGAAGAATTTAAATAAATCTGCGAATAAATTCAAAGAAAATAAGAAAATCCATATAATAATGAAAACGAAATAATCGATTTTTCCACAACACTGCATAGTCAGTTCAACTACCTTACATAGCGGTCACTCCCCTTAAAGTCTTGTTCAGAATTTTAAGATTTAATGAGTCGATGTCATATTCCATACAAAGCTTAAATCATGTGGTATGTGAGTAAAATTTAGCCTTAGACATTTGCAATTGAGGGAGTCGAGTGTTTTGATTTCACATTAAAAATTTACAAGAAAATGTATAAATCAGGTGGGGGGAGATGTGAGGTAACAGAAGGTGATAGAGGGAAAGGGGCGTTGCTTTTAGGGAAAGAGAGAAAGATAAGATTAGGATAGGAAAGGGTGCAATCAATCCTAGTAATCTACATCTGTCTAAATATTTATCTTCAGTTTATCTTAAGAATTAGCCGAATAAATTCATTTCATGAAATAAAAAAAGCCTTTTCAATAAAAGTGTTGTTTTATAATTATGCCTTTTTAGTGGTGCCTTAAACTATTTTTTCAATTATGGATTTGTGAAGCAGTGTGCAGGATACAAACTCTAAGTGACCAATATTCAAAGGTAATATATTTAGATATTAAATATGTTTCTTATGTTTTTTCCATTTAACAAAAAGATCTAGCAATTCTTATTGATAATCATAATGGTTTGCTATATTATGGACAAACGCAGAAAAGGACAAACATCGGACATTATTCTGTCCCTCGTAAGTCCCTGTTCTATGTTTTTCTGCCCTTTTTTGTCCTAGACCTGTCTGTCCTAGACCTGTCTGTCCTAGACCTGTCTGTCCTAGACCTGTCTGTCCTAGACCTGTCTGTCCTAGACCTGTCTGTCCTAGACCTGTCTTTCCTAGATGTATCTTATGTTTTTCCAAAGTTTTCCCAGTATTCCTTGTGTAGGCAAAAATAAAGCAGTTTTAGTATTTCAAGTTTTGCGTAACAAAATTTGACCTTTGACTCGAGCGACAAAAACAAGCAAACTCAAACTGGTATCTATCTAAAGGTTTCTTCATTTTTCATATTCTATCATAATTGTGACATAAGGCAGCAATTTAAATAATTCAGGAAAAATAATTGTCTCTTGAAAAACAATTTAAATCTTCAGTCTCGAATAAATACACCAATAATAATAATAATAACGTTCAACGTTAATAAGGGTAGTCGAAGTTGTTGCTTTTGTTATTAAATAAGACTTAACTCTAATAAGTAGCTCCAAATATATGGTAGCTCTTCTTGAGAAAATTTGTCTCTGATTTATTTAAATGCGAATTCACTCCTAGTCCTACTCCTTGATGGAGTACTCAACCATCTTCCTTCTCTTCTACGGGTTCCTACTCAGGTCTGCTCAGGGTTACTTTTCCTGTTCTTGCCTTTATCCAGTCTTGGTTTTGTTCTCGGTTTGGCTTTGTTCATGTCATATTCTTGTTATTACTTTTGTGCTTGTACGTTTTATTGTTTGTGCCATTTGTTATTGCTGTTGTTACTGTTACGGTCACTGTTACTGTTACTGTTACTGTTACTGTTACTGTTACTGTTACTGTTACTGTTACTGTTACTGTTACTGTTACTGTTACTGTTAATGTTACTGTTACTGTTACTGTTACTGTTACTTTTACTGTTACTTTTACTGTTATACTGTTACTGTTACTGTTACTGTTACTGTTACTATTACTGTTACTGTTACTGTTACTGTTACTGTTACTGTTAATGTTAATGTTAATGTTAATGTTAATGTTAACTGTTACTGTTACTGTTACTGTTACTGTTACTGTTACTGTTACTGTTACTGTTACTGTTACTGTTACTGTTACTGTTACTGTTACTGTTACTATTGTAACTGATAACTATTGTAACTATTATATTATTAACTGATAACACCTCCCTTAAACCGCAAACCCGATTAATCTCTATAAGTCAATTTGAACTATGGAATCATTATCAACACGTTTAGAAAGATATACTGGCTACACAGTTGAACCAAATTTTAGAAAGAAAATTAGCCAACGACAGAGATAAAGGATTAAGGTAAACAGACATATTTTAAATATTCTGTACGTGAATTGCATCATCCTATTTATACTTTTATTCTATATATACTGTTTTACTAAAAATATGTGTACATAGTAATGAGGGTAAACCTAGTCTTCTTTGAATAAACAAATGGTCTAAATTTATTGTTAGTAATGCAATGCAACCTTTGTATATATTTTCGGATTATAACTAAGGTTTTTCAGTTGTTTAGAACATATATAAAAAAATATTTGTTATTTTATTTTCAATTTAGAATGTATCCCTCTTTTACATTTCCCTTCAGCACACGAGATTGGGAAAACAATAGCAAAGGAGAAATGGTATGCAGTTAATTTTTAAAGAAAAATTTACCATTTTGTTTGCATACAGTATTTGCATCAAGGAAAGGAACTGGTTGCTCACCTCAAAATCCATGAGATCGTTAAACTACCTACATTCGGTTCAAATCCTGAATCAAAGTTTCACTTTTCAAACAAGTATTTAAGCTCAGTATTTAAATCCTCGATAGGTAGTTCAACGATTTCTTGTACTAATTAAAGTTTGATTTATTATCCTCCTCAGGCTTTAAAGATTAAGGAATTAAGATTAACGATAATCAGAGCTGGGATCTTTAGAATGGCGGATATCAGGATTAATGCTTAATCCTCTCTTTTTGCTAATCTCGAGACTAACATAATCTTGAGATTATGTTAATCTCGAGATTAAATATGTAGATCAACAAATTTTATTCTAGGAAATTTAATAAAACATTAAATGCCAGTGCCAGATTTGTTCGTTTTCTTGACTGGAAGAGCCTTTACTTAATTCCTCACCCTTTTTGTTATAAATACATTAGTAAAAATTTGTTCAAAAAGAATATCAAATGTATTATTTCATATTTTGATTCGCCGATTAATTTACAAAATGGCCGAAAACAAATTCTCTATTTGTTAGAAATTGCGGAGGTCTTTCATTGGATAGAATTAATTTTCAAGGCTGTCATTAGTCAATACAATTTACGAACTATTTTACTGCACTCTCCTTGTAGAAAACAATGTACGGATATCCAAAGAGAGAGAAAAAGAGTGGATTAAGGACTAAAATTAAAAGTTTCCACAATGGATATTCAGATTAAGCAGTCGGGATCAAAGTTTATCCATTCTAAAGTTCCCAGCTCAGTTTATTTAACCCATAAAAAATTATTATTAAAATCTAAAAGAGTTTAAATTTTGTTATTTATTTTAATGCTTTCTATGAATTTATATATTTTGTTTTTGCTCAACAACTCTAAAAACAAACTGCTTAACAATTGCATTGCTGAAACTCAAGGCCTTGGAAATCTTGTAAGTAAAAAACTACAACTCATTATCTACGGAATTAACGCAACCATACACTTAAGTTTGTACTAATAATTTCGTTATTATTTTATAAGTTCAACTCTCTGAGAAGTGGAAGGTGTTTATATGATGATAAAAGGTGACATACTATGTTTATTGCTTAAAAAATAGAAAGTTTTCCCAAACATATTGGTGAGATATATAAACTTCTACTTTTAAAATTTATTAATTTCTGGAATTCTGAAATATTCATAATCTACCAGCACTTTACAAAAATGTGAGCCCAACCCATGCTGCCAAGTAGTGTTTTAGCATGAAACAAATTGTTCAGCAATATAATGGAAAAATAATCTGTGTTTAGACATTAGATTATCTATAAAATATAAAAACAATATTTTGTAATATTTTTTTCCCCTACAAAATATGGGAGCTTGATCTATCAGCCGTTATTTCATTTATTGGAAACAAACAGACACGCAACGTAACTTTTAATTGTTGCTCTATCTTCTCTTCTAAAATTATCAAATTCGATCACAAAAGTTTTTTTTGAGGATTTGGGAAAATCTCAATTTTTAGGACAATTTTCTCTTCTGAAATTATCAAATTCAATAACAAAAGTTGTTTTTTGAGTATTTTGAAATATTTGACTTTTTTAACCCATTAGTGACGAGACCATTAACTATTAGTGAAATTGTTTTAGAAGGATCTTGTCAAAACAAAACTTGATTGTACTCATAAAAAAAACGATATTCAATTAAATTTTTGATTTTTTTGTACAGGGTGACCTGTAAAACATGAAAATCTAAAAAACTTTTGTAATTCATAATTATTTAATTATCTTCAAAACTTTACTTTTCATGTTTTAGGTATTTAGATCTTTAAAAGAAGATTCCGAAAATATCTTTAAATTTTTTCTAGCAAAAAAAATTGACAATTTTATAGATTCAAAACTAAATTACAGTGTGTTCTTTTGGTTCTTTTCCGAATTCAAAATCTAGTTTTTTGGGTTTTTTAAAAATTGAAAATTTAATAGAAAACCCATTTTTGAAGTAACGTCAAATATAAAATATGTTTTGAAAACAGGAAATCCTAAGGAAAGTGCAGGAAAAGACAGGACAACATTTAGTTTAAGAAAAAAGGCACTAAAAAAACTTCACCCGGTCAAAATTGACCTTCCCGTCACTAATGGGTTAAGGCAATTTTTTATATCTGACTATTCATAAATCTTTCCTGGGTTCATGTAAGGTCACGCACAAATTTGGGCTGGATCAATTTTTACATTTATTGAATACAAAAAGTAAGGTATACATATATATATGATATCATACATTGTATAACTATACCTTCAGACCGGCGTTTCCCGTGGAATTGAAAAAAACTTTAACAAAAAAATGTCGATTTTTGAAAAATACAAATCTTAGTTTTTAGCCTATGTTATGTTCCCTACCAAAAATTCAGCCCATTCATTCTAGCCGTTTGGCAGGGTATAGGGAACATATATATGAAGGTCTTGTTTTATTATATAGAGAAGATAATATATATTTAATAACAAAAATATATAATAATAATTATATATAAAAATGTATAAAAATATTTCTAATAGGCTCTGTGATCCCCAAACATCACTGTTTTCTATAGGAAAATTCATTGAGGACTGCAACAGGTACTTATCATAAAGCATCATTTCAAAGAAAATAAGAAAACAACAATTTTATCTAGATATGGCCCGTAGTTTTGGGATTTTCCCAGGGGGTGCCAAGAGGGGTGTTTTAATATGGTCCAGAATCACCGAGTGAAACGTAGTAAACGAGGCAGGGGATTGCACTCCCTTGCATAATTTTTTTTTGTAGTTTTGCTATGAAAACTTCTAATTTTAGCTTTGATTTTATGTAGAATATTTTTTAATTTGTCAACAACATAAGTAATGTTACAGTGAAAATTCGATTTTCCCTGAATATGATAGTTAGGTAGGCATAGGTAGGTACAAAATATTTTTTCATAATTAATTTTTAGCTCAAATTTTACAATATTAGTTGACATAAAGTGTTAATAATTTTGATATTATTATATTCATGATCATTAAAAGTTTATCGACATATGCGAAAGGACAACAAACCAGTTCGATCAGAAAATCTTACCTCAGGACAAATATTTTTCAAAAAAGGTTTATTTGGGTTGATCTGAGGGAACAGCTGACCCTATATACACTATACAAAATGATAACAATTTTACAAGAGAAGAGATTATAAATACCAAGCAACTTATTGAAAAGGGGGGGGGGCAATTCGCCGTTGTACCTGACTCCTTGCAACCCCCCCCCCCCGAATGGCTACGGGCCTGTTAGATAAATATGGATGTAATCAAAACTTTAAAGTTAAATATTAAAAAAAAATATTTTATAGGGTAACTAGAGAACAAAAATGTTCAACGATCACTCAGAATGTTACAGTTGGAACATTGATAGAGGTAGTTTCTATTTGTAACAATTCTTTACTTCATTTAATGACATTCTTTGTTATGCAAAGTTATCTAGGTATGCAAAATTCCTCTGGTCAACTCTTGTTCCATCAATCAAACAATAGCATACGGTCTAAAGGGGTGTAGGTATAGATAGAGTATAGAAATAAAAAAATAATAAAAATATAAACAAAGAAAAGAAATCGATATTATTTAGATAATTATGTTATTTTTTCAGAATTGAGTATGAAGATGTCTGTAAAACAATACTAAAGGAATTAGCATAATAATATATTTCGTTAAACAAGTGAACTACGTCGGTATAAATTCGTTCTTAACAAAAGAAATTACCATGACGATTATGTTTTACACAAAATTTAAGTTTCTTTTATAGTTTTGATAAATAAATAGGATATTTTTCTGAAACGGATGAAGAAAAGACGACATTTAGAAAAGAAATTATCTTGGACCTTTATGTTTATATACGCACAAAATCGTTTCAGATTTTTCTTCCGATTTTTCTTTTTAAGTTTTACATACACACATTCATCAACATTTTTACTTTTAAAAAGTGTACCTTTATCAAGGAAATTGAGCTTTTGAAACAAACTCAAATTTTCTAATCCCTATATCTTTGCAACCAGATGGTGTAAAACGATAATATTTCAAACATAGACTATTTGATCTGACAGAATTCATAGTGTGAAATATAAAAAGTTACCGACATCGGGTAGCTGAGATATAGAGGGGAAACAGTTAGAGTTAGTGGCAAGAACTCATTTCCTTTGTACCTTTACAGAATTTTATTTGCTAAGTCCAGGACACCGAGGTTGAAGAGGATATTGTTAAATGCAAAAATGAAGAAAAAAAGCAGTATGTATTATTTTATCCTGAACTTACTACTGATAATGATTCTTTTATAACCAAATATGCGCATGACTTTTCATGAAAACGCGTGATTAGCGGTGTCTATAATGCAAAATTATATTTTTTTTTGCAATTCTCCTTTAAAATATTTTTTTAGTATTATTAGATTTTTTAAAGAATCCGCAAAACTATTTTCTCTCTATAAAATCAAAAGTTTTAAAGTGTGATATTATGGATTATTTTTATCCAATTCTAAAATTTCAACAAAATAAAAGACAAAGTTAAAGCTAATTCGCAATTTTCAGTTACTGTTAAGGCAATGGATCCTCACTTTTCAACTGAGCGGATTAAAGAGGCAAATTGTGTTTCAACATTTTTTTTTGAGTGAATGAAAACTATTAATTGTGCATTCAGAATCCAACGAAAGTTTTGTAGTTTTTTTTGTACATATCATCAAAGTTATTGGTTTCAATATTTAAAAAAATACTGCACTCACTCTGTATACTTATATGTTGTTTAACGTTATAATCTGCGAAATATTCACTATAGTAATTCAAAGAAGCAATTTACTCGTGTTTTAGATGTCATTGACGAATCGGGTTTGAACTCAAATTATCAACATTTAATTCAAAAGTTTGATAACTGGGGGTTTTATCAAAGTTTTGAATTATTAGAATAAATTAAGGCGTATGGTTTTGCGTAGGAAAGCTGTTTTCTAGTCTTTACAATGAAAGTCTTTGCAGAGAAGAATGCATATATGGAAATTAACAAAAATTTGATTATTCAAATAAAAAATCGTTTGTGCCTTTTTCCTTAAATTCCAATCTATTTTAACTCTTAAAAGTTAACAATTTTTTGCACAAACTTTATTAGCACTTTTTCATTCTCAATTTCAAAATAACCTAAATGTTTAAGGTGCAATGATGCTGGATTGTCATGTATCTTTGTTCCATTCCAAGTATGTAATGTAGATAAACAAAAAGTAAAGAGAAAAATTTCAGTCATACGGTGTTCTAAGGTAACCAATCAAATGTGTTGTTCTAATTTTGTAGAGAATGGGATTTCGGCAGTAAAAGTAATATTTTCAAACTAGTTGAATTATCTGATATCTCTTCTTACTGGCAGTTAGATAAAATTATCAGAGGATCATTTTTTCTTTAATACGAATTGTTACTGTAAAATAAAAAGCTATGTGATTCTTTTTGCATGCTTATACCTTTATTTCCTTTTCACAATTACTTCATGAACAATTCATACAGACTGCAAATAGTAATAACCACTATCCTCGTAATATTGCAAAAATTTTATAAATTTACATTGGCATGTGGAAACATTTCCGTCACTATTTAGGAAAGTGCTCTTTTATGTGCTCCACAAGAGTGTAAGTTTGAACCTGGAAAGGAGGAGTGTAAACTCATTAACAAACCAGAAATACAAGTAAGGTTTATATAAATTTTGCGAACTCGCAAATTTTACATTTATGCCTTCTTACTAAGTAAACGTTTTGTTCCCTTAGAAAAAAAATCTCTAAGCCTTATTCCTGGGGCTAAGAAGCCAAACTCTTGAACGCAAAAAACTTAGATTTTTCTTTTAACCCCAATAAAGTGTCAAACTTTCCCCCTCTGTATATACAACACTCTCACTACTAATCTACTAAGTAAATGTAAGGTGTCTGTCGATCTCTTAAAGGGAGTGTTCGCGGAAAATGAAAGGGGGTATAGGCTTAATGCGATAAAAAAGCGCTTTACTAATCTTACTTCTATCTGTTGCGTCTATAAGGAGAAAATTGATAAAGACGTCTCATACCGAAGAGCGTAGCACCCATACAAATTCAGAAAATTGCAACATACGACTTAGACCGTAAAAAAATCAAATTAATATCAAACAAATCATTCAGATATTGCAACCTATATTCATCGATTATCTTTCGCCACATTTGTATATAGTTTATATTTCATAATATATATATGTTTTCACTATCCCGAATGACTTTTGAAACAGATAGAAGTAAGATTAGTATCAAAAGCGCTTTTTTATCGCATTAAGCTTATACCCCCTTTCATTTTTCAAGAACACTCCCTTTAATCATGTTCATCATACCATACTTTATCATTTTAAACAAAATTTACTGTTTAGGAGGTTAAGAGGCGTGTCTGCTGGACTTTACCTAGACCTGAATGCCGTTTTCTACAAAATTTCAACAAACAACCAATTAGTTAACTAGAAATTACGACAACGAAGTCATTTGATACATAACGTATTTTGCACACACAGTAAACAAACATACAATATACAATAAACATGCAATTATAAAGACTAAAGGCAAAACTAAGACTGATTAAAGTATGTACATTTTATACAATACTTCTTAAAACAAGATTTTTGTATAATTTATTTTTTAATTTTTATAAAATAAAATGATAATTAATAATTTTAAATGTTCATATTTTTTCTCTTTTTTCCGTTTGCGTCTGCTTCTTTTTACCCGTCCATTTTTGGCGCTGTTTTTCAAAGAATATTTACAAGTTACTGTCTTTTGCGCCATTTTTAAGAGAGTGTGACCACCTTTTCATTAATTAATACTGTATGTGCCCCTCATGGTTTCAGATTTCTTGTATTGTTGTGTAGATTTTGGTATAATATAACCATTGATCACCATTATACCGTTCTGCGCTACCTCTTCAGTTGCAATATACCTACGATCAAATATCTAGAACTGTATATATGCTATGAGAACATTGGCTTGTTGTATGAAAAAATTGGGAAATATCTTTCAAATTTTGCTTTAGTTAAAGGTTGAAAAAGAATTGAGTCTTTGCTGAAAACTCAAATTTTCTAATCCCTATGTTTGCAATCTGATGCAAAGTGCAAACCATTGATATTTCAAACTGAGATTATTTGATCTAACACAATTCATAGTTTGAAATATCTAAGGTCTACGACGTTGGGTTGCAAAAATTAGAAACCCAGAGTTTCTGGCAAAGACTCAAATCCTTTGCAATGTTTATTTTTTTTGCAGTGATATTCCATAATCCATAGCGTAACTTGGAACGACTAAAATTATGGAATTGTCCAGGTGAGGGGGGGGGGTGTCTATGGAATTGTCAAGGGGGGGGGGGGGAGACATGCGTTAAAGGTTGAGTTTAACCTTCGGAAAATCAGGGTTAAAGAATTTCTGGTCGTCATTAAAGTTTCATGGTTTCTGGGAAACCAGCTGGTTTTTTGCCAGAATCAAAAGTTTGCATAATTTCACGAAAGAAATATATTAAGAATACAAATTTGAATTATGTGAAATCTCTGAAAGCCAAATAGCCTTCGAGGTTTTACAAAAACGGATAAAAACAATGACCAAATTAATCTGTTAGTGGTCCATTTTCAAAATCCTGGAAAATCGTCTGAATGAGAGTTGGAGACCACCAGATTTTCATTGGAGTCCCCTCTTTTCTTAGATTTTTATTGGAGACCCCCAGATTGACTTTTATTGAAGACCTCAAGCTTTTCATTGGAGACCCCATATTTTCGTAAGAGACCACAAATTTTTCATTGGAGACTCCAGATTTTTATTGGAAACTCCCAGATTTTAATTGGAGGCCCAAGATTTTCAGATTTCAGACCCCCAGCATTTCATTGGAGACCCCAAGATTTTCACTGGAGACCTCTGATATTTACGGGTAAGGCGTCTAGTAGGGCTTTCAAGGTTCTTGGAAACAATTGCTTTTTGTACTATTTACCTTGATTTACACTGTGTCCCCTAAAGCCCCCTTGGCAGCCCCTTTTTTGAAAAAATATTGATACCTTTTTTAACTATGTTAAGGTAAACTATTCGATCGTAAACACATTTTCGTATTAAATGATTAAAAAAAAGATAATGAAAAGCTTTAAAAGTACTGCCTCCAAAATCATGAATCCGATCGAGGGTTTTGTCGACAAATCTCCAGATTTAATAATAAATAAGCCCCGACTTGGCTGCCCCTCCCCACTCCCAGAGGGGGCACGCAATGGGTGGGGGTCCATGCACAAAAGATGCAATGTTAATCATGTCTCGGAGTTTGAAAAACAGAACTCCGAATCTCCAAAAACGATACGAGTGATTTAAGGTGCATCTTTCAGAGCACCTTTGTTACACCTTTTTTGGAGCACCATTTGTAAGCCCCATTGGAGCCAATTTAAATAGGTATTAGATAATCCATTCAAAATTTGTGGTAATTAACATTTACAAACATTAAGTATATGTATTTACCAAGTAAAAACATATACATACCACTTTTTTGATCTATTGGATACGTTTCTATCTTTACATTATATTTTTGAGCATGGAACTATTAGAAATATATTATATTATCGTTAGTAAATAACACATGTTCAACCATCAATATCTAATTCTAGGAAATATAATGTTGTTTAAAACCATTGTAGTTTTATTTTCTTTTATTTTACTTTAAACTTTATAAGACCTCTTGTGTTAATATTTGGAACTGCCTAAACCCTACCATGATCCTGTCATGTCATGTGATTAGCTCTCCTTAAAAAGAATTCCGACGAAGATCCGCTTTTGAAGAACTCTCCTCAAACTGTAGAATAGAGGAGGATTATCCAGAAGAGATGGAATTGAGGAGAATCATCTGTGTTTGGTTGAAGAAAGGAGCTCTCCTCAAAAGAAATTCCTCATGAATTCCGTTTTTGGTTGACTCCACAAGAGGAGGAAATGAGGAGGATTCTCCATTTTCAGGGGATAAAAGGAGTCAGCTCCTCTTGAGGAGTACAATTGAGAGTAGGGTTTTTTGCTGGGCATCCCCCTCGTACACCCCTAGCTGTTATGGGGGGGGGCAAGATTTAAATTTTTGCCCTCCCCTTAGCATGTATAGGGGGTTTAGGAGGTTATGACTATTTCTGGGCCGAGCGCTGCAGCCAGGACCCAAGATTTTAAAATATATCAAAAGAAGGCCAAAATTTAAAAATAACCCCGGTATTAAATCAATGATTAAAGATACTGTGATTCATACTTCCTTGATTCTTTTCTGTTTGAGTTAAAGAGCAAATATTTGTTTAAGGCTTAGTGTCTCTGGGTTTCTCAGCAATTTTAGACTAATAAGACGTAGTCGTATAATAAAATATACCTAATTTATTTTGTTCAAATCGTTTGTACACATTTAAATGGCCGCAGCACTCGGCCAAAGCCTGTTTAATAAACTATATAGTCGTTACACTTGATCTAGATTTTGTCTGATCTTTACTCTAATAATATATATATTTTACAAGATGGCAGCGCCCGCAGCCCTCTGCCCCCTAGCTGCTGTGTTTGGTCTGGAAACCAGTGTTTCGGATCCGGATCCGGTCGGATCCGTATCATTTGGTCGGATCTGGATCCGTATCAGGATGCGGATCCGGATCCATGAACACGGATGCGGATCCGCGGATCCGGATCCAAATCAAAATTATATGGATCCGAAACACTGCTGGAAACTATCTAACCGTACGCCAAAATATTAACTAAAAATTGTTCATGTTATCTTAGGTTATAATGTGCGAAGTTGCAAACGTTGCTAAATCTCCTCAAGCAGTCACAACTTATTTATAAATTACCGCTTATTTCTTTTCAGATTCCCCTTTTATAGCCGAGACTCGAGAAAGCAATGCACCAAAATGACGAGTTTAGATCAGGCAATTAGGCTGGTTAGACAAGCAGTTCTTCAGGTTAGTTACTAACTGGTTAGACAAGCAGTTCTTCAGGTTAGTTTCTAACTGGTTAGACAAGCAGTTCTTCAGGTTAGTTACTAACTGGTTAGACAAACATTTCAAATAACGATTTTCTGTAGACAAATTCTGTTTCGTAACCGCAGTGTTGCCAACTCAAAAACAGGGTCTAGACCATTTAGAGAATTGAATTAGGCCCACAAGGTAAAAATTAGGCCCATTCAAGGAGGGGGGGGGGGGGTTGTCTAAGAGAAAATGCAAATGAATTTAACAAGAGTTCATGCATTTATCCAATATGCAATAATTTTTCAGGACTCGAAGAAAAACTATCCAGAAGCATGTCGATGTTACAAGGAACGCATAAAAATTCATTCTATAAACAAAGAAATATTATTATTATTATTATAGATTTATTTCGTACTCAAAGGTAAAATGGTACAATATGATAAGACAAAAACAAGAATAAAGTATAATATATAAATAAAGTTTCTAGTCGGAACATAAAAAGTTGATCATGGTTGCGATCTCATTATCATCAAAGTTGTTTAGAACAAAATTATCTTCTTTAACTTTAAGTAATTCATGAAGAATGGGTAATTTCCATTCTTGGTCTAAAGGAATATGATTTGTATATCATTTTTTGTTTCACGCAAAATTTGTTTAGATTTCTAGATTGTACATTACAATCTTGTGCAATAGATTCAAGATTTTTACATAAAACAGTTCTTAAATCCTGTTTACTTAGATCTAGTACTTGTTTTTTTTGGTAGGTATGCTTGACTGATAGAAGGTAGTAAAAGGTTTATTATAATCATTTAAAACTTTTTTTAATGTATTATAACCTTTTTTAACTTTTTTAAATGTTTGATTTTTAAATGCGGGATAAACAGGACGCAATACTTGGGTTCTATGAAGTAGGAAGACGAGGTGACGGGTCTCCGGAACTCAACGAGTTTATAAATACCAGGGTCACACAATATGAGGACAGGCTAAGGTACGAAATATTTTTTTAATAATCTGATTTAAGTTTTTTTGGCAAAATACTTTTTCTGAACCATAAGAAAGGCTTGTTTTTTATGGAACGTAATCAAGTAGTTAAAATAAAATCAATATTTACTTCTTTCAGAATCATCGAGAGATATTTACTGGAACAAGCCGATCTATCTACACTTCTGAAAGACCTAGGCAATCCCATACTTTCTTTGCAAATCATTCGCCTAAAAATTTAAGAATTGAGACCTAAATGGATATTTAATTTGTTGAAAAGTTAAAGTTAATTTGTCAGAATTGTCTAAACTTTGTTCAGAAGTTAAAGGATCAAATTTCGTATAGATATTAATTATTATTTTCAAGGACAGAGGCTGAGTGTAATTACTTAAGAAAATTCACTTCATTCCCTTTTTTTATACCCCGTANCGAACCCTTTCCCCCTCCATCCTGCTCCTAGTTGAGCTAGTTCTCATCATCATTAAATTTTACTCATATTTTGTTTGAATTTTATGGCAATTTACAAAGTATTCATTTTATTCAAATTTGTATACATACAACTCGTTTAAGTTCTGTGACCGTATGGAACATTTGTAGCCATCAGTTTTTAATTTTAAATTAATAAGTTGGATTTTTAGAAATAAACAGTGTGCACGATAAATCCAGATCCAGTATTTCGAGTTCAGGGTCATATAGTTCAAGGATAGTAAAGTAATGTTATTACAAAATTTTATTTTACAATTTGCAACAAAAACATTTATTTTGCATTAATACTGTATGTGCCCCTCANTTTTTTTTACTGCGTTTTGGCACGCTTTTGCGTAAATAGTGGGGTGGGGGGCGTATTCCCCGCAAATTTTTGTAAATAAAACCAAAATTACTTTAGTTTGCAAGGTAACTCATTTATACAAGAAAAGTTCAAAAAGTTGACTGACGGATGAGATTTTTCTACTGTTTTTACCCTTAAACTTCCATTGAGACTGATCTTTTCTTTACTTTTCCCCCCGGGTGTATGGGGGGAGCGAAGGATATACAGTACACCCCTGTCCCCCCTACTTATCTGAAATTAAAATTAGTTTTCTTTAACCGGTCTATTTTTCATGCAAATAATTATTACTTAACTTTATAGGCAACTTTACAAAAATCCTTTTTTGACATTAGCTTTGGAATTACTTAGGTAAGAAAACTTAAATCAAATTACAAATTACAAATTAGATTGTAAAACTTTCTGAAAATCTAAAATTATCTGAATTTAAAAAATTATTATCCTACAACTTTAAAGGAGGCGATTTTAAATCGTACTCGTAAAATATTACCCGCCATGATTTATCTAATTTTTAAGAAAGGGGAGAAAAGCTGATGAAAAACGAAACTTTAAAATGGCGGTTTCCTTTTATGAGAATGGACTTATGAAACTTCAAGATATCATCAGCAAAGGTCTTCTTACATCAAGGTGATTTTGAAAATCAGTGCTGGTAGTTTAGTATGTCACATTTTGTCTGTACATATTTTGATCAATCCAATCAAGGTTTGGGATTCAATCTAGAAGCAGACAATTTGAATTAAAAATCTACTTTCATAAATTTATAATGATATAAAATTGCATTTCACTAAACGTTTATTATTTTATGATTTTTCTTTATATATTTGATATTTTGATAAAAATTGAAATGAAATTTATTTATGATTTTTAGAATCTAACAGAATGAAATAATGAATTAAACAGTTAAAATTGGCTTAAAAATCTAGTTTTTACTTGATTATACTGATGAAATCATTCTTATCACAAGAAAGCAATAGCTTTATCCCAACTAATCCAGATTTCAAGGATTTTCACTTTGTGAGTGAGTGTGAGTGTGTTTGTTAGGATTAGGAAGGAGTCAATAATCCTTTTTCCTAGAAATTATGGACCTTTTTAACTCAGAGAATTATTGCCTTTAAACGATACTAAACAGAAAACATTTGATAGATTTTCACTCTGGATTTATGAATAGCTAAATACAAAAACTAAAATTATTTTTCTCATTCCCTCTCAGTTAATTAAACAAAAAGAAATTAAGAAAAATGTTAGTTTTTTTCCTTAACACTTTTGCAATTTATTTAATGGTTTGTACTTACGAACTTTGTTCAGTCAAGAGAAGAGTGTTCGGGAGAAATGCTTGATGTATCATGAACGTGTACAACTCATCAGACAAAACATAGAAGATGGAAAACAAATCAGAGGTAATCGGCTCACTCAATAAAGTAGACTAATAGGCAGTGCAGTGTACAGACTGTCGGTATAACTTCACACTGTAAACGGTTCTCAACAAAAAAGTAATGAAATTTGTTGTTTGATAGTACGTTGTGAAATAAACAAACATATTTAACAAAATTTATCAACGATACTTACGGTAAATTAAATAAGACAACAGTTAAGGTAGTATAGATTAAGAAAGACACCAATTAAATAATTTAGATCGTAGTTTCGACATGAGCAGCTTGAGTTTAAACTCCACTGGGAATAGCAACAGTCCAATTCCTTTCACAGACACAGATACAGCCCTTCAGATGGAAGAGGTAAAAACTCACCCAAAAAAATGTTCAAGAAAATTTATGTTAGCAAATATAAATATTTTAAGGTTCAAAGTTGTAGTTGTGATTTGGGATCTTGTGTATCCTTGAATCAATCTTTCCACGCAGAGAGATTTTACAAACCTAAACCAAGTCCTAAAGCTGAGTATTGGCCTAGGAGTGTACTTAAACCTCAGACCATACACAGTTCTTTACTCTCCCTTACCAAAAACAGAGATAAATCAGGTAAAAACCCACATAAATCATAATTATTTGGACGCTAATTCAAGTTTTATTTTATACCTTATTTCTTTTCTGTCTAGGGCCCATATTTTTTTTCTAAAATGTTCAATTTCATTTTAATATACATATCGTTTTTTCTTTCTTTCAATATTAAAATTTCATTATATGGTACTTAACTAAGCTTTTTTCATATAATTTCGTTCCTTTAGTTAGTAAATATTACATTTACTGAAACGAAAAGAATTTATTCCATTTTTGCTTTTAGATTTTTTCCTCACTATGTAAAATATCATTCTAATTTTATCAATTGTTCTAATAATTGTATATTAAAGAGGTGAATATGTATATCTACACTTGTCCAATTGTTTATTTTTATTTAGTTCTTGAATCCATGTATACACTAAATGTTTAATTAGGGGTTTGCAGTTCCACTCATTCTTTGTATCCGAATTGTGAAATAAGACGACCTTCACCAAGACCTCCAGGTAGCGTTTTTTTAGGCCCACCTCGTGACATTGTAACAGTACTAATCTTACTAGGCAAACTGTTATTTTATATCTACCTTGGGAACCAACCTTTACTTAAAAATTTAAAAGAAAATTATTTTTTAACTAAGCTAAGGGCATTCTCGTTGTTCTACCAAGTTCCCCAGTCCAAATTTGAGGCGAATCGTTCAAGGGGTTCCTGAGTTATGATCGGGACATACAAATAAAAACAGAGATTACAACTTTATATATATAGATATAGATAATAGATATGCAATATATAATATATGTAATATATATTACATAAAGGCGTTTTAAAGAAGAATAAAAACTTACCCACTGAAATTGATTTTTTTTATTTCTTTTATCGTAAAAAGGTTTTAAAATATTCCCAATTTCTCCGGAATGTTGGGGGTAGTTCAGAAAATAAAAACCCCTTGATCGTGATGTATTGACAACAGTTGTTTTTGAATTACCTAAAACCTGATCTGTGTTAGAAAGTTTGTGGGATAACAAAGGTTTTTCAGTGTAAAATAATTTGTGGGTGACTAGCAATTTAAAGTCCAATTTTTATATTTTCCCCAAAAGTAACTCTAGCTCTGCCAATACTAAGGTTTAGATAAGTAGACTTTCAACATTTGTTTTTTATATTACTAATGAATCAGATGCCCTGTTTGTTTATATTTGATTTTTTTTTCAGGACCGATTGAAAGATTAGATGTAAAAGTTCCCTTGGTCAACATGAGCCAGGAACTCAGTTTATCCGACTGTTCTCTTAACAGTGAATGTTCCATTAGCAAATGCAAATGCAGTCCACATCTTGGCAACTCATTGGTTTCTATTAAAAACAGACATTCTCAGACATCTATCGCTAATTTCGGTAAATTTAAAAACTACAATTAAGTTTATTCTATGCCATTTTACTTAAAATATAAATTTATACCAAAAAAACTCCAATTAGTTATGTTTCTTAAAGAAACTTTCTTTTAAAAGTTGGCATTTAAGTTTCTCGCTGTTATGATTTCAACAACTATGACCTTCACATATAAGATAAGATATATAACTTAATTGTTCAGAGATTGATGAGATAGATAGAACAGAGTCTGAGCTGATAAATTTATCCATCAGCTATGATTATCTAAAGGTAGGAATTTTATTTTTGATTGAGTTTTTTTTCATATTATTTGCAATGAGTTCTGAAACTATTTTAAAATGGTTAAAAAATGGTTATTTTTCAAAGATCGGATAAAAAAGTTGTAAAAATATGTTTGTTTTTACCCAAAAAAATTAAACATAAAATAACCGGGACAGAAGCAACTATTATGCTCGCTCTCGAAGGTAAACTTTTTAAAAACTTTATTTTTAAAGGTTGATTCAAGAGATGACGCAGAAAGTGATTCTGGTTACTCAGATCCTAGTCCAGATGGACGAGATGCAAAGTCTCCAGAATCATCAGACCGAAAATCACCATTTAGTGATCTTGAGGAAGAAGTCCTCGAAATGTCGGAAATCATACCAAACGTCATAATCCAGAACGAGTCCCGAGAACAGACTACCGCACAGAAGACTTTTCGTCGTCGCTTTGGCAGGGAGGTTAGCATCTTCCAGAATCCAGAAAAGGATATTTTGACCTCCCAGGTTAGTCGAGATAACCTTGCGGTTCTCTCACAGGATAGTGTTGACGTTGGAGTTGTACAACCCTCTGCATCATCACTTGTAAAACCAGAGATTTACGGAAGACCTCCAGTTCGTGAGGTTATCCCTAGTCGATCAGTGGCACGCAGGGAACAAGAACATCGAGATGGGTGTTTTTACGTTGTTGCAGCTTTAGATTTCTGTTGGTGTCTTTAAGCATATATATTTAAAATTCAAATTGTTGTGAAACTTGTCTAAGACATTGCATAATATTTTAATCGTTTTAATTTGGTTTATTATTCTATATTAATAACTAAAAGGAGAATTCTTATTCTTTTATATTTTCTTGTAAAACTTGTATTAAAGAAACAAAACAAATATGTTAGCTAATTTTTGTTTATATGGTGCTAATTTTGTATGATTTGTGCTTTGGTAGCTGTTATTGACGGGCAGCTGATCAGTATTCAAACTTTTCTTAAAATCAGATCAGTTAGCATGAATCTTCATATTTATTCATTTAAAAAAAATATTTTGATAACTTTATATGTATGTGACTATAAAAAGCTAATTAGATAATTAGTCGACAAAATGGTTAAATGAACAAAAAAACGTGGTTGTAAACAATTATAAATTTCCTGAAGTACGATGTATTAAATTTTTATTTTTATAAATAAATATTCTTGATTTCGAAAAAAAATTTATTTTTGGTAACAAATTATGAAATTTTTTCATGCATTTTTAGCTTTGAAACTTGATCAATTTTAATTTCAGAAAATATTGAAAATAGCATTGTTTAAAAAAAATTTATATCGTTAATGATTTTTTTATTATTGTTTTCTTGAATCTCTTCTTGAAAAAGTTCTAGGTTAATATGAAATGGTTCTTGTTATTTTCTACTGAACAAATGACAAGTTAAAAGTTTTCCTTTTTAAAAAAAGTTTATAGTAAAAGTTTCAAAAAAATTCGATCAATTGTTTAATGTAAAGTTTTTACTATTACTTTTTCTCTTAAGTATAAAAAACAGCCTACAATACAATCTAAATTGCGAAAATGTTATCTAAAGATAAAAATATTTGATGTCTATTTTTTTACTTATTTCTTTTTCTTAAAGGATGGAAATACAATAGCTGAATTGCGAATAAAATAAAATACGTTTTTATACTAAATTAAAGCAAATTTAAAAGTTTTCCTTGCTAAAAAAATTGATAAAAATAATTTAACCAAAGTTTTCAAGAAGATGATGTAGCGAAGGAAAAATTCATTCAAATGTTTTAAGCTAAGGTTTACTTATTAATTTTACGAATATATTTTACGACTGCATACATTGGGGGATTGTTGTTAAAACAATTTGCTCTGAACTGCCGTTTTAACATTCAAACTACTCAAAATGTAATTGCTCCCTTTACCTAGATATTTTCAATATCTTTTATCTATTTATTTTTTGTGTATTTTTCATTGAACCTTTTAGATATTAACAATGACGAGGAGTGATTAAAAAGTTTCGCTAAATAAAATTATGAATACTTATAGCAGTCGTAGCCATTTAACTTTCTTTGAAAGTTCACTTTATTTTCATCGGATTATGTTTTAGATCAGATAATGTCAATCAGATCTGAGTTATAATGTAAGGAGCGTTTCCCGAAAGTAATCAACCGTGTTCGTGACAGCAAGAATATTTTCACAATGGACTCAAACTTGATCCATCAGTCTGTATCAAACCCTTCAAGTGTGTTCCAAAGAAAAAAGAGATTGAGTATGGAATGTATGAAGGACTTATCATCATTAATGTCAACCTTTTGATCCTTGGTCAGAGACTTACGGACAAATTTAACCAAGATTTTTGTCATCTATAAATCCTGCTTTACAACTTTGTTTACAATGTAAAAGCATATATCAAGCTGTCTGGCAAACATACTTTATTTTGGGTCTTGCTTGTCTTTTGCTATAAATTGTATGATGAAATTAAATCTGTACGAAATGTAATGTATAGGGTGAACTTGGACGACTGTAAGTTTCCTACGTACGTATAAAAAATGGGTGACGAATTATTGCCACAAATGAATTTTAAAAGAAGATCTTTAAATGTGATGTCAATTGTTGCGTACAGTATATTGCAAACCCTGTATTCCTGGAAAAGGAAACTAACCCCTCACAGTCATGCTTAACCTGATCAAGATATGAAGCTTGTGCTCCGACATAAAATCATTTCTATGCTAAAGAGGTGGTTAACCTGAGTTCAAAATGTAAAATATCAAAATCCGGGAATCCTGAGAAAATCTACATAAAGATTTGGAGAAATTCAGGTTTCAGTCCTGATTTCACAGATAGTTAAAGCTCAATGTACGCACGACTTCAAAAAGGTTGCACATAACTGTTTTAGTAAAGACTTAAACACTTTGACTCAGTTCATGCCTTGAACCAGCAACTTTAAGAAAAGCCTGAATGTGAAAAAAATATTTTGCATCCGAGGAATACCAAAACTTCAAACTTGATTAAAATAGGCCAACCAAATAATAGAAGACCACACCATTCAATCAAAAATTTTTAGTTTTATATGTAAATTATGTTTTTTTAACGGATTTTAACACCCCTAACCATTATAAAATTTTTGGTGAAGGTCGTTTTTCATTTACACATTGATCTTATAGGTCGATTCGTAACACAGTGAATGAAAAACACAATATGTTATAGATGAAAAACTTCATGGTTTAGATGAATATTGAATGCTCAATAAATTGAATGAAAAATTCCATGGTTGAAAGGGTTTAGATTAAAAACTTTATAGGTAAGATGATAGCACCCTGGGTTAGATGAAAAACTTTATAGTTTAAATGAAAAAATCCTTGGTTTAAGTAAAAACGCCATGGTTCAGATGACAAACTCTTAGGTTCTGCAGTGACCAGCTCTGAGATATATCTGCAAATCTCCAAGGTTCAAGCGATAAAGTCAATGGTTTAAATTATTAACTCTACTGTTTTGATCATTAACTCCATGGTTCGGGGGATTAACTTTTATGGATTGAATGAAAATTGCACTGTTTTAGTGATAAACTCCAAGGTTCAGATAATAAACTCCACGGTTCAGGGTATTAACTTTTATGGATTGAATGAAAATTGCACTGTTTTAAGTGATAAACTCCAAGGTTCAGATAATAAACTCCATGGTTCAGGGGATTAACTTCTATGGATTGAATGAAAAATGCACTGTTTTAGTGATAAACTCCAGGGTTCAGATAATAAACTCCACGGTTCAGGGGATCAACTTCTGCGGATTGAATGAAAATTGCACTGTTTTAGTGATAGGGTTCAGATGATAAACTCGACGGTTCAGAGTATGAACGCTACCTAGACTATCTCAACAGAACTGACTCACAGACTTTCTCGACTAAAATACTTCCGACGGAACTGACTGCCTGAACTACCTCAACTGAAATAGACGAATTGGACTACTTCAACAGAAACGGACGACCTTGATCATCTCGACAGAACTGAACTACCTAGACTATCTCGACAGTAAATACAGAGTTTCTCAGAAAAGATGAGACCTCAAAGAAAACTTTACGGAATTTATTTTTCTTTCACAATTGGTTCACGGCAACTGTAATCTTGTTTCTTTTCTTGTCAAGTTATATTTAGTATTTATTTTCAAACACAAATACAAAATAATAATGTATGATGGTTCAGCTAAAAATAAAACACAAAAGAAAACTTAATATGTGTCAATTGAAAACATAATGTTTGATGATTTTGTTTTGATCGGTATTTGTTGAAACAAACTATTCATATTGAAATCTAAAACTGAATATACATTCAAAGTGCATTTATAAGCAGAGGCGCAACTAGGACTTTTGCGAGGGGGGACTACATATTATTTTGTAATGGTCGAAAATTTCGAAAATTTTTCAAAAACAAAAGTGCTTTTTTAAGGGTTTGAAGTCGAAAAAAGGAAATTTTAAGTTGTTGCATGCAGATTTGGCTGTGTTCAATTCAAATCGATTTTTTGTTCTTGTGTTCTTTACAAAATTTATACTTCCAACAGCTGTAAAATGAATGATATGAGTCAATTCATAATCATTTAATATGTGTGCAAATCGCTAAAGAGTATTTTTTAAGTACCTGGTTTAATTACAGATTAAATTGTAAGAAATAATCATAAAAATACATAGGTAAATAATAAATTCAATCATCTACGTTGTAAAAGGACAGATAATGTTACCTTTTTTCTTGAAGTTATTGAATTAATGATTGATCTAACCAACATTCATAATCTAAATTCATTTTCGATTTTATAGAACTTCTGTCAAAGAAGATTATAAATCTTGTTAGTTATCAAATATGATAATCAGTTATAAATTTGCCAGGTTCAAAATTTTCTCTAGATTTGGAACTGATTTTTTGCCACAAACTCAAATATTCTAATCCCTAAATCTTTGCACCGAGTGGTGTAAACATTTGATATTTTAAACTTGGAATATTTTACCAAAAGAATATAAAGTTTGATATCTACGAGTACTATAAACTCAACACAAATAAAATACAGTTCAGAACTTTTTTTACATTAAATGTTTACAATAGCCTTTAGCCTTGAGAATTGAGAAAGATAAAAATATATTTTTTAAAACTAACTATAGTATGATAAAAATTTCTACAATAACTCTATTGGTTTTCTTGTTCCTGTGATACTGATTTTCGCCATTCTTTCTTTCTTTTCATTCTGCAGGGGGGGGGGGGCGCACCCCCTCTCAGGTGCTAGGGGAGGGCGCGCGCCCTGCCGCCCCCCCTAGTTGCGCCTCTGTTTACAAGTAGATATTTAGTCAGCAGCCAGCACTCAATTATAATCAAAACATTTTCAGGAATTCATTTATTGAACTTATAAATACATTTTGATTCAGCAAATTTGCAATGTATTCTCGTTGACTGTAGTAGACTTTGGCACATATCATCAAAAGGGCGTCAACCCATTCTTGTTGACTTTAGCAGACTTTGACACTAAACACCAGACTTTGACATCCACCACTAGCAAAGGGTTTGAACCCATTCTCGTTGACTGTATAAAGGTTATAGAAGGGTTGCGGCCCTAGTCCTGAATATATTCTGCAAAAATTTGCATGCTTTTTCTCAGAGAGAGGAGATGTTGACACTTAATTATGAAGTTAAGGGCAAACCGGTACATAAAGCCTGTAAAATAGGACTAATTGCAGGACAAGATGAAAAAGGATCTAAATAAAACGATATGAAGGTAACGGATTTAAGTAAATATTGGAAAAAAGAAAATGGAACAATGGCTAAAAAAGGATAAGGGCAATTAGAGGGGAAGGAAGTTGAGGATGGGCAGTATAGAAAGGGTCGAAGATGAAAAGAAGGATATAAAACAGAATTGATAAGATAAGGATTGATAGAATATATATATATATAATACTATACTTTTATGATTCTTTGCGCCCATCTTATATTTTGACATTGTACAGTATAAAACAATATCAAAAAAAAAATTTTTTTTCGCGCATTCAAACTTTTACAAAAATCATAAACATTTGGACAACAATTTTGTAATTTTGAGCATCCACAAACCTTCCCTGAGGTCATAACATTTGGGCCCATATCGGATCAGCCGTTTTAACGTTTATTGGAAACGAACAGACAAACAAACGGAAAGACAGCCTGACAGGGAACGTATATATTTAGATATATGTATTCTATTCTAAAGAAAAAGGTTGCGCTGAAAAGAACGGCAGGCGGACTAGAGTAGATGAGATTAAGAAGTAAACGAAAAAAAGAGTAAAAGGGGTAGATATAATAATGAACAAGAAAAGAAAAACAGAAGAAGAGAAAGGCGATTAGTACGGATATGGGAATAAAAATGGAAAGGAAGGGGATGTATAAAAGTAAATAAAAAAAGAGGAAAGCCAGAAAGATAGAAAAAAGGTAGAGAATTAATAAAAGGATAGAAAAGAGAGAGGAAAATATGACGGAAGTGGATTAACAGAAAAAGTAATAAAGATAACAAATATATACAGAAGGATGGGAAGGACGAATAGTAGGAGGGAAGGACAAATGAATAGGAAGGAAGAGGATGGATAGAAGGATAGAAAAGTAGAGGACGGACTAGAGGCCGGGTATTGATCCTCTGTATATTACCATCAGCTGTGTCCTGCAGTCCATACTCACTGTATAGATATACACCCTGATCTTAAAAATATTTCTTCAAGTTGTTTGCTTCATTTCATTACGCGTCATGTTGAACTTCATTGGTTAAGTGAAAACTCCATAAATTACAAAAATACATGTTTGTAAATGGATATGATTCTACACTGGTTTAAATTTTGCAAAAGGCTCAGTTCCAGTAAAACTATAGGATTAATATTTCATTGCTTAAAGTTCTTGCAGCAAGTGTTATTACTACATATATTATTATTATAGATTTATTTCGTACACAAAGATAAAATGCAAAGCATATCAGAACTAGTAATGATCAAAAAATGATTTGAACTCAGGGGAAAAATTCGCAGAAGCTTACTAACACAATAATATATACAGGGTGTCCCACGAAACATGACAGTTTGTTAATAGTTTAAAATGTCTTTTTCCATAATTTGATAAGTTGTTTGATACTAAAGTGACTAATAACATTTTTATACGACATTTATATTTTAGCAAAATTGATTTCACAGTAAAATATATATATGAGGTAAACATTTTTTTCTAGAAATAAACTGCAAAAAGTCTTTAATATCCAATACAGTAGTATGTGGAAGATATGGAGTATCACCAACTGTCATGTTTCATGGGACACACTGCATTTGACATGACAAGTATACAGATACAAAAGTTAAGAAATCTCGTAATAAAGATATCCTTTTAATATCGTTCGCAAGGTTAGGTTTTGGTTTAATGGGTGCTATTTTATATTCAACATATCTTTGCATGTATTTGTGTAAATGCATCTTAATAGTTAAGGTCCAAAACAACAGAGAACCAAAAACTTAAAAGAATTCATACCGTTAATAATGCAGTATTCGGATAAAAGTTAAGAAGGCAAAGTGTCTCAGTGTACACTAAGCAGTACAGAGCTCGGTAAATGTTAAACAAACATAAATATTAAGCTTGAGATGTGTAGTAAGTTAAAGAAGAGTAAGGGGGTATTAAGGGGGAGAGAGGGGAAGAAAGTGTGGGTTAAGGAGGAGATTGAGCATTAAAACTTATAACACCGTTAAATATAAAATGTTAGGCCTTATTTTCCGGAGTGACTCTGAAAGGTTTCTGAGAGGAACGTTTCCCCGCATTTGCCCATGCTGCAGCAGCACTAGCTGTTTCTTGGAAGAAAGCTCATTAAAATAAATATCACATAATTGGGAGTGTATTATTTTGAATGAGTCATTTGGTATTGGTAATGGTCATTTATGAACATATTTTGACGCAAAGAGCGTTTTTTTGCCAAATACAAAAATAAACGTATTTTGTTTTTCAGAAATAAAATGATAAAAGCAAGATAGTGCGAGATGCTAAGCTTAATAAGGTATGAAATCATATAGTTATAAAAAAATTCTTGATTTCTTTTTTTGCTTTAATTATAAAGCATTTTCACATATATAATATGAATAAACAATTATAGAATTTAGGAACATCAAATCATTTTTAATTTTAACTAAAAATTAATAAACAAGATCCCACAAAAAGTTGAGCCGATTCGACTTTTTTTTATCAACAAATTTACCATTTAACAAGACAAACTTTATGGAGAGATTTAAATTTGTCTGGGCATCAATAATTTATTCTAAACCTCGCAATACTTTTACCTTTCATATGTTGATTCAGGAAAGGAAAAGGAAGGAAGGAGAAAAGTTTGGATGAATCTGAATCCGAAGTAGAACAGGATGACAGGTAACAAACTACAAATTATAATTGGTTGGTTATAAGTTTGTAGCCGAACTTTGATATAATGGGCGGTATGAATTTACTTATGCACGTTGCACAGAAGACCGAAAAAGTCAAAGTTTTTCATAAACTTTAACTTTTTTCTTTGAATTTAATTAATTCAGATGTTTAATATTTCAAATAAATATGAATAAAAATATTAATAATATTTAATAATTGATCATTTCGTAAATTTGTATGAACTCGAAAACTCCTGTGTTTCCGGTTTGAAATTTATTGTTCATAAAATTTTAGTAATTGTCGCTTAATTTTTCTGAGCCCTTTTGAATTGTCCTTAACTGACACCCTGTTGAGAAATAAAATCTAGCATTCTATACTCTACGAGATACCCAGAAAACAAACTTTTTAATATTCTGCATCCTACCCTCTCAGCTGAAATTTGGAACAAAACTTGAGCAAAAAGAAAAGCTGTTAAGTTTTAGACATATAAAATTAGAAATTAAAGTTTTTTTTTTAAAAGTTGCAGTTTTCTAAAATGTTTTACAATGCAAACTAAAAGCCTAAAGTCCTCTGAAAAGATTAAAATGATAATTTGTAACAAACTAATCATTCCAAATTTAAGACCTTCCTCAAGAGCTTCCAACAAATCTGAACGCCTGGACCCCAGAGTAAGTTGGGTTGACCGGCCTGGGTCAGGCAACCACCCGGAGCGCCCACACTCACGCTCAGGGCGAACAAAGCAACCTGTTCTCGGCACTCTAGGCTACCAACCGAACCTTTTCGAGGATGATCCAGGTGAAAAGTTAAAACCTTCCCACTAACGGTTGTTTTAGAAGTGTCTAATAATTTCTCGGTTTACACCCCCCCCCCCTTCCCGCCGCCCGCACACCGTGCATCTCTTTTCATAAACTAAAATTCACATTCTTCTCACTGGTAAAAATTCCCATAAAAAAAACTCTTAATAATGTAATTTATCTGAATCTTGAATAACCATTCTGCTAAATTTATATTTTATATTTTAAAAACTTGTTAGGTGTGATGAGTGAAGTAGAAACTGCTTCAAGTCGACTCCGACGAGGTGCTAAGCAAAGAAACTCTTATGGCGGAGGGGTAGTTATTCCTAGACCAAGAACATCCCCCTCCCAACCTAGTCGTTCCCCTAGCCAGGGCAGTAACCAACACAGGTATAGGGGTAAAAAAATGCCAAACATTAACGGTCAGTCAGATGTCTTTTTATATAAAGACCAATTTTTAGTTCACTAGGACATGACAGTTGTTTGGTTCTAGGTCATGCTCAGGTCAGGTCATGCTCAGATAGGCTCAGGTCAATGTCATGATCAGGTAAGGTCGTGGTCAGGTCAAGCCCAGGTCAAGGTCATGATCAGGTAAGGTCATGATCAGGTAAGGTCATGATCAGCTAAGGTCATGATCAGGTAAGGTCATGATTAGGTAAGGTCATGATCAGGTAAGGTCATGATTAGGTAAGGTCATGATCAAGTAAGGTCATAATCAGGTAAGGTCATGGTCAGGTCAAAATCAAACTATGGTTAGCTTCATGCTCAGGTCAAGTTTATGGAAGAAGTCATGGAAATGGCCGAGGTCAAAGTCATGCTCATTGCTCAAGTAAAAGTCATGCTCAGGTCAAAGTTAAAGTCGAGGTCAATGTCTGTCATTGCCATCTCTAAAATGCAAGTTTATCATGAAAAATTCTGAAACTAGGGATGGATAACATTTTGTTAACGAACGGCAGTTTAAAAAAACTGTTTTTGAAAATTAACTGAAAATTCTGAAACGTTCTTTAAAAATTAGAACGTCAGATTAATAAGGCGTACGGATGATTTTAAAATAAGGGCAAGTCCCGTTGATTTTCATGGCTAAAATTTGTGAACGATTGGGACAATCGGATAAATAATTTCTGTAATTATGTTTTGAGTGTCGACACTAGTTAACGAGATTACCAACTGTTTAAGGAATATTTGGTATTTCTACCTATAACACCGTTAAAAAATCAATATCATTAAAGAGCGAAGAAAACGCTATCAAACTGAAAGTTTAATTCGATCGAAAGAAAGTCGTATTTCCATATTTGCTTTTTTAGATTTCCTGGAAACAGCAACGGATACTTGTTACCAGGTATACGTTTTAAACAAAATCAATAACTTCCAATTTTGGGTAGACTTTTACATTTCCTTATTTAGATGATGATCCAGGAGTGATGTCTGACGTAGATAACAGACAATCTACATCTAGGTGATATGAAAACTATCTAAAAACATTAGGCCATACGAGAACCAAACATTGACTTCTCTAGTTTAAATTGNCCCCCGAGGATGATAGTTTGAAACTATAATCTTTGTGAAGAAACAACCTCAAGAACTGATGAGGGTCAACCCAGACCGAAATATATTTTCAATAAATGTGGAACTAACATCTACTTTTTTACTCTACAGAGGTTTGGTCCATCACCATCACCGAATTTTAAATATAAACAACCTCATGATTTCGTATAATTCTTTAAGTTGGTTAAATGTACTTTTCTTAGAATGAAAGCACAAAACAGTACAATGTCTCTTGGTAGAGGAGGTGTACTTTACCCTCCTCCCCTGCATTCATCTCTATTTGATGAAGATCCCGGGATTATGTCGGAAGCAGAAACTTCAAGTACAAGGTATCTTTTCATCTTTAATTACATTATGGTGCACAACAAACGTGTATATTTCTATGAATATAATACCATTGCATTAATTATTTTCTAGACGGAAAAACAAACCTAAGGCAGTATTACCTGTTGTCAGAACACCGTCAAAAACTTTAGAAAGACCTCTTGGCCTAGTATTTCTAGTGTATAGGTAATTGTAATTTTAAAGTTAATCCCCTGGATTAAACGCTGAAATTTTGCAATGGACTCATTTTTCTTTAACCCTATGCAAGCCTGGAGGGGGGGGGGGAGTCTATTTTTTATATTTTTTAATTGGGTGTTAATCATGTATTGTACCATAATACCTTTACTGTAAGGCCTTTTCATAGTGGGAGGGGTGGGGTCGGAACACGCCCCCCCCCCCCCTTCTTTAAATTAACCCATGTGCATCCAAGTAACATTTTTCATATTTGACATGCTCGAAGCCACTTTTCTCAATAGACGATAAAGAAATGTAAGCTATAAGGATCAAATATGCTTTCATCTTAGTGCACTTTAAAATTAGCAGACATTTTTATGAACATTTTTTGCCTTTGTTTTCATTATAAACACCGAATATGTATTCACAAACCTTGCTAATCTCTTGTAAATGTATAATGGATACAATTTTGACGATGACAAAAATTTCTTGATTTCAATCCCTTTCTTTCAAATTTTTACAATTTCCTAGGGGAGAAACAAAACGTGCACTGCTTCCGAATGAAATAACCGTGCTTGACACGGTAAAAGCGCTTTTTGTGCGCTCTTTCGGTCGCATGCTAACAATGGAATATATGGATTCTCCTAGGTTAGTAATTTTGATGTCTATTTCATGTAATTCATATCGACTTAAATTACAGAATTGCAAAGATAGAAAAACTCAAGCTCTAAAAAATTTAAATTATTACATCATCATCAATCTGTGAAAACAATATAAATATTACAGTATTATTTGTAAGCCCTATTTCTGCAAGTGGGGGCGGGGGGGTAGGGTTGTAACGTTAATTCCTGTGAGGAAATGCAGAAGTCCACAACATAGAAAGATTTGACAATATTGTGTTTCAGGGTTAAAATCTACATACATGACAGTGGTAAAGATATTTTCTACGAGCTAGAGAACCTTCAAGAAATCAAAGATCGAACTATTCTGAAACTATTTGAAACGGACGGTTCAGGAAGAGGGCCTTCAGGTTTTATAACATTTTAAATTTTTCCAGATAAACTAGCCTTAATTTACAATCATTTCTTAGATAAAACGTTAAACAAAATCAAATTCATTCTGAAAAATTATGAACATGTTTTTTAAAATGAAGACTACCATAACTCGTACAGTCAATTTTCTAAAATTATACAGACGCAAATATGTAAAATCCCGATTTCACATGTCAAATAACAAATAAAGATAAAGCGAATAGTGTAACAAATGCCTTACTCCAATATCTTTTCAGTAGTCTGTACCAATCTCGGTATGACCTTCTGTAATCTCAGTACGTATCCCATATATACAATTCTCTCGTCCGATCTATAATACTCAATCTCTATCAATCCAGATAAGACGCTGTTGTATTCTTTAGAATGTATCGCTCAGATACAACTATAGCTCTTTGTATTCTCAAGTTAGTATTCCTGATACAACTCTCTGTAATCCTTAATTTGTATCCATGATACACAGAGCTAACTCTTTGCTTCTCTACACGAGAATTAATACTTGTAAAAACGTTATGAAATGAAGCAACAATTCATGGTTAACTTACGTATATTTTGAGTTTTATGGTACAGGTTAAACTAATGAACATAAATAAGCTAAATCGTAATACAGGCTTTACGTAGTTATTAGAAAGTGTAGGTAGGTTACAGATAATGTACAGCATAATATATTAAATAGTATTAAAAATTAAACCAAATGAAATTTCGGCTTAGAAAAAAAAATAAAGTAAACGAAGCGCGTTTACAAGAAAAAGAGGCCAAACGAACAAGTAGGGAATAAGGAAAGAAAACTTTTAATTACAGATGCCTTATTTTTATTAGTTACTTACCTAGTTCATCCAAGATAGACCTGGACATTGATTTTGTCAAAACATTTGATTTTATTTACAAGGAAACATATTAACTAACAAGCGTTGCTTGTTGATAGATTTTAAAAGAAAAATTTCAAGCTGGTTCTATGGTGCACATCTCTAAGTGGTGGTAGGAAGAAGATTGATTTTTTGTAACAACTTTACCAAAACTTTGTTAGTTTCCAAAGACCAGCATTAGACTATACAGGTTAAGAGGATTAAAGATTTAATTAATGAAAAAAAAACATTTCTGTTCCTTTGAAAAAGTTACATGGTTAAATTGTTTTTCTGAACAATGTAAATAGACTTTATAAATTTACAAATGGATTTATTTAAGATTCTATTGTAGGATTAGGATCTGCTGGTTTACCACCATTTACTCCAACACCAGCAGAATTATTTGAACCTACATACGTTTCTAATGCACAGCTTAGGTAAGAATAAGTTTTAAACCGTGAATAAGCTATAATTAACATTGACCTAAGACTTTAAATAAACCCATAAGAATATTTTTTTAACATATGTTACTTTAGTTTCATTCTCAATGTTGTGATAAATTCGTGATTCAAACAACAAATATTCTAGTTAATTTGCTAGTTTAAGTGTAAATTTTTTAATTAGCAATATTAATAATTTTGTATTTGATAATTTCTGTAGATCTACGAAGAGTTTACATATAGAAGAACCAATATCATTGCCTACAGACTCCTCAACATTACCGAGGTCATTTTTAATTTACAGTGGAAAACGGTAAATTACAGTGAAGTTGTTAATGTAAATTTTCTGACTTATAATGTTATAGGAACGTTTTCTCTACCAGATCTTTGGGATTTGGTGATGAGCAAGAATTAACAAGGAAAATATTTAAAGTATTTATTAAAGATATACTGCTTAATTTTCACGATAGAGCAAGAAAATGATTATTCTTAATTGTTTACATCATTATAACTATATCTTATATCTTTAAAACTATTATCAACAAATATTTCAAACTAATATGGAAAAATTTAATCACATATCCATTATATTATTATTATTATATATTATATATATCCATTATTATATTATTGTTTAATATTATTTTAATATGATATTATATTATATAATATTTTAATTTGTTAGAACTATGCCTGGCCGAAGTAAATCATCCTTATCAGGTCAAAATTTAAAATAACAAAAGATTAATATACATACATATTTTGCATATTTTGTATTTAGAACGGATTTCTGAATGAATAGTCAATTTAAGGACATAACACATAAAAAATGTTCATAGAATATCATCAAGAATAATGAATTATTTTCACCTTGAGCACGCAACTATAAAACTCAAAGTTACCGGCCCTTGTAAGCATAACAAACTTGGATCCAACCCAAATCATTTGTCATAAATTAACTTTTCTTTGAGATATTTAACAAAACCTTTTTTTCTTCACTTATAACATCGTTTTATTCATCAAATAATCCCTACAGAGCGTCTTTGAAGTGTAAAATAGTACATACAAGTACAGCACACCTTAAAGCCTACAATATTTAAAGATTAAAAACTAAAATGTATATACCAATTCTTAGAATCCAAAATCCTGAATTTTTACTTTCATAAAATCATCCAGCTCATTTAAGGGTGTTAAGACATTTCATAGATAACAAAAATCTTTCAAATCTGTGAAATGTTCTGTCTATCAAATATCTTCTATGCAATATACTATCTATGAAATGTCCTGTCTGTAATCAATCGATGTCAATCCATAAAATGTCAATCTATGAAATGTCAATCTATGAAATGTCAATCAATGAAATGTCAATCCATGAAAAATCAAGATATGAAAAGTTAATCTATGAAATTTCAATCTATAAAATGTCCCAATATCACTTAAAAAAGTGACATTATTTTAATTCAATGTTTTTGTTTAGCTCGGTCCAGAGATCATGATACGAGCTCACAGCGAGGGAGTAAGGATGATCTAAGAATGGTTCGATTTGCTTCTCGATTCACATCGCAGGGGGAAGGAGGCTATGCAGGTATAAGGAGCTTAAAGAATCCTTCTAAAATTTTACAATGGTTAGCAAAATATTTACAACCATCAATTTTCGTACTAACCAAATATCTGGATCAATAATATTACGTAAATAAATATTTCCATATAATACGGTGAGACTCATCAAACTGTGGAATAAAAAGAGGTTTATTAAGGCTCAAGTTATGGCTTTAAATATTCCAAAGGACATAAAATGCAACAATTGTGCAGTTAAAACAGACCCATCTTACTTACACCTTTATAAGTTTGTTTTCAGGCAACTTTAAAACTATTTGCTTTATGACAGCATTAAATACTCAGAAAATTGCTTAAATATCTCTTCTTATTCCACAGTTTTATAAGTTACTAGTTGGGGTGCTTGGCATTGCACGCGTGGAAAAGAAAAATTTAAAAAATTAAAATTCGATTCTTTTAGCTTATGTCACCCCAGGTATGAGTGTCGACAAAGAAATTCAGCCCATTCGGTTCAGCCATTTTGCCGGCCAGACGGAACATATATCCGAATGTCGTGTTATATTATTAACTAATATTTTTAAAAAGCCAATAAATTTAATAGAAAAAAAAATATTTTAAATTGGTTTCCAGGTCACGGTCCCGTTAATCAGGCCGAAGCTAAAGAAAGAATGATTGCCATGGAGGTTCAGCTAAGTCAATTGACCGGGATAGTGCAGAAAGCGCTGATAAAAAAGGTGAGATAAAAAAATTAAATGAAGTAATTTAAAAATTTTTTTCATTGCAAAAATCCTATAGGGAGGTGGGAAGAAAAGTGTAAGTTTCGAGAAATCTGTCAGTTTTAGTGATGATCCCCCTCCTTTGCCAAGCAGTATTCTAAGTAAAAGAGGAGAAAGAGGAGACAGAGGAGAAAGGGGAGACAAAGGAGATAGAGGAGAAAGAGGGGGTTCTGGTAATAACGGAGGAGGAGGCAAAGGAAGAGAAAGATTGGTCGTTGGAACTGCTGAAGGTGTTGGAGAAGTTGGAGGTGGGGAAGGAGGAGGACGAGGAGTGAGAGGAATAGATGATCTAAGAAGTGGAGGAGGAGTAGGACCTGAAGGAAATGACCGAGATGAAAACCTAACAAGAGGAGGCAGTCTTAGGCTAAATATTCCTCGACCTGTACAGACAAGGTAATCATTCAGAAATATGTATATTTTCTAAAGAAAAAATATGACACTAAATTCCCATCCCTGCACTCCCCCCCCCCCCCCCCCCCCCCCCCCCCCTCCACAACATTATATTACAAAAAGGGAGCTAGTATTTAAAGATGATTCAAAATTAATAAAAAAAGATTTAAAAATAGTTTTTTTTCAAAATTTTAATATTGGGTTGTTATTCTTTTTCTAGTGAAGAGAAGAAGAAGATAGAACGATCTAGTCTGGTAACTCTAGATCCAGAATTATATAATCAGTTGAGAGGAATACAAAAATCTGCCAAAGATCTAAGACAAGTAAGCCTGTGCATGTAATATGATATCATATAACATATAATAGAATAAAGAGATAAATAATAATATAATCACAATATCATCAAGTTGAATTGTTTAAGCTTTGGAGTTTTATAAAATTGTTCAACTGGCATATTTTAACGTTGCACATTTTAATTTGATCTTTCTAAAAAAAATCATCAAAACATTACAATCTATTTAAAAATTCAATTTCTCTGATGGTTTGTCTTATCTTTGTATCTAAAAAACGTTAAAACGGCTGTACCGATTTGGCACAATTATTTTTGTGGTACCTCACGATCTCAAAAATACAAAAACAAATTTATCTTGAAATTTGATTTTTAAACTTTCTAGAAAATTCGTGAAATATATAGTCTAAATTTACTAAGAAAAAATTGCAACTTGAAAAACAACATGTAAAGGCTCAATTACTGGAAAAGGTTCAATTGTACAGCGTCCTAATAGTCAAATATATCAAAATCATTTTAGGAAAGAAAAATTTCTTAACAATTTAAATAAATATCCACCTTTTGTTTTATAAACAAAAAATGGAATTTATAAAATTGATAATTATGCATCAGTGAGAAATTAATAAATAAAACTTATATTGTGTGTTTGAATAAAGGGTGTTAAAAAATATGCAGGAAATTGTATTCATATGAATTTCATTTTTGTAGATTATAGAACTTTTTCCAGCTAATTTTAAAGTTAAATTTAAGAAGTTTTCCCAGCAAAATTTAAATTCTTTAAAATGACTTTGAATAGGCAATCTGCAGTTCTCAATGGCTTTCACTCGCCTATGTTTGCCAGCCGAAAAAAATAAATGTATTAATATTTACAAACATGAATATATTTTCAAAATAACCCTAATATATTATGCATGATGATTAAATTATAAGAGAAGAAGATATTTTGCAGCATCTGCAACAGTAATATGATTATATAAAGGGAGTGTTTGCGAAACATGAAAGGGGGTATGGACTTACGGCGAAAAAATAAGCGCTTTCGATCGCTACTAATCTTACTTCTATCTGTGTGTTTATCAAGAGGAAATTGATGAAAACGACTCATACTGAAGAACGTAGCGTCCATACAAATTTGGAAAGTTGCAAACTTGCAACATTCAACTCGGATCGTAAAAAATCAATCTAATTCCAAACAAATCATTCATATATTACAAATAAGAGTCATCGATTATTTTTCGACGGATTCGTATCAAGTAGATATTTCATACTATTTATTTTTTATTTTTTATGATCTGATAATTACTTTTGAAAATATTTATTCCTGTTTCGAGGATTTTGGATAATGAAGACGACATTTTCATATTAGTCAGCAAATTTTGAAAATCCAGCGCCAGCCAAATATTATCAAAAAAAAAATATTATGAAATATTAACAATACTCGAATGCGTCGAAAATAATGGATGACTATTGGTGGTAATATCTGAATGATTTTTTTAAAATTAAATTGATTATTTTACGATCCGAGTACGTTGAATGTTGCATCTTTCTGAATTTGTATAGACGCTTCGTTCTTCAGCATGAGTCGTTTTTAACAGTTTTCTCTTGATAGACACAACAGATAGAAGTAAGATTAGTAGTGATTAAAAGCGTTTATTTTTCGCCGTAAGCCTATACCCCCTTTCATTTTTCGTAAACAATCCCTATAAGTAAAATTATTGCAAACTACACTAAAATGTTCTACAACAATCATAACATTTTTGTATTGAACAAATCTTAAAATATTTTTCAACATTTTATTTACCCTTTGACACCGAGGGAGAAATGCAGAAATTCAGGAAAGCCATTTTTGGTTTTTTTTCCTACAGTATTGTATGAAACCTAATAGAACATAAAAACTATTTTTTGATTTAATATTTTCATAAACTATGTTATTCGCAGAGGAAAAAATATTTTTAATCATGGTCATATAATTGGGGATTTGGCTTTTCTCTTACTTTTTTAAGAAGCTATTAGCTTTCTGAAAACAAAATGTATCAATTCATTCACTGTCAGAAGAAATGCTATTTTTGTGATCGGGCTTTTTTAAAAAGTACTATTAGTACACAGTGATATGTACAACTTACTCAAAAAACCTAAGTTCACCAAGTTTTTCTTTTTGCAGCCGGGTAGTCAGAGTGATCCAAAAGTTGCTAACTCTTAAGTAAAAATCATGCAAAAACTAATTCTTTAAAACTAACGCTAAAAGCAAGTTATAAAATGTAAGTATTTAGGGCTACAAAATGTTAGTTTGTGAGGTTAAATAACAAGCTAAGGCGTTGCGACACTTACAATCCGACTCAGAATTTAAAATTTATGCAACTTTTTTTTGTAGTCTGGACTATTTAACATTAAAGTTGTGCGACCTTTTTATCGGCAATCTCAAATCCAGCTAACTAGGAAAGAGAAAGCACCAACTCAAATAATACTTTTATGGAAATTATAAAAACAGTGTGTTAATATACTAGAAATGTTAAGCAAAGATATTTATGTTAAAGTGAAAAGTAATTGTATTTATTAAGGAGGTACGGGTCCTGAAGCGTCTTTCTCAGTTGCAAAGCATGACAATAAACGATCTGGTGAACGATACATATCTCAAGCTGCGTGAAGCAGTTATTGTCTTTGCTACAGAAAATAAGGAACAATGATAAACAAAAAGCGTACAATCTTCGAGCAATCAACAGCTTTATAATTTAAAAATAAATAATAATTAAATCCTTAATGATAAAAGCATGATTGTCATAATATAGTTATTACCAATATTATTTTTAATATTTTAAGTCTCCAAAAATCATTACTAAGGAACAACTTCTTATTGTTAATATGCACAGTATGGGTCAAAATCTGAGTTTGAAATTATACGAGCAATCGAAGATGAATCTTTGTTCAGTCAGGTACATGTAATTCACCAATAAGCTCAAGGTTTTATCTTTCTTAATAAATGCCAAGGGCAGCAAAAGAAATGTATTTAAAACTGATGACAAAAATCAAGACATCCATGTTGTGTCATCACATAACAAAATGTTTCAGGGACTGGTCGAACTGTTAAAAGAGTTAAAAGAACTGGAGATTGGCGTTGAAGAGATAAGGTTAAACTACCATTTTTTTGATCAGAGAAAGAGTTTTAGTTTTAATCTTGTTCACTCTTTACAGTTTTAAGCAAAGTTTAAGTTTTTTCTTAAAGGGATTTCAAGCTTAATTAATCAAAGAAGTTCGTAGTAAGATTTAGACTCCATTGGAAACGACCATAGGAATTCAGTTTCACTGGAGGGGCTTGATAAATCTCTATTTACAAGTTCAAACTTCAGATATGAGATATGTATATAGATATATGAGATATTTAGATTTTTTTTCAAGGGGGTTTATAATTCCACTTAGGGGAGTCAGATATCCTTCCTGGTGGTTTATAATACCACTAAGGGGATTCAGAACCCCCCTCTGGGGGTTTAAAATTCCACTTGAGGTATTCTGATTTTCATCCGGAATTTTAAACTCCCTGAGTGAATATCTGATACCCTCAAAAAATGTTAAACTTCCAGGATCGATATCTGAATCCCTCATAGTGGAATTATAAACTTCCAGGATGGTCATCATCGTGACTAGGACCCTTCGTTAACGATCATTAACGACTACCCTTCGTTAACGATCGTTAACGACAACCCTTCGTTAACGATCGTTAACGAAGAGAGAAAATTGACCAGAAGGGCATCTGTACTTATCATTGAGTAGTTTTTAAGAAAATATCAAGAAGTTTTAGCTTCCCCACAACTTTTTAACTTCATGTAAGACGACATTCAATAAAGTTGCATCTAATTTTTTTTCCAAAACGATTGTTTTACTAAAAACAATATTTTTTATAAAGTTCGTCGTTTTGTTAACGATCGTTAACGACAACCCTTCGTTAACGATCGTTAACGACGACCCTTCATTAACAATCCTTAACATATTTGTCGATAAAAAAAAATTATAAAAAAACGATAGTTTTTTTCGAAAGCGATCGTTTTTAAAAACAATTGTAAAAAACGGTCACAAATCGTTTTTAAAAAAACGATAGTTTTTTAAACGAACGTTATTCTTATTCTAAAAGTTCAAAACGAGTGGGTCGTTTTTAAAAACGATAGTTATTTTCAAAAAACGAAACGATCGTTTATCGAAAAACGATTAACAACCCTTGCCCTTTTTTTAGAAACTCTTGGTAAATCTGTTTTAAATAATTATAATTGGGTTTTGTCCAAGTTCAATATGAAATGTAAGAAATATAGGAGATTATCAAAACAAAAATAATTAATATTTTTTATCCTGATTAATTTTTAACAGTTAAAAGAATCCATTTTTAATTTAGGAGTGGAGTTATTCTTAAAAAGAATAAAATCTCTACTCAGGATGTGGAGAATATGGCTATAACACTAAGCAGGTACACGTCAAAATACTACGTTAGATTAAAATCTTATACAGTGAAACCCTTAATAAAGAATACATCGAAAGAATTCATCAAATGTCGTATTCTTCACTTTCTGATAATGGAATGTTGCATATATTTAGTTTTTTAATTAAATGATTATATGGAACTCTTAAAAACTGTTCCCGCATATTCAAGGCTATTTATTTATTTTGCAAATACTGAAATTTACGTAATACAGTATAAAACTCATTGGAAAATTGTCAAGACGACATTTGATAAATTCTTCCGATGTATTCGTTATTAAGGGTTTCACCGTATATTTTTTATCATAACTCGATTCTTTCTCTCATTATATTATTGATAAGACCAAAAAAATCAATATTTTTGTAAAGATTTATTCTCACACAAAGATATAAATATATATATAAATGGCGTAGTCAAAATTTGTTTAAAGAATTTAAATATATAGTTTTACAAAAGAAAAAAGAAAAATATGCAAAATTATACACAAATAGGCGGTTTTGATTATTACTCATTACATAACATATTTATCATTTCACTTATTACGTAATAATCGAATCCTTCAACTTATAAATTATTCGTTCTTGTATTTAAAAGTTCTTGTAAAATCGAAACTTTTCATGCATGGTCCAATGGGACATCAAAATATTGCATTTGTTTCTTAACTAACATTTTACTAAGATCAGAAAGATTTACAGAACAATCATTTGCATTTATGTAACCACATAAATATGCTTTCCTCATACCTCTGCGTTAAATTAAAATGAGAGGAGCCACACTCCTTCTGTCTAGTCGAGTGGGGTTTTATAATCTACCCTTGACAATGTATCTTGAAATGAATTGTCTAGGTACTTCTAGTTCCCTTTAAGTGAAGATTGCAACAACAAATCTAAAGGTTAACTGTACACTTTCATCTGGACTCTAGAGAAAGCGGCCAAAGAATGTCTATTTAAAAAATTTTAAACTAAACTTTGATTGCTTCTTGCAGAATTATTGAAACAACATTTTCTTGTAGATCCAGTAAAAGGGTTACAGAGCTACAAAAGAAACTACCAATGTTGCAGCAGAAACTGTTGGACGGTAAAGTTAAGTTAAAGGGAGTGACCAACAATGCATTGTGGCCAAATTTGTTAGGATTCATTTTAGACATTTCTACGACGTATATTTACAGTTTGAGCGCAAAGTCGACGTTCAAAATTACTAACCTGGGTGGACACGTTTCAGAATCTTTTTTTAAATTATTAAATAAAGACAACAAACAATGTAAACAAAATTCTACAGTAAACTTATCAGTTGTTTAGGAACAGGTTGATAAAATAAAAATCGAAAATAAGAAATCTTATTCAATTATTAGTTTCTATAATTTCATCATTCACAAAGATTTTCTTCGGGTTTTCTGTAATCTTTATTGAAAAGACGACATTTGAAGAATTTGTAGAAATCTGTGGACAAATTCATAGTAAATAAGAAAATCGAAATAAGGGATTCTAACATTAGTTTATTGACAAATTTCTTTTGAGAAATATGTTCCTAAACATCTAATTAGTTTACTGTATAATTTTTGCTTTATTTTCGTTATTTAATTATTTTAAAAAAAAAACTATTCTGAAAACGTACCCCCCTAATTCATGATTTTGAACGTCAAACTCAGTAGTTATAAATCGTGGAAACGTTTTACATGTCTTAAATGAATCCTAAAAGATTTTCTACCATACTGCATACTCAGTTCAACTACCATACATTGCCGGTCACTCCCTTTAAAATTGTAATAAAGATTCGGCATAATTAATAATAACAAGAAAGCCTTTTAAAATATCAGAACTTTATAAAACTACAAAAAGTAAATAAGGTCGAAAAATGTGCTTTGTTTATTCTCATGATTCTATTTCACAAATCCTTCAATTCAATATTATGGTTTACTCGGGATAGCGTAAGACAAGAAGGGTTCGATATCATAACCAAACATTAAAAAATCAAAGTAATATCTTGTGTACAATGACTTAACCATTCGTCGAGGAATTTGAGAGAAATAGTTTTGAGATTTGGAAGTTGTTGATTTATTCCCCGTCTTGTGAGTGTGCTGTAGAGATCCCTTTTCCTGGTCTGTTAAAAACACGCCGTGTTCTTTTAGTTTCTGCATTATATAACTGCTGTCTTCGTTTATGGTTTCAGTTTTACCGATAACATTGTACCGTACGTGGCAAGGTGTACAGAGAAGGAAATACGGTAACCAGTGCTCGTTGAACTTTGAAAAGGTAGTTTCTAGTAAATAACTTACAAATTCTTTAAAAGTCGGCACTTTCTGATATATATCATGCTCTAGAGGCTCTGTTCTAAAATTTTTGATTATTTCTTTTCCATACAGATTATAAAACTTGCTAGCTTTAATATTTTCCTCGCTGGAGTTATCAAGACGAAAGAATTTATCCCGGTATGCTGAAAGCAGACGATCGAATGGATGTCGAACTGTCAGAAATGAGAAGGAGTTTGTTTGAATATCTTGGAGCTCTAAAAGTGATTTTGGCCTCGGCATCAGTCGTCTTAGTATCGTATGAGTTAGTCCTATATTGTTTTCTTTACGTTTCCGTTCCGATAAGAAGAGTTCTACCCAGCTGGTGCTCGCAGCCTTAGGAACCTTGCACCAAAAAAAATCTCTCTCTCTGTCAACTAAGATATCTGATTTTAAAGAGATTTGTATTGCATCTTCCAAGTGAAATACTCTTACAGAAATATTTTGAACCTGTTTCTTGTATGTTTCGCAAACCCTGTTCAATAAACTCAGCCTATCTGAATATTCTGAACTGGTCTGCAGGCCCGAGATGCCATAAAAGGGTAATTCAAGGTTGGAATAATTCAAAGATAATGAAAACAGAAATACTGCAGTCAGAATAATTGTTCCTACTAGGATTTTTCTACAATAGAATAATAGAATATTGAAGGAAAACTGAAAGTTTTTACAAAACCAAACATTTTTCCACATTTTCTGAAAAAAAACTCGTAATTCAAATAAGGATTCGGCATTATCAACAACTTACCCTGCTAAACACTACACCAAAATTCTAAATATATGAGAGAATAATTGTGAAAAAATATTAAATCTTATCGTGTCAATCTTCAAAGGAATTGAGTCTGTGTCACAACTCAAGTTTATTAATCCCAATATATTTAAAACTTGATGGTGTAAACCTTTGATATTTCAAACTTAATTTATAGGATCCAGCATAATTCATAGTTTAAGATATCTAAGATGGGTAAAAAAGATATGAGGATTAAAAAATCAGAGTTTGTTGCAAAGACTCAATTCCTTTTAGTCACTATATTTTTCAAATGCACAAGTGATCGAATGAGTTTGGCAAATAAATTTACATTAATAAATTCAGAAATTATTACAAGTGTGAATACATCTGTTTCTTTAAAGTCAAACCTTATAGAAATCCAACGTATAAGAAACAGCTACGTATAGCAACAAGGCGTATTTTCCGGGAGAACATTTTTTTATTTTTAAGAAATTAAACGTTTTTGTAAAACATCGTAGCCTATCATTATCATTACCATAATTTCTAATTTTTTAACATACCCTAGACATTAAAGTAGCAAATAGTTTAATACGTACATTTGTACTGCTCTCTATTGTGTCTAATTGGTCCCCCAGATTATATTATGTACTGACAACATAAATGAATGATTATATGGTTATACATAAAATTGCGTGTTACTATTAAAAAGATATTTTATAAAAATGCTATCAAAAGTTTTATTTTTAGAAAAAAAAATTCTTAAAAGTATAAAAAAAAGTTCTCCAGTAATGCTAATATGATTTCATAAAATTCCGTTTTACCATTTAAATATAAGGATTTTATGAAAATTATATCTACTTTACATTGATTATTTAATTTCTCAAAAATATAAAAATGTTCTCCCGGATAATACGCCTTGTTGCTATACGTACCGGAAATTTTTATACGTTGGATTTCTATAAGGTTTGACCGCCTGTTTCTTTGACCAAACACGTACAGTAACTGTTTAGACCTGTTTACTTGGGGCAGGTAAACCCGCCCCTCCCCTTTACCCAATGATAATCCTATCCGGCCCTATGTAAATTGTCCCGGCCTGTCAGGCAAAATGGGCAGCGAAGGTTTGCACCTGTATGGGGGGGGGGGGAGACTTTTTACTTCCAACTCTTTATTTGTAGATATGTATTTTGCTAACTTAGAATTTAGATAGTAATATTTATTTTAGTAAAGTGCACATCCATTCCCACTCCTCATTGAATAGAAATTACTCAAATAGTTGAATTTATTGTTTTTGCCCAGCATGATATAATAAAGGAAAATGAAAGAATTTGAACTTGATAAATTTGATAATCTAGTTGTTTTTAAACAGGTGAGGTAGCACAAATTTCGTATCAACCCTCTAATTACTCTGTAATCTATATAAAAACCAGTAACCATTTCAGTACAAATTCCGGATGAGGGAGGTCAACAGATACGAATGAAAAAGTTTCAACAAGAAATACCCCAGAGACTTGAAAATGCTTGGACTAGATGCAAAAAAGTGAGTAAATGTTTTTAAATAACAGAAAGGTCTTACTTGATGTATTTTTTAGATATACAATAGGTCAAGTACCATGGTATACCAGTCTCTTTCCATTTATTGATATTGCATTATTTTTTTTTATTAAAAAAATTAAAAACACTCAGAACAGATAAAATACAAGCTTTAAAATGTCAAAGTTATTTTTGTTCATTAAAAGAAGTTATCTTTATGCATTAGAAGGTTTGGGGAAAGATTACTGACACCCTAACGTAAAATACACAGTAAAAGGTTTTTTTGTAGTAATCAATTACAAACAGTAATAAACCAGTAAACAGTAAGTTTTAAAATAAACTTGGCTTTTTATTATGACTCTATCTGTAAGTACTTCTATTTGTACAATATAAAACAGAACAAACAAAAAAGCTCAAGGATTTGAAAATATTTGTTCGTGGAAATTCAAATTTTTTAAACTCTGAGAATTGATAAAACTCCCTTGGGACCTTATGAAGTCCCCAAAAATGGCTCAGTAACATCTCGCCATATAACATTTCGCCATATAGCAATTCGCCTAAGTAACATTTCGCCATATAACAACTTCCCTAAGTAACATTTCGCCATATAACAACTTGCCATGTAACATTTCGAGATAAAACAACAACTCGCCATATAAAAATAATAAATTTTATTTAGTAGTTTAGTAGTAAATATATGTAATTATATAAAATTATGAAACATTGTTAAGCTCATTTAAATTAGGATTTAAATTTAGTGTATAAGAAGTTGTTTATGTCAACCAAAGATGGTATCCGCCGCGGAGTTGTAGATGCGTGCAGTACTCCAGACATTGTTGGAATTACTGTATTTGCGGGTTTTTGATTTGTGGATAATTTCATTTACACCACAATTGAATTTAAAAATTTATATATAGGCAAGTTGTTGTTATATGGCGAAATGTTACTTAGGCGAGTTGTTTCTTCGGCAGGTTGTTATATGGCGAGTTGTTACATGGCGAAATGTTATATGGCGCAGATGTTACTGAGCCCAATAAATGTGGGCTTGATCGGTTCAGAAGTTTCGACGTTTATCGGTTACAAACAAACAGATAAGCAAATTATATATAGAAGCATATGAAAGACCTTTTAATTATCAATGTAACCAATTTTAGGTTACTGGAACCTTAGTTACACTGAAGAGACTGGCAAGTGTCCAGGTAGCATTTTCATTATTATTTTTATTTCATCTTTTGTTTATTTGTATTATTAAATGTAGGTATCTTACAGTGATCTAAAGGTTGCAAGCTATCACGCAACAGTTGATGAACATTTTTCCCTTTTACTTCTCAAATATAAAAGCTAATAAGAGTGCTTTCTTGTTCTTACGTGTATATGTCTAGGGCAACACAAAAGTGGAAATGAATCAATGATGTAAAATCAAAGGCAACAATTTATAGCAGCCTGGATCTATGTAATCTAGATAGATATAGATAAAAAAAATATATAGATTGGCAATGTATGCAGTATACACAAGGAATTGAACTTTCCATCGATTTTATCCAATAGGTTATTACGGTTTAATCTGTGCATGCAGTACGTGGGGTTATTATTCATTCCCATCCCTGCCCCCTAATTTCAGAACCTTTAAAAAAAGAAAAATACATGCGTTACCCACAAAGAATTGAGACGACTGTACAGAATTTATACCGTCAGTGATGTTTATGATTCCCTACAATTGTAACCATGTTTCTTTCTTTGACAAATCAATAAATATGCCAATTAAAGACTATTCAGACCAAAAGAGTTAATTTAAAGGGATTGTTCGCGAAAAATGAAAGGGGGTATAGGCATACGGCGAAAAATAAGCGCTTTTGATCGCTATTAATCTTACTTCTATCTGTTGCGTCTATAAGGAGAAAATTGTTTAAAACAACTTATGCTGAATAACGTAACATCCAACCAAATTGAGAAAGTTGCAATCCACGACTTGGATCGTAAAAAAATCTAATTTTAAACAAATCATTTAGATATAGCAACCTATAGTCATCGAATAATTTTCGCCATATTTGAATAAAGTTAATTTTTCATACTTTTTTTACTTCTTTTATAGACAATGCACTTAAAAGAACAATTTTTTCCGCTAGGTGTCTCTACCACGTGGAAACATTAAGAGCATCGAGAGCAGAGACACCTGGCGGACAAACTAATCGGCGTTTAAATGCATTGTATATAAAATAAATACAAAATATTATTTATAAAAATTGATGACTAATATCTAAATGATTTGTTTGATATTAAATTGATTTTTACGATCCAAGTCGTGGATTGCAATTTTCTCAATTTGGGTGGATGCAACGTTATACAGGAAAAGTCGTTTTTAACAATTGTCTCCTTATAGACGGAACAGATATAAGTAAGATTAGTAGCGATCAAAAGCGCTTATTTTTCGGCGTGTGCCGCGTAAACATCAGTATGGCGGCTACAACGTATGCAATAGTTTCTATCGATTTGTTATAGCTATATCCAAAATCTATAATATTTTCGTACAATCTAAATCTAATCAAACTTACATTGTTATTTTTAACTATTTTATAATATCATCTATAATAACACATTTAATATTTTTTATTTTTTATTTTAGTATTACATGATATTACTATTTTTCCCTGTTAGTTTTGACTTGTACAATTTTGAATAGGAGCAGAGGGTGCATCCTGGTGCTCCTCTTGATGTGTCACTGTCTCCGACTCCATCAGAAATAGCTCGACTTCCAACAGGTTTCTATATAAACAGTACAAAGAAAGATTTCACTTATAGTTTTACTTTCTTTAAAATGTAGTCAATATCAGCTTGCCAATATCAATGACATGTTGCAAACAAAAATTTATAAAGATAAACAAAGGATAAATTAAGTAGCTAAGATGTTAATACATAAAATGGTCACGTCATTCAGTTGTCTAACTTTAGATAATTATTATCAAGGTTCGGATATGAGCAAGGAGAGTTCTCTCGATGATTTACTTGATGCCTTGCAAAATTTCTCCGAGGGGAGTAACTCCGAATCCCTGGCATCAGATGCTCCTGATCAGGTGGAAAACTTAAATTTATCATGAATCTCGAAATTGATATTTTCTAAATTCATTAGATCGACGAAACTGAAAAATCATCTAAAGATTTATCAAATTTAACAGACTTCAGCGATTAACATATTTTTAACTTTTGTAATACAAGGGACAGCATAATTATTTTCTACTGTTTAGGCCAAATATAGGATCTAAACGATTTGTAAATATGTCAAAAAGTTAATGCCTTTATCGATTTTTTCTTTCTAGGACAAGAGTTGTAGCAGTTCAAGTTCGATAGCAGAAAACCCTGTTCACGCCCGAACAGTCAAGGCAAAGGTGGGAAAAGCCTCTCAGGTATTAAAGACAAACCAGGATGTGAAGGCTAGCCGTGTGCTAAAGACTAACCAGGAAGAGGTTGATTCTCAAGACACAGTAAAGGCTCTGGAACCCACAAGCGCTAAGTCACCAACAGTCTCTCTCCCAGTAATTGATTATAATGACGTAAGTAAAACGTTTCAACGAGTAATCTAATTAGACATAATAAAACATGTTACATTTTAACAAAAAACAAAGTTAGAATTAGTTGCATTATCTCAACTTCTTTAAAAATTTCAATATTTTAGAGCTCCAGTCCTCATAAACAGAAAAATACTCAAAACCATGCTCAACTTTTACAAAATATTGATTATTCAATGCAAGAGGAGTGTTCACTCACACCCCCTTGCCCTCCGAGGACAAATACGAAGGTAAGATTTATACAGTAAACGATTTCATTCTAATAAGGAAAAATAGATAAATGTGTTTATTATTATTAAAGTTTATCTTGTGGCACAATAGATACAAGATCCAGCTATTACGAGATGTGGATATTATTAATGAACATGGAAGAACAATAAGAAATAAAATGTTTTCTTTTTTTACTGTCTTCTGTAATAGAATTAATATTTGTTGTAAAATTAATTGAGAATCATATTCAAATAGATTATTGCAATATAATTTTTTAGAAAATGTAACAAATCAGCTTGTTAGTAGCGTTTTAAATGCAAAACATCTAGAAATAGGTATCTGTTTCTAATTTTTGTAATAGGGAGCTCCACCCCCACCCCCACCAAGAACCAGCTCTGCAAAGCCTGAAGATCCTCGGATTAAAGTTTGTGTCGGATCTGAAGATACCAGGAGTAAAAGTAGTGGACATGAAAACAACAAGGAAACAACAATGATACTACTACATCACGATGTCATAAAATACAAATCATTTCGTCTTGACGTAACATATATTTTTAAATACATTTGCCTGTTCGCACGTGAAAATATTATTATGATAGATAATATTCATAATGTTTTTTGTTTATCGTCCGGTTGCTTCTAGTAATTCCGCATTGTTATTTTTCAAACCTGTCATTTGATTTTTTATAATTGTTGGTTGCAGATATCCTCTTATATCAATACTAAGCTAGTTGTGGATCACACCGCAGCCTCGGCCCTGAACAGGTAAATCAGAAAAAAAGATTAATATAGATGACTGTCAGGGGCGCAGTCAGCAATTTGTCCAGGGGCAGGGGGCTTAATTTTGTTCTCCAGGGGGAACTCAGCACCCGTTACGGCCTTAAAACCCCCTGAAATTCATAGATTTCACTGGTCCAGGGGGGATTGGCCCCAATATCCCCCCCCCCTCTGACTACGCCTCATATGACAGTGAATAATCTTGAATGTTTAAGAACTGTTGCTACTGAACAGGAAAGAGAGGAGAGAAAATCAATGAATGATAGATTTATAGAAAGGGTAAATTTTCATTATTTTGTTTTGATCAATTTTCATCATTTCATTCTTGTGGAGAATTTTATAATATTTTACGCTTTTACATTTTACCATTAATAATATATAATATAATAATTAAAAGGAAATTCTCAAAAATGTGAATCATCGTTTTCCTTCTTATTATTACATTTATTATAATAAATTTCTATTGTTAGTGATTAATCTTACAAAATTGATACAAAAAAGCTTTGATTCCGCCATTTTTCTTTGCGTTTAGAAGTATCTGAGAAAACTGAATTTAGATAAAAAGCATACATGTTTTGTTTGTTCCGTAAGTATGTCATTTATGAAATATTCAATATTTGATAAAGTTTCATGTTAAGGTGGCATCAACTGTTCATTCACTTTCCAGGAGCGAATCTTCAAGCAGCGAAAGTGTAAATTCCCAGGCAATCTTAAAAATTCACTATTTTAAAATTATAAAAGTTTGATATAAAGAGGAAATAAAAATAATTGCACATTTCGAAATTAAATGCTTTCATTATGGCAGGAAGGCAGTCTGCAATTAAGAAGAAATAATAGTTTGACCGGCTGGACAGGTTATATTTACTTCTCTTCAGTTTAAAATTAAATTTATAAAATATTTTTTTATCAGATGGAAACTGCAGTAAAATAACTATAAGCGAATAAAAGGCAAAGGTTTATAAACAGGGTGTCCCTAACAAACGCTCTTTTAGATATTTTGGCAATCACCATGGTTAATTTTTTTTTTAATTTTGGACATTTTTAAAATCTTTAAAATATTTCCGATCGATTTATTTCAATTAAATGCATGTAACACAAAAATTTAAGAATTTAATGCAGTTGTAAGTTTCTCATTTTGGCAAGATTGAAAATTTTTATTGTCAATGTGATAAGTAAAAGAAATAATTTATCAGTGTATTCACATTTTATTTTAATAGATTATAATAAGTCTATAAATGAGTCTGCTGAATCAGAACACAACATACAATTAAAAATGAGCAAGTTGTCCCAATAAATACTGGTTTCGACAAATATTTATTCGTTTTAAAATTATCAGAATCAGGGACAGTCAACAGAAGGGTAAAGAAAAAAAAGAAGTAGAGAAACGATGCATGTTCAGAAGAAGAATCAAATCAGAATTTTTCTGTATCAACTGTATCAAAATTATAAGATTAAAAACTCAAAGTAATAAATTGTTAATAGAAAAAAAGGCTATAAGGGTTTAACATTACACACAAATTATTAAGAATATTCATATAATTATAATTATTCTGATTAATGACTGAAAGCAGGCTGTCTTGAAAAGTGAAATTTGCACCCAAACTAAAGATTAAAAGACCAGACATAAATTTTTTCTGGAGCTTGTTTTTGTTGTACTCAAAAGCAGAGACATATCTTTCTTCATTGTAAACTAAAGTCATGTAATTCTTCAAGAATAACTGCGCAATTTTTAGATTTGTTTAAACGATTTGCATTTTTTGAGACCCAATAAAATTCCATAAAACTCAACCAAGCCAAAATGTAAAATTTTTGTGTTACATACCTCTAATAATATGCAATGTCTTAAAGAGCGGTTTTTTATGAGATACCCTTTACATATTTACTAATCGTGATATCAAAGGTTCTGGACCCCCTCCTGTTCCTAATAAACCAGATGCAATAAAAAACTTGAATAGCAAAAAACGCCAGGATGAGTTGGAACAACGGCACCAAGAGCTGCTTCATAGACAAAAACAGCTGCAGGTTCAGTTATAAGCAAATAAATAGCCAAGCAAATATTGCACATTTCAGAATATATTAGCTTTAAAACATACAAATCCTTTAAATGTAGGGTTGGTCAAGTACATTGTGCAATGTACATATCAAAATTCAATTTTTTTTAGATTTACGAAACTTCAATGATTTTCTTACGGGAAAAATAAATCAAAGTTTTTATTTAGGAACAGTTTCAGCGGCTGCAGTCTATGCAAAAGGTGTCGGTAACTGGCAGTATACGAGAAAATCTAAATAATATAGAGAAAAACTCTGATTCTGTCGGTGAGTCTGCACTTAACAGTTTGGAGAAAAATTCTATAACACAAGGTAAACATGTATCATTGTGACGGAGGTATTTTTTTAGGATTTAAACCCCGTATAAGGGACAGAAACTTTGCTTACGTTATTTGATGATGCACAATTTTCTGGCTAACGTTTTGAAGAAAAAAATGTTATATTTGAATTTCGCTTTATTTAAAATTGATTTTGATATCAAGAAAAATATTATTAAAATAATAAGGCGTGATTACGAACAGACAAAATATGGAACATGAATTTTTTAAGATAAGTAAACTGAAAATTTTGCCCTAATTATTGAAAACTTCAGTTTAAGAGGCAAAAAGGTCATGTCGTTTTTTGGAGAATATTGTCTTTGAAATGGCGTTCGACATTTTTATTGTTATATCAGTCCCTAATATCTGACATGTCTGTCCTTAATTTGTTTATTGAAAAATACTCTAATACAAGCAATGAAAAATAAATAAGCAAAAAAATGATCACCAATCATATATTTTAGATTACATGTGCAAAAACACTGTTAACACAATATCAACTGCCAAGAAACACATTTGACGGAATGTACAGTAGGGCACTTAAAAAATGGTATGACTTATGAGCCCAAATTTTGATCATTTAAGTATAATAGAAAGCGTCATAAACCACTGCATTTAACCCTTAAGATGGAGAAAAACGTAAGACTTGATGTTTGATATGTTTTACCGAAAATGTTGTATATGTAAGAACGGCTTAAGCAGGAATTTAAGAATTAAGGATAGACAAATTTTTAGTTATCACGTGGGACAGGCATTTTTAACATGACTTTTTTTGGAAGAATTTTTCCCATATGTTTATAAATTCAAATATGAAGCGGAAACTATTTCGATATAGTTCTCCAAGCTCAATCTTTTTTTCATCAAGCCATTGTAACAAACAAAACAAATGGCATTATCTTTAGTAGGGACAGGCATAAAAAGCTATTACAATTTGGTCTTTCAAGGCTTGTTGAACAATTTTAGGATACAAATATTTTTTTACATTTTTTGGGATTCTAAAATCTTTCCGAAAATGATCTAAAACATTGTGCGATGAAGTTTATTTTTTCCTCTAATGAAACATTATCGTGATTTTGAACAAAGTTATTTATTTAAAGTTTCGCTTCTTATTCATTTCAATATAACTGAAACAAAACAAAATGAAGATTTTAGTTTTGAAGTTTTTTAAAACACACTGCATTATTTATATTCCATTTTTATTCTATGTTGCACCTTGCATTTATAATTGTATGCACATAAAAGTTGGGATTCTTGGAGCTCATACTGAAAGTCCTCAAAATATGTTTTCTATAAACCTTTTTAAAATTAAGATGTTCTATGTTTGAAATTTTCTTATTAAACAAAATATATTTTTCAGGAGAGAGTTATGGTAAATCTGAAGGAAATAGGATCGGTAGTTCCTCTACTTTACCTTCTGCTGCTCAAAGAGCTCATGCAAAGAAAATATACGAAACAGATATTATATGATGTTGATATTTTTTGTTGGGGAAATAATCTATATAAAGATCAATCAAAAGTATGTAGTCTAGTATGAAATCATATAAGTTTGTGATGATTTGTGTCAAATTTAAAGTTAGGTCTAAGAATTATTTTTTGTTAACTATTCGATACACAGTTGTTTGGATTTATTGGGAGAGTTTTTTTACCCAATTATTTGTACATTTTCCAATTTTTATATTTTATACGTCGACATTATTTTAACATTTTACGAATTGTTGGTGCATTTCTTGTTTAAATTAATCACTTAAACCATTCAAACTTAAGCTTATACATTGTTCTGTATAGTATTTATATGTAATAGTAATCTCTCTGGATGTTTGTTTGTCAAATTTCCTTGACCGGTTTGCCTATATTTTGTCAGAGCCATTGAAAATTGCTTTATTTTTCTTTGCATAGCAAATTTTTTCTTTTTCAAATAAGTATTTAATGACATTTCTTGTTTTAATCTTTTAATTTTACGCTAGTCAAATAAAGGGTCTTTATGGTTTTGGAGGTAATCGTAAAGCAAGATTATCAATGTGTATGGTGATGTTCTGAAATGTTTTACTGAGACCGAAAAGATAATCAAGTTTTTCAAATCAAATCTTGCCTGAATTTGCTGAGTAATTTCATTGAATATACATTGGATAATTACATGGATATTACAAAATTGCAGGACAGGAGTAGGACACCACAGAAACTGATAAAGGTGAAATTCCATGCGTTTAAAATCTGTTATATTTTTTATGAGAATTTACCTGTTGCTGATGCAAAGACTAATGCCAGGATAACTTAGTGAATTCAAGCAAGATTAAAAAAAATTATTTTTAGGCCCTAAATGAAATATTTTATACTCAATGAGAATCGTTAACATATCATTCCATAACAACATCGATACCATATACATCAACTCCAAAAGCCCCAAAGACCCAATATTTGACTAATGCTTAAAGGCAGTGTTCGTGAAAAATGAAAGGGGGTATAGGCTTAATGCAATAAAAAAGCGCTTTTGATCGCTACTAATCTTACTTCTATCTGTTGCTTATATAAGGAGAAAATTGTTAAAAACGACTGATACCGAAGAACGTAGTGTCCAATACAAATTCAGAAAGATGCAACATTCAACTCTGATCGTAAACAAATCAATTTAATTCAAAACAAATCATTCAGATATTACAAACAATAGTCCTCGATTATTTTTCGACGCATTCGTAAATAGTTGATATTTCATAATACTTTGTATTTTTCATGATCTGAGAGTTACATTTTCATATTTTCCAGGAATGTTCGAAAATCCAGCGCCATCGAAAATTATTTTAAAAAGACAAAATCAAAAATATTATGAAATATTAACTATATACGAATGCGTCGAAAAATAATCGATGACTGCTGTTTGCAATATCTGTATGATTTGTTTGGAATTAAATTGATTTGTTTACGATCCGAGTTCAATTTTGCATCTTTCTGAATTTGTGTGGATACTACGTTCTTCGGTATTAGTCGTTTTTAAATATCTTCTCCTTATAGACGCAAGATTAGAAGTGATCAAAAGCGCTTTTTTTATCGCATTAAGTATATACCCCCTTTCATTTTTCGCGAACACTCCCTTTAAAGGTTAAAAGAATGCGGCATGAGGGCTTATTTTCTTTGATAATGGCATTCATCATGTGTACAATGCAATTTAATTGGATTTGAATTAAGCCTTAATTATGAAAACCAGTTCTGAAACTAATATGAATCAATAAATAAGTTGTTATCATTGCAAAAGTACATTCTATACTGATTAATATTGTACTATACCTACCTTCTGCAATATTCTACGATAGAATAAATACATCCTTGAATGTATTATAAAACGAGATTTAAATATCTTTAGAGATCTTATCTTCAGATATAATGTAAAACATATTGATAACACAGATGTTAAACTTCGTAACTGAATTGGAGCAGAACCGGTGATTATCTTAATTTTTAGGTTTATGATTTTGTTCTACAGCTGTGATATTATTTTATTATTATTAATAGACAGTTTATTAATAATAGCTTATGCAGTTTTTGTTAAATTTATGAAATAAATGGATTATAAGCCTTTCAAATCTATAATTGATGAGTAATCATATAATTATTGCCTCATACTGCAGTAACAGCATTTATACTGTTTATAGTAAATTGATTTTAACTTTATAATAAACATAGATTCAGCACCTACCATCAATACACCTTTTTCTTATCTTCAGCAACTCATTACCAGGTTAGGGTTGGTTAGATTTCAGATGTAATTTACCGATGAAAAAAAGAACGACGTAAAAATTTGAAATAGATTATTAATAATGTATATATATATTTTCAAAGTGGAAGGGAGTGACCGGCAGTGTATCATCATGTATCACCATGTATCATCATCAACAGAATATGTAGTATTGTGGACAATTTTTTAGGATTCGTTTGAGATATATAAAAGTATTCTAAGACGTATATTTACTGAGTTTGATCGCAAAGTCGACTTTCAAAATCATCTTTTTGGGTGGATACATTTTGAGAATCGTTTTTTTAAATTATTAAATAACGAAGACCTGAAAAAGTTAAAAATATTCTACAGTAAACTAATTAGTTGTTGAGAAAATAAAAATTGATTCTTATCATCAAAATAAATATAATATTTTCATTTTTAAAGTTATTTTGGTCAAAACAAGTTTTAAAATTTCTGCGTGTATTTTTCGCAGGATTTTGAAAAAGTTTAATGTTTTGCGGCACGATTTTTAAGTATACTCAGTCACAAATAGTTTGGATTGAGTGAAGAAAATTGTCGTCTTCATACATGTAGATTTTCAATTGAGGATTCACATGAAACAAACTTTTAAGACATGAGGGTAAATAGAAAAGTGTTGATCCCATTTTTGTCTCAACCTGTTCCTTAACTGTATAATTTTTAAACATTTTTTGTCGTGTTATTCAATAAATATAAAAAAAACTACTTTCAAAATGTATCAACCCAAAAAGATAATTTTGAAAGTCGACTTTGCGATCAAACTCAGAGAATATACAGGGTGTCCCACATCATATTAGACCGTCAACGGGTCTAAATTGCGATTTTCGGGACTAATAAGAAAATTTAATTCGAATAAATCAATTTGAAAAATAACATAAGGCTTATATAAGAATTTTCTTGCGGAAAATGATAAGTTCTTCGAGTATTAAGGGTTTATTTTGTCGTTAAAGATTAGAGATAATCTAATATGATATGGGACGCTCTGTACGTCATAGAATATTTTTATTTGTCTCAAATTAATCCTGAACAATTTGTACAATACTACATATTCAGTTCAACCACCATACACTACCGGTCACTCCCCTTTAGTTTAAAGGAAGATAAGAATTATCAAAACGGTCAAACACTACATTACATTTTCGACCCTGTGAATGTAAATAAAAGTAAAAGAAGAACAAAACTTGCAAATATGAAATTTGCACAAAGAAGAGTTGGTGCACCTTCTGTAAAAACGTTGAATATCCTGATACGCCCCAGTAGCTAGAACCTTAGTAGGATTAAATTTAAAACTGAGCGAAACAGGTATATTTTCAACCAATGAGAAACATTTTTCGTCAAGCTTTTAAAAACCTTTAGAGCGCATTAAGGATAATTCCAGCCTTCAGTTTCGATTCATCAGCGCTCATAGGATCAAGTGCATGTTAATGTTTATTTCCTAAGAAATTATAAAATGATCAAACTCATTTTTATAACAAGTAATGACAATTTTAATCCATACTACGGGAATTCCTATAGTATTTTCATAATTTAAAATAAGATAATGGCAAAAATAAATCCCACAGTTTACATGTAGAACGGAAAATGTATTTTTAACCTCTTTGTATGCTCTTAATTGAAGAAAAAGTTGTACGAATATTTATTATTCAAAAAACTTTAACAAAGCCACAAAAATTTTAACAAATTATTACCAATGAAAAAACAGATTCTAAAATTCAATTGGTGGTAGGTCAATGACTTTTGACCGATATCAGCTTAAATTAAAAGTGCAAATATTAAAAAAATAGATTCTACACTCGCCTTCTCATATTTGCGTTAGAAAGTTGAACATTTAGGTTTTAACTTTAAAAGTCCAAAATATTAGAAAACACTTTTGAAATGGAGAAGCTAATTTGTTGTTGTAAGCTAGGTTAAAAGATATGATTTTTTAATCTCCAAACAATATGTTCAAAGATCGTATATTCAGTTGCATGATGCATAACATTTTCAAAAGCACGACTCTAAAGGCATAGCCATTTAAAAGATTAGTCAAACCCATAATTTATAACTTTCGTTGTTACCCTAAAACGTGACCGCATTGCATTATTTAGCATGATAATATGAAAATTTAATTTGACTTTAAACAATGAGCAAAGGTGCAAAATTTACAATTGTGCACTTCTGTTGATGCAACTTGAAAGGAATGGATATTACATAGTGATAGTGGAGGGAGTGGAATTAAATAATATGGGGAGTAGGAAGGTGTGCGGGGGGATCATTGAAGAGGTTGTGAAACACTAATGTTATTGAAGATCAACTAGGGAAAGTATTATTAGATGTAATTATATAAGATATAAATACAAAATATACACTTACAAAACATCTAATTGCATATGATTTAAGTAACATAAGATATAAGGTACAAAGTACAAAAGATATAATTACACAATCTATAGATAGGGAAATGTTACAAAATATTTAAGATTTTCTCTAGCTCATATTCCTTTTGTATTTAAACACAAAAATAGTTCAGCTGAACCAGAAAATAGTTCAATTGTGGTTCAGTTGAACTATTTTTACGTTCATTTACAATCCTAGCCGCATTGCTTGGCCCCCTAGCATGTTCTAGACGCAGCGCTCGGCACAGAAACTGTCTTAACCGCACCTAACTCTGAAATAGTACAATTTAGTGTACACATAAAAATAGTTCAACTGAACCAAAAAATAGTTCAAATGTATGCATGTATTATTTCAGGGTTAGGTAAGGTTAAATACTTTTTGAGCCGAGCGCTGCGGCTAGGACAGACTAGGAGACCGAGCGCTGTGGCTAGAAGTTCAAATGAACCAAAAAATAGTCTAAACGAAATGTTCAAATGAACAAACTGCTTGTAATTTTCTCCTGTTAATTTTGTAATTATATGTTTTGTAAATATGTCTTTTGTAATTATAACTTATGTTACTTATATTTTTTGTAACGTATATTTTTTGTAATCATATGATTTTTAATTATATGTTTTGTTATTATATATTTTGTAATTATAGCTTATGCTACTGAGACACTTTGACAACTGAGTTCTAGTCTCAACTCTGATTTTCTCTGTCCCCATAACTTTCAAACCCGATGTCGAAAACCTATGATATTTCAAACTATGAAATCTGAAAGTTTAAAGATTTATCAGTTTGAAATATAAAGCTTCATGTTGCACAAATAAAGGGATAAACTAAATTTAGTTTGTGGCAAAAACGTAATGCCCTTGAGAGAGATTAGCACTTCATCACTTAACTTTAGTTATCCAGCCTGCACTCTGCCTTCGGTTCATTTAAAAAATAGATTTATTTAGCCTATGTTATCCCCAGGATACCCATGGGTTCCCTCAAAAAATGTCAGCCCATTTGGTCCAGCCGTTTGGCCAACTATAGCTAACAGATAAACATATAAGCATAAGATTGCTGAAAGGCATTAACCATCATGTAAGTGAGATTCTGATTCCTGAAAAATATATTCAAATCTTTTGATTTGAAGCTGATACTTCAAGTATAAATGTATAACCAATTTTAATAAACAATAGAAAAAGCTCTAGATTTTTTATATATCTAATATATATCAGTATATATATGAGCGAAGAGCTTTTTATATAAACACAGACTTTGGACTCGACAAAAAAAATGACTTATCTCCTTCGTTAAGGACATAGATTCAGATTGATATGAAAAGTTTCATACATTTTTTAAATTTGGTCGACTTTGAAGTGTCGCAACACCTTAGCCTTTAGTTTTACCTCACTGACTCACTTTTGATATTTTGGAGCACTAACAATGTACATTTGAAACTACGAAACACTTTTTTAGCATTAGTTTTCAAAAAGTTTTTGGTGCGAGATTCTCATTGATCAGTGTGAAAGAGAGTATAAAAGTGTACGGGTTTCCACTGGATATCAAAGAGGAGTTCAATAAACCGTCTTCACAATATGGAGATCGACGGCCATGCATTATAACGCAAAATTCTGACCTCATTACATGTTTGATAATGATGTTATGTAATGCTGAAAAGCAACATTTTATCCACTTCCATGTTGTAATGAGACAATAGTAGATTATAAAATTTTTTAATAGAAAAACAAATGTTGGGAAGGGAAGTAAATTTATATTTAAAATTGCGTAAGAAATAAAAAAGGTGAAGACCCAGATATAGATAGGTTTTCTTTTATTGCAATTGAAAAAATTGGAGAGTTTTTTTCAAATTTTAAAATGTTTCAGGAAATATGTATACCAGGCTTTGTATTCTTTTCTTGTTTTTTTGTCCTCTCACTGTAGGGGAGGATGAAATTACAGATCCTTCAGAAAAATTAACAGATCCTGAAGAAACCACAAAACCTCTGGAGATCGATGCTTCAAGATTCTTTACTGATACACTCATTACAGGACAGGTAAACAATATCCAATGTAAAACCCTAAAAATCTGTAAAACCCTTTAATATATGCATGTTGTCTCAAAAAAAAAACGCTCTTTAAGGTACCGCGGCATTTATCATTTTTGTTGAGATTTAAAAAAAACTCCGTAGCATCACCGAGCAAAGAACATCAAAAAGTGGTCTGTGGCACGAAAAAATGCAATAGATACCAGATATACAAAAAGATCAAAAAAAATTATGCAAATTCATTTCATGGGTCCTTTAAACTTGAATCATATTTTATTCTCCCATTGTTTACAATCTTTTCCACATGGCCACATGCAAAGCAAGGTAATATAAGGCAAGGAAAGGTTATTGCTGTTGCGTATTCTATGCGTACATACTTAAACCAGTTCTCTTTGGGTAGTATTTGTAAACAAGAATAGTTGCATCAGTGTTCCTTTAGTTTCAGAGGAGGATAAAAGCATTTATAGTTTTGACAATTTTGGTAATTCACATTATAGTTTCCTATGACCAGAATATTTCATTGATTTGTTATGCGAAAAATGGATCCCATGCCAGGCTGTGACATCGACGTCTTGCGTTTATTTTACAGCCCAGGGACAGTACACTGCAGTAAAAAAATGTATACACCTCTGAAATAACTATCTTTACAATACAATTATGTGTTCACATGAACTTTTGCAACTTTTAATTCACTTAATTCCTTAGGCTTTTCTGTATGATCCTTGTAAGAAAGATCTTTTTAAAGAATTTTCTTCTTTCGAAATCAAACTGAAACACATAACATGGACGGAAAACAAAATTAACAAAGGATTTGAGTCTTAGCAACAAACTCAAATTTTCCAATCCCAATATCTATCGAACCAGATGGTGTACACCTTAAATATTTCAAACTTAGATTGTAAGATCTAGCAGAATGAATAGTTTTAAATATTAAAGGTCAACAACATTTGGTTGCAAAGATATAGAAGTTAGAAAATCAGAGTTTGTGGCAAAGACTCAATTCCTTTATAACTAAACCAAGCACAAGTAGCGTATTTCAAACTGTCATAATTTCTTCAATTTGTGTGAAACAGACCTCTAATTGCTGTCCATCGATCTAAAATTGAACCATGATGAGTGCATGTGTTATCTTAAATCAGATTTTTGCATGTTTTACAGCATATATAATATTAAAGATATGTTTAACAAAAAAATAATAAAAGATACTGCAGGTGATATAAAATTAACTTTTTCAAGGTAAGCATTTTGTAAAATATTAAGTAGACTGCTACCTTGCAAGTTTTATCTTTGGAAATAATTGCCTTGCAAAAAGTTTTTAGAAAATTTGTCGCTAGGTAAAGTTACACTGCACCCATTGTCCCCTAATAAATTATCAAATGGCAATGGCCAACTGGAAAAAATGCCACATCGCAAATTTTCACCTGTCACCTTCGAAAATTTTCAAATGGAAAATCGTCACATGGCAAATTGTAACCTGACAAATTATCGCCTGTATAATTGTTTTATGGCAAAATATTTCCTGGAAAATTGAGGGTTTCCAGCGAAAAGGGTAAATCGTTTCGCGACAATTTCGCATTTTTCGCGAAAAAAAAATTCGCCGAAAATTGCACTGTTTAGCGAAAAAAATGCGAAATTTTCACGAAAAGAGAAATACGAAGATTTCGTGAAACTTTTGCGAAAAAACAAATGCAAATATTGGGGGGGGGGGAACTGCGAATACTTTGCGAAAAAAAGTCTGAAAGAGAAATTGTTGATTATGATATAATAAAACTTCTAACGCTGAGTTCTCAGAGCAGAGAATTCCACAAGTTTTTTTGCGCAATTAATTGTAGTATTTCTACAACAATTATGGTTTTTGTGGAATTATTTTTTTCGCAAAATCATATGTTTTGCAAAATTTCGTGAAAACAATTCTCGCGAATAGTATTTCCGCTTCATTCATTTTCGCGAAAACCCTACGCACAATGCAACTATCTTCCTTCGCGTAAAGTACCTCACAACATGTTTATATATAAATACGTTTTTGTAAAGGATTCTGTTGTGAAATGTAAAGCTAGGGTGCATGAGAGCAGAGAAGCAGCACGAACTCGAGGATTAGATCATGGTGTAAATCCAAGTGTAGGATTAGGTAAGTTAAGCCTCAGCTTGTATTGTGTTCGAAGCAAATTTATTATGTTTGAAGTTTTGAAAATCATTTATGTTGGTTAATACGGAATAATCATTTTGTTTTTGCATCTTCTAGACTGTTTGTTTGCTTTATTAGATCGTGAATTTTAAGCCAATAGTTTCAAAGTCCAAAAAAGTTTGTTTGCTGTGATCATAATGCAAGGTTTTACGGAAATCCAAAGTTTAATGACAGAAATGTGGGTTTAGAGACAACCTGTATTGCCACGTTTTTGGCATTTATATACAGTGAAACCCTTAATAACGAATACATCGGAAGATTTTATCAAATGTCGTCTTGACAATTTTTCAATGGGTTTTATACTATATTACGTAAATTTCAGTATTTGCGAAAATAAAAAAATAGCCATGAATATGCGGGAACAGTTTTAAAGAGCTCCATATAATCATTTAATTAAAAAACTAAATATCTGCAACATTCCAATTTTCAAAAGTGAAGAATACGACATTTGATGAATTCTTTCGATGTATTCGTTATGAAGGGTTTCACTGTATGTCGCATTATTTAGGAGCAGCATTGGTAATTTTTCTTCTTGTGGGAGTTTTTGCTGCGATTATTGCCCAAGGGTTTCAAAAGGTAAGTCCATGATCCATAAAAGACAAAGCGAATTTAGGAATTGGCATTGGTTTCTTGGGCTCAATTTGAATAATAACCCTACTTCCCTGCTTCCTACTGTCCTGTTAAGGCGGCATCACTTTTAAATTCATGCTTTTTCGTTTCATTCTACACAATTCGTATGAACACAGAAAAGTTTATATTCTGTCAAACTTTTAAAAACTTGTCAAGAAGAAATTTCGATTTTTATAAGAGAAGAAAAGCTGGCAAAAATTTATTTAAAAATCATCATTTATTTTCTTACCCAAAAATAGTATAATGAATTCGGACACAGATATAATTCAAACGAGTCACGTATGTGAAACAGAATATCACGTCTTAGTTAGTAAATACAAAACAAAAAACATCATTTATTATCACTAAAGTTAAGAACACGCCTGTTTAGCCGCAGGGCTCGGCCGAAATGTCGTTTTGGAAGTTGCCCTTGGGGAAAGTCCTTTGGGAAAGATACCTAACACAAAAAGATAAACAATATACCCAACAAACAAAAACCCGTGAAGAACACAAGATTATTTGGTTTATTTCACACGAGTGACCCGTCATTATCCCGTGATAATTNCTATTCGTGGGACTATCTGTCGAAAAGTCCGAAGACGCTTTTTATACATTAAAACTTCTGAAAAGATTGACAATTAAATGTTGATGAAAGTCACTAATTCTTTAAATAGAAATGTTTTTGTTTAACTTTGAAATGGTTCACAATTGATAAACGTTTTAACTCCGTCATCGGAGAACAAGGAAGAAAGGCGGGCTGAAATTGTTTGGTTTGGATTCTTGACTCCGAGAGGAGCATTTAAGTTGAAGACGATATTACATGAACTGTGGGGGGGGGGTCTTAATGTTAATGGTTGACAATAGTTTTTATATGTTTTTATAAACATTCTTATGTATATTATATAATATATCTACTATTTATATATATATACATATTGAAAACACGGATGAGAAGTTTACCCAGGCTAATTGTATATAATTTTCAACATGCAAGCTTGGCTTCGAAATATTGAATTATAAAAATAAAAGGGGTTATTCAAGCGTTTGGAATATTGCGTGCATTGAAATAAAAAATATGAATCTAAAGAAGCCTGACCGTTTTCTGAACTGTAACGTATTTTTTATCGAATAAATCAAGTAAAATTATGACCAAACATGAAACGATTCACAATGTCCATAAATGTTAATTATCAAACATCTCTAAAATGAAGTAAGTTCAATTGTTTTGAAGATAATATCAACACGTAAAGCCAAGGCTTAATGGCTTCTTTATAATTTATAGTTGAAAATTAAATTAAATCTCAAAATGATAAAAGTGAGGAAAGATTATTAAGGTTTCCAGTCGTAATTTCGTTACACGTAATTACGCATAATTACGCGTAACACTTTCTTTCACTTACAGAGGAGCATTACGCGCAATTACGTGCTAGTTATGTATACGAAAGAAAGTCTAGTTTCGCGTAATTAAGGTGTAATTACGCGAAATTACGATATACGAAACCATTCCGTAATTAGTAAAGTACATTAATTCTCAGAAATGAATATAGCGGGAAAATATGTGGATATGTGCGATACAACCATGTCCAATCTGGATAATTCAAATACTTTCAAATTGAATTAAAATTCGTTTATGGTGATGGACCAAACCTCTGTAAAGAAAAAAAAGTAGATGTTAGTTTCACATTTTATTGAAAATATATTTCGGTCTCGGTTGACCCTTGTCAGTTCTAACGTTATAATAACTATCAAAATCGATGTTAAAAACCATAAGAAAATAAACAAACAAAAAAGATAATTTGCAAATATTCACTTTTTAAAAAATGTTTTAAGACAATTATTATTCCTTGAGATTGTTTCTGTCGAATGAAGATTAAAAAAACTAGTTTATATAAATAGTGTTTAAAGTGGTGGTAGGGGTCGATCTAATTAACGAACTTTTACGTAAATCAGGGGGGGGGGCGGCTTGTCTAAGGAGGGGTATTTCAACCTTTTAAAGAATTGGAAATAAAAAATACTCTTTTTTTCTTTAAAATACTGAATTACAGTTTACAAATAAATGGAAACTGTTTTTTCTGTTCATTCCTGTGAGATTAGTTACAAAACCTCTGATGTATTTAGATTCTTGTACTTAAAGTAAACTTCTCACAAGGTCCCAAACCTTCTCTAGTACGCTACCTTTTAGATGGTAGAGTTCGTGTCCAGGAAGGTTAAATGTTCTCCTGTGGGCTGGTTTGTATGGAGGTTTCGCTAATTACCAAATTACTTTTGTCAAAATTACGGCGTAATTTCGCGAAATCGAAGTTTCGCTTATTACGCGTAATTTTTTCAAAATTTCGCAAAATAACGTTGTAGAAGTTACGCGAAATTATGCCGTAATTTTGCGAAATTGAAGTTTCGCCAATTACGCGAAATCCTGCGAAACTACACGAAATGAAAATCATTTCACGTAAGTGAATAATCTATTACGTTGGAAACCCTAAAGATTATACGATTGTTTGTTGGATATTTCTTTTGTTAAAATTATCATGCCTTATTATTAAAAATTTCTAAATCTATGCAGCTAGGTAATTAACATCATGCAATGTGATTAAAATTTCTTTCCCAGAGCTACTGTAGCAGGAAAATGATGTTTTGATCTTTCCTGCGACTGTAAATAGCATTTTGTTTGTCATTATTTTTACCCTTCGTTCGCAATCAACCCCATTTTGCCTCCCCCCCCCCTTTTACTGATATTTAACGGGTTTTCTTGTTTATGTTTGGTTTCTATATTTAACCCAAGCCACGCGGAGAAATCCGTTATCTCCGAACCCGGGAGCTGGTGAGCTGGCCGGCCAGCTCACAGGGCGTGGGGTAGAATGCGAACTAAGGGTGGAGCGAAATAGAGGGAAAAAAGGCAGTTGTGATTCAGCTCCCTTGAATTAAGGTTCCCTTGAAGAATTCCCCTACTTGATGAAACTGATTGATTCATAATATTTAGTTTGTATAAGTATCGTTCGATTTAAAGTTTGTATTTTTGTATCTTTTGTATATAAATATATTGTAAGAAAAACCGACTCGTTGAATATTTGAGAAACTCAGTGCATTGCTTTATTGATTTTTATTCATATACAATAATATAACTGGATTTTGCGATAAAAAATTCAATTTTTGCAAATTTGCAAATTTGTTTGCAGATTCTAAAAGTAGAGGACAAGAGATTTCCAATGATGTATCATTTGTCATATTTGGTTATCAAACATGGGATTTAGAGGGGGGGGTCAAATTGACCCCCTCCCCAGAGCATATCCTGGTTTTCAAGTACCCCAGCAGAGATAGGGCTAAAAAGTCGAATAAGCATTATGTAGCGTTTAAACAGACCCATTTTGCTATATTTGTGATTCAATAAGTGTCAGTAAGACTATTTGCGTTGTAACAACATATCAAATGCTGTATACCAATAAACTTTAATTTGCATTGCTATTATGTCGTCTTCATATTCCATCATTTTCTGGTTATCGCTGTATACTAAAACTAAGGAAAATAACTAATATAAGAACATTTTAACACAACATTAAATAAAAATACTTTTAATTAAATGAATTTCTATAAGAAAAACATGCTAAACAACAAAATAAGGTAAATTTGCAAATCTCTGTGCAAAATTTTCTTGCAAAATAGATATCATAAATAATACAGGTATTGATATTGAAAGAACAGTATGTCTAATGAGGGTAAACTTCAATTCCTCTCAAACATTCTTTTAAAATTTTATTCATTATTTGATTTTTTGTTACTTTCTCTTTAATATTTTAATTTTTTATTTTCTTATTTTCATTCATTTATTCTTTTATTTTTTGTTTAAATTTCTTATTTTCATGCATTTTCTCGACCTGTTTCTTTTAGTCGTTATTTTCTTTTTCTGTCACTTTTTAAAAATTGTTTTAATATTAAAATGTTTGCAGGTTAATCTTCTCTACCTGTGTGCTCACTTAGCTGTACTGTACACTTACAACTGTTTACTAATATTGATATACTATAGGTTAGGCCAGAATCAATTTATCATAAACAAATATGCAGTACGCTCTCGGTATAGTTGATGGCCTATACAATTAGTAAAGGATTAGCGTACATCATCACTCTATACGTTGAGTTGAATAAGTTATTTCTTGTATTCTCAACCCATTATTACTAATTTTTCCCATATTCTCTTTAAGATGAACGGTTGAAGAAGAATGGTCTACAGTCACTTTAAGATGAATGGTTGAAGAAGAATGGTATACAGTCTCTTTAAGATGAACAGTTGAAGAAAAATGGTCTTACAGTCCCTTTAAGATGAAAAGTTGAAGAAGAATGGTATACAGTNGTAACTTGCTGAAACTATCATATTTTATGTTGGGATAGGGTTTGCCGAGACTTGCATATTTAAAAAAAATCCACAAAAAATCAATTTAAATTGGATATGTACTGTATACATTAAACACATGTACAGTGTACAGTGGTTGATGTAAATAAAAATTTTACACATATCCAGTTTTTCAATAATTGTCATGAAGAAATATAGGCTGTTGTGTTTTTGAACAATGCGGAAAAAATTTTCTCCAGAATGGTGATTTTTTCCAGTACTCAAAGAATTTTTTTTGAAAACACTTACATTGGAAAGGGAACCGAAAGCTTCAGAAAACCCCTGAGGCTTCCTTTAGAAATTTGGAATTTCTGAGATGAAATTTTTAATAATGAACCCACCACAAACAACCAAACTGAACGATGGTTTAGACAGTGGCGTACGAGGGGGTTTAGACAGTGGCGTACGAGGGGTGGGCGAGCCCCCCGCCCCCTATACGTGCCCCCTCTGAGGGGAGGGCCGACTCACCAAAACTAAAAGATTAAGAAAAGTATTAAAATATATTCTGATTCACAACAATACCCTTCAAAGCTTTGTCTGATCAAGTATTGCATTAAAAATCCATGTTTCCCATTTTGAAAACTGAATAGTTTAATTTGTTGCCAAGGGTGGGGCACAAAAAAAAATTTTGCGTGCTGACGTGCGCAGAATGTGCCCTTCCCCTACACAAATGCTATCCTACGCCCCTGTCCCCCTGTGCTCTCTCAAGCATTGCAAAACTGTTTGAGAAAAGTTATATGAAAATAAAAAACTTTATTACTTTAATTTTGAATTTATTTGTGTTTTTTAACCCTAAAATGTTTAATGAAGAAAGTTTAGGAATTCTGACATTTGATTTTAGAGTAAAACCATAGAATACAAACAGTTAAACAGAGCATTCTTACTGTTTGTATGTTATATAGCTGTTTAGTTGGTTAGCTGGGTAGCTGGTTAGATGGTTAGCTGGTTAGCTAGTTAGCTGGTTAGCTGGTTAGCTGGTTAGCTGGTTAGCTGGTTCGGATTCAGGGTCTTTACGGTCTAAAAACGACTCTCTTCTTAGTACTAACATAGAGTCGGGCCGGCGCCCGTTTTTGGGGTCGTGCGGGTCGTTTTCAGACTCTAAAACAGCGTCGCTTGTTCTATGCGGGCATGCCATTTTCGAAACAGTTTAAGGTTTTCCATGCATTGTTCGCACATACTACGCATTCGAATTTTGGGCGCGTTTTGGAACATAAACCAATTTTAGAAACAATCTATAATTTTTAAAAAATTCAACAATTCTGAACAAAACGCACTATAATAATAAACAGAATAGCATACAGATAATTTTAAGTTTCCCATTTTAAAAAAAATTTCCCGCATTTTTCAATTTTAATTTGAATGTAAAGCAAAGTTGTTTACTTCTCGACTTAAATGGAAAAATATGAACAGTTAAAAAATATAACTTTGCCTATTTGGCCGAAACCTGACAAGTCGTTTGAACCAAATCAAGCTTGGGAATTTTCTTTCCCTTAACTAATAAAAGGCAAATAGATGGAATTTTAATTTTGATTTTTATCAACTTTACTTATAATAATTCTTAAAAATTAATTGGCACTTTTTATTTCTGTATACCCAGAAGAGCCTTCTTAGACCTTCAAAGGCAACACTTAAATGGAGTTACTGACTAGACATGGTAGTTGGTAGTTACTTGAGTCCTATAAAACGTATTTACGGTGTATAATTGCTGAGTATAGAGCGCAAATTCGGTCTTTACAAATCTTCCGGAGTGTTTACTTCGGAGGCTTGTTATAAACAAGACCATAATTTGAAGCAAAAATACATTTTCTAAAAGATTTGAAGACATATCTTTCATCCATCAGATTTCCTTTTAAACGCCATTGAACAAATTTAAAGGAAAAATTGGCAAACTCGATAAAAAAGAAAGAAGATTTCAACTTTTCTCCTTCTTATTAAGGTTGGACATCAATCTAAAAGCAGTAATTTTTAAAAGAAAAAACTGGGAATTCAACGAAATTTGATTTCAAAATGTTCACGAAAGAATTGAAGAAAAAAAAACAGAATTAAAAGTTTTAAAAACGAACGAATTGTTTTTAGTTTTATCTGTAAATTTTGGTAATGTTTTGGTTTAAATCGATAGAAAGAAATGAAGAAAGTCTAGTCCTATTAAACGAATATAAAAATGAAAATATTTTGACGACCGAAAAAAAAAACGTTTAAAACGAACGGATACTTGATGAACGAACATGTCTGTTCCGTTAATTCATGTTTCTATTAACGACCAGATTAAAAAGTCTGCTCGTACCCAGCCCTAATTCTGATATCTGAGATCAATAGATTTGGCAGAGCACTATCAAACTTTTGAAAACCTTTTCCACAGAAAGTATTTCACAATTGCCAAACAATTATCGAATAGATCAAATTTGTCCAGGTTAAAAGTGTATAAAAGTTCAATTACGGGCAATAGAATAAAAAATCTTTAAAATAACCCTTTCAACAAAATAAGAATGTTTTAGACTTACAACAAACCGTTAAAGAATATTATTGCCAACGATATTTAATTTAGATAAGCAATTAGAATCTTGAGGTTAAAGCTCTAAAAGGGGCAAAGTTTGACCTAATTGTGAATAAGAATGTATGTTTTGAACTATTTGAACTTTTTTTCAAAGGATTTAATGTTTACATCGTTAAAGGTTATAAATAGAGTGTTTTTATGTTCATTAAAACCGGGATTTCACAAAATTGTTAAACATAGCCTAGGCTTAATTTACTACATAGAAACAACGAATTTATGAAATAAAAGCTCGTTCTTACTAGTTATAAGCTCCATACACCATATAACGGAATCCTATAAGCTTTAAGCTCCATACACCATATTACGGAATCCTATAAGCTTTAAGCTCCATACACCATATTACAGAGTCAGAACCCTATAAGCTATAAGCTCCATACACCATATAACGGAATCCTATAAGCTATAAGCTCCATACACCATATTATGGAATCTAGCTATAAGCTACATACACCATATTATGGAATCGAGCTATAAGCTCCGTACACCATATTAGGGAATCCTTTAAGTCGTTTACATTTTTTGAAACAAAAAAAATGTAACCTTTAAGCCGTCATGTTTTGTGGGATACTAAGTACATTTTGTGAGAGGAAAATATATGCTTTATGCCTACCGTAGACTGAGATCTTGACTTCAGCTGTTATCTGTTGATTAGCAGCATATGTAGCTTTACAGCTGTACACTCCGCCATCATCAGCTTCTATATGTTTAATAAACAAGGCAGTGGAAGCTTCTCCAGGCTGCTCCTCACTGTAAATTCTAAAAAAAGAATATAATTTAGGCATTTTGGTTCTAGATCATAGTTCTTAGATTCTAAATCATAGATCCTAGATTTGAATTCCTAGATCCTAGATTCTAGATCCTAGATTCTAATTCCTAGATCCTAGATTCTAATTCCTAGATTCAAGGTCCTAAATTCTAGATCCTAGATTCTAGATCCTAGATTCTAATTCCTAGATCCTAGATTCTAGATCCTAGATTCTAATTCCTAGATTCTAGATTCCAGGTCCTAGATTCTAGATCCTCGACAGCTTGCAGATGCAGACATATGGCGCCAAAGTAATAAATATTGAGGGAGATAATGGCCCCCTGCCATGACAGACACCCGACACCTATCCGGTTTGAGGAGAGACGGATTCAGGGTCTTTACGGTCTAAAAACGACTCTCTTCTTAGTACTAAAATAGAGTCGGGCCGGCGCCCGTTTTTGGGGTCGTGCGGGTCGTTTTCAGACTCTNTTCTAGATCCTAGATTCTAGATCCTAGATTCTAGATCCTAGATTCTAGAACTGAATATGAACCCCTAACTTTATTATTTTGAATAAAAAATTATGGAAACCTGCCTATTAAATTAAAACGAAATGTAACGAAAAATATAAAACAATGTAAAATTTAAACCCAGCTCACGTTATTCTAAAAAATGGAAAGTATGAAAACCTAAACATGGAGTTATGAATAGGAAAGATTATAAGCCCAAGAAAGGTTGGAAAAAGATAGTTTATCTTTCTAAATTGAAAAAAGCCCGAGAAATAAAATATGCCCACTTTCAGCTTTCTTTCCAAAAGTTTTTAGAATGTTACCTCCAGATGTTAGAACAATTGGTTCTAATTTTATTAAATTATGAAATGTGGCAATTACTTATTCTTTTTCTGATGATACTTTTAAACCCTAAATGAGCCATGCATCGAAATAATTTATCAAATACCGTCTTGACAAGTTTTCAATGGTTTTTATACTATTTACGTATTTGCGAAAATAAATAAAAAGCCATGAATATGCTGGAACAGTTTGAAATATGAAGTTTATTTGTACAACTGCTCCGAAGATATAGAAGATAAATAGTTGAAGCAGAATGGACTATGTCCCTTTAAACAAAATGATATTTTAGAAATAAAAATTTCATTAATTAGCAAATTGATGTTACAGTATAATTTATTCTCAATGAAATATTTAACATCCCTTGATAATAACAAAAAAGACAAATAGTGTGAATACAAATGTGCTGCACCCAGGGAGTAAGGAATAGAAGGGAGATATAACTGACGCGGTTCGCCTTACCATATGATTATACATGCTTTGCAGACGGTACTTCATTTGAATAAGAAATATTTGTCTGATGTACATTTACTGCGTATACAATAACCTATCTGAATATTTCTTATACAATGAAGCACCCGTCTGCAAAGCATGTATAATCATATGGTAGGGCGAACCGCGTCAGTTATATCTCCCTTCTATTCCTTTTTCCCTGGCTGCACCTTTGTGCCGGAACGATAAATCGGCTTTTTCTCCGGCCACTGATATCTTTATAAAGTAAGAATAATATCAATGATGATGAATATTTGAAGAGGAATGGTCTACAGTCTCTTTAAGATGAATAGTTGAAGAAGAATGGTATACAGTCCCTTTAAGATGGATGGTTGAAGAAGAATGGTCTACAGTTCCTTTAAGATGAAGGGTTGAAGAAGAATGGTATACAGTCCCTTTAAGATGAATGGTTGAAGAAAAATGGTCTTACAGTCCCTTTAAGATGAAAAGTTGAAGAAGAATGGTATACAGTCCCTTTAAGATGAATGGTTGAAGAAGAATGGTATACAGTCCCTTTAAGATGAATAGTTGAAGAAGAATGGTATACAGTCCCTTTAAGATGAATGGTTGAAGAAGAATGGTCTACAGTCCCTTTAAGATAAACAGTTGAAGAAGAATGGTATACAGTCCCTTTAAGATGAATGGTTGAAGAAGTATGGTATACATTCTCTTTAAGATGAACAGTTGAAGAAGAATGGTCTTCAGTCCCTTTAAGATGAATAGTTGAAGAAGAATGGTATACAGTCCCTTTGAGATGAATGGTTGAAGAAGTATGGTATACATTCTCTTTAAGATGAACAGTTGAAGAAGAATGGTCTACAGTCACTTTAAGATGAATGGTTGAAGAAGAATGGTATACAGTCTCTTTAAGATGAACAGTTGAAGAAGAATGGTCTACAGTCTCTTTAAGATGAATGGTTGAAGAAGAATGGTCTACAGTCCCTTTAAGATGAATAGTTGAAAAAGAATGGTCTACAGTCCCTTTAAGATGAATGGTTGAAAAAAAATGGTCTTACAGTCCCTTTAAGATGAATGGTTGAAGAAGAATGGTCTACAGTCCCTTTAAGATGAATGGTTGAAGATGAATGGTCTACAGTCCCTTTAAGATGAATGGTTGAAGAAGAATGGTATACAGTCCCTTTAAGATGAATAGTGGAAGAAGAATGGTATATAGTCCCTTTAAGATGAATGGTTGAAGAAGAATGGTAAGAGATATAAGTTTTAGCATCAAGATTATTCGACCGGACAATTGCTTAAATATTTGCCCGGTTTTTGCAATAGATTGAAGACCGTTCTTAATCTAAAAAAGATTGAAAAAAAAAACTATATAATTCCATAACAGTGATTATTTCGTTGGCAATTCTTATTTTTCCAATATTTTTTAAATATCTAAGATAAATTTGCTTTTTTATTCGATTTTTTTATCAGTTCAATGAATCCAGATTAGAGTTTCCGTCGGAAGCAAATTTTCGCAAATTCCCTGCAAATTTGCTTGCAAAGTCAGCAAAATTCCTCATAATTACGTGATTACACTGTCCAAAAATTGCGCGAATTCGCTTCAAAATAAAAATACAGAACCTAACACTCAAAAACTTTTTTTGATTCGTTAAGGTTTGGAAAGTAACAGTTTTTTGGTTCGTTAAAGGAATATTTCATACATTTTCAAACCTGCCATTCTTTAATTTTTTCTACGAAAACGGAAATTTCTAGAATTCTGAATGATGATGGAGGAAAATAATACTTTCTAATAACGTGATAAAATTTGTCATAAATCAAATTAAATGGAAAACTTTATGTACAATAATGTGCACACTGTACACTGTACAGTGTGTGTGTGTGCAATAATGTACACTTGTAAAATGTACAAAGGCTTAGACTAAAATTTAAATATGAAAAGAAATTGATAAATATCTAATACAGTGATTACCAGAATAAAAATCAGAAATATGAAAACAACTTTTAGAATAAAACTGAAAAGTCTTTAACCCTATTCCTGCTGGGGGGGGGTCAATTTGACCCCCCCCCTGTAGTTTTTTTTACATAACTCAAAAAGTATTGGTCTGAGGCTGTTGAAATTTTCTGAATTTTCCTACATACCCAAAGCCCTCCCTTTAGGCCTAAAACCNTGAAAGAACAGTATGTCTAATGAGGGTAAACTTCAATTCCTCTCAAACATTCTTTTAAAATTTTATTCATTATTTGATTTTTTGTTACTTTCTCTTTAATATTTTAATTTTTTATTTTCTTATTTTCATTCATTTATTCTTTTATTTTTTGTTTAAATTTCTTATTTTCATGCATTTTCTCGACCTGTTTCTTTTAGTCGTTATTTGCTTTTTCTGACACTTTTTTCTAAATTTTTTTAATGTTAAAATTTGTGCAGGTTAATCTTTTCTACCTGTGTGCTCACTTAGCTTTACTGTACACTTACAACTGTTCACTAATATTGATATACTATAGGTTAGGCCAGAATCAACTTATCATAAACAAATATGCAGTACGCTCTCGGTATAGTTGATGGCCTATAAAATTAGTAAAGGATTAGCGTACATCATCACTCTATAGGTTGAGTTGAATAAGTTATTTCTTGTATTCTCAACACATTATTACTAATTTTTCCCATTCCTTCTTTCTCATTTTATTCATTTTTATTTTCTAAATTTTTCTTTGTCTCAATTTAATCTCACTTAAATATTTTTATTTATTGTATTTTTATCAGTTCTTTTTTCTCTCTGTCTTATTTCTTTTTCCTCCCACCCTTTTTCTGAGCAACATTATTAACCTTGTTCATCCCTACTCTTTAACTTTTTCTCCCAGAGAACAGTATAAATATATTTTTGTTTGCCCAAGGGAGAGAAAGTGATCAATTGCAAATTTGCACGAGAAAAATTCGCGCATTTACAAGATGAATGTATCTTTTACATGGACAAATTTTAACAAAAAATAAAACTTTTTAGTATTTAGACCTATTATTATTGTCATCAACATAATTAATTATTGAATATGCTTATTAACAAATATTAAAAAGTTTAATCGGTTAATAATTGGATGAAATTAAACTGCCTATTTACTTTTAGCGAGAATTTCCTTCGGGAGAACTGCACTTGACCGGTAAATTCCACTGTTCAGTTCCCTGGTAATTTCTCGCTATAATAGTAAATTCCGCTGTTCAGTTCCTTGGTAATTTCTCGCTATAATAGTAAATTCCGCTGTTCAGTTCCTTGGTAATTTCTCGCTATAATAGTAAATTCCGCTGTTCAGTTTCCAGGTAAATTCTCGCTAAAATAGTAAATTCCGCTGTTCAGTTCCTTGGTAATTTCTCGCTATAATAGTAATTTCCACTGTTCAGTTCCTTGGTAATTTCTCGCTACAATAGTAAATTTCACTGTTCAGTTCCCTGGTAAATTCTCGCTATAATAGTAAATTCCGCTGTTCAGTTCCCGGATAAATTCTCGCTATAATAGTAAATTCCACTGTTCAGTTCCTTGGTAATTTCTCGCTATAAAAGTAAATTAAAAGTTAATTTCTACTCTAAATGGCACTAACATGAAATGGAAACTTTTAACTTTTTAACGATTTTCGAGATCTTCCAATTTGACCTTTAGAATTATCAAGAAAGAATTCTCATCAATACACCAAAAGACATAAATTAGTGCTTTCTTAAAGGGAGTGTTCGCGAACACTCCCTTTAAAGGATTAAAAATACAAAAGTTTCTTTCTCCGAATTTAAGATAATTTGTTTACCACGTACAGTCCTATCATCTAAAAGACATTGTGATATTAATTTTATTATGATCGGGTAGAAATTAAGCCTCTGAAAGAAAATAGTGTAAATGGTTTGGTTTTTTATCAACTTTTATCTATAATTTATTAATAATAAACAATCTATTTATATATGACAAAAACATGCTACAATTAATCTATAACAAAAATCTTACCTTAAATGATAATCATAAAGGCTAAAAAAAAGTTAATTGATAAATTTTGATTAATGAAAAACATTATTAGAAAAGAGTTTCTGAGAGAGACACATTTTTAATCATTTCAGTCTTTCTCTTAATCATCTTTATGTTAGATTAATCTATTAAGGACTTTAGGTAGTAGCCCCCCCCCCC